TTTAAGTAGGAATATATACGTATGCTTAGAGGAGTGGCAAAAGCGTTGCCGCGCTTTAGTAACTAATAGACTCTATTATTGACAGCCCTGTAGTCTCATTAAATAGAGATCAGTTACGCTAAGCCTGGGTTCATGATGATGGAGTTCGGGACCTAGTTGTTCACTTTGATGAATTCAGTAAGGGTTTCACATCGATGTCTCGTTTTGCCACAAAGCGGGAAAGAAATTGGGGAAGGTTTGTATGCATCGGAACTTTTGCCACTCGCGGAATATAAAACCCCTGCAGCCCGTCCGAACATAATGAAGGTGGCCACCAACGAGGTTTTAGTGAGTAAATATACAAATAAAATAAATATTTCAAACAAATATTTCAATAAATATTTCATTCCCAAACTAAATAAAGCTATTAATACTATGGATACTGGGTAACTGAAAGACATACTTAAACATATTTTTCTTTGCAAATAAATACATAATATTATAGATCTCCAGACACTAGAAAAACACTATGTTCATCACAAAATATTTTTCCAGTAGTAGGGATCAAACCCACACCCTCTGGCGCAGGGGACAAGACCACTATCCACAACGCCAATTGTTTCGTCAGTATGAATCCCACATAACTCTGCCTTCCCACTAGGATATAGGGTACCGTTAGAAGATAGATAAGAGAAAGAAAAAAGGGTTCTTGAATGGAAAAGCTTTCAGCACTACCGCGTTTCATTTGAGAGATTATGGTGAGAGCAATAGATGGCACATATCAGTACAATAAACGCCTGTGCACTCTTACCTCTAAAGATAACTTTATTATATTCGCATAGAAAGGCAGACGCCGGCGGAAGGGCCAAACGCCCTTAACTACAAGAAAATGTAATTACTTCCAGTTACTAAATCATTATGACTTGAGAATTGAAACCATTTGATACCACTTACAAAATAATAATAGTCTGCTGGCTCGTACATGACGCTTCTACGCAACTTCATAACAAAGTATCTATTAAGAGTCATTTTCGATCCAAATACCTACTTTATCTTATACGATCGAACTCTGTCGAACAGAAATTGCGTGTAATAAATTCAATAAGGCATAACTACAGTATGCATCTGAATATACACCGACCTAATTAAGTTTTAAAAGTACACTGATTTGTATTCAAATACATCATGTTTCTATTAAACTCGTGTGTCAGTGCTAATTTTCATGTTGATAAGATATATTTATTTGGCATAAAGAAGCTTCGCCTATTTAAGGAAGTAGCAATAGAATTGAACAGAATTCCCCCCGGTTTCTACTTATAGGGATAAGTAGAAGAAAGGGTAACAGATCAGAAAAATTTTAACATGTCTATTCTAAGCGGGCTTTTTGTTGCTAGACTGTGTATATCGCACACAGCACCATTTTACTGTTGCAAAGCCTCTGCCAAAGCTCTGAAGCAGAGTATTACTGGAATACCCAGTCTATTATCGCACATGGTATGAGAAATAGGTTCCACAAGGTTTGTGGAGACTTTATTTTGATACACAACTGCATTCGTTTCTACCCTTCCTTACATATATATACTAATTGCGGCCCGGATATGAAACTCGTAGTCAAACTATGAGTGACGAAGGAAAATGACCTCACTGGACTCGCGGAATGCGGCTGCTCGCTTTTTTTCTGTTTCGTTCATTGTATCTCTCCTCCACGGTAAAAGATTTTTCATTCGAAATAGAATTTCATTTTTTTCGCATTTTGCATCATTCATCATCATCATTTTGCATCTTTCCGCTTGAACTAAACGCGTAACTCTTCATTCTCAGATCCATACGGGTCCGATCGATGTACTATCTTCATTCAACACTCTTTTCACCGTGATACTGCCTAACGTCATCTTGAGGGTCAAGAGTTTCTGTACACATGGGTATTCCGTAGATTCGCGCCCTCACAGCTATTATCACGGCTGGAGTCCCAACAGTGCACTACCTTTTCTGTCTTCTACACTATAATTTTCATTGTCGTTTGATGGAGCGATAAACTGATCCATTTTATATTTAGTTTTTCAGTATTTTGAAAATCTGATTTGGCGCCTAAAAGAGTACCGATGTAACGCGATAACCACAACTCGATTTTAAAGTATCCACTCCATTTGTTAAAATAAATGATCTTCGAAATCGTGCACGTTTTTGTTTTCATAAAACGTTCGAAATTTGACTTCAATAAATAGTTTTGTGGCCAGCATTCAAAGTTCGAAACAGAACTAAGAGATAAAAGACTAAGACTCCCCGCACCGGCACCGGCAAATGGCGACTGGCGTGTCAGTTGCTTATCACGTAACGTGATACGTAAGATGTAGTTATGCCCATTCGGCCGATGCACCCATGAACATTTTCTTTCTTACGCAACATTGACATTGGTAACATCAAAAGTATAAGCTCGTATAGGTACTCTAATTAAGCTAGACTGAAGAATGACACAAATCAACAAACTGGACGATTTACTTCGCGACGACAATCCTTAATTGACAGGTTCCATGAACCGTTAACAAAGCATAACATGAAGATATATTTTGTTGCGGTTTAATTATTTACAAAGGGAATACATCATGTTCAAAGCGCCAGGGTGGAACGTCTAATAACATATTGCCGATATAACTCATTAATTTTTATTAAGTTTAGACTCAATAAATAACGTTTATTAATATTAACATTACTTACATAAGTGAATTAACGAAGAACCCGGCCGCGTAACTCCATCGCCGAAACAACTGAAGCGCGGTGGAGAGAAAAAAAATCACGCACCGAAATCGTAGCGGCCGCAAATCGCGGAAACGACGCTAAAGGAATGCGAAAAGAAATTGCTCGTAGTTTCTAATAGACACGCATCGTGTTCGGTTAAGTAAACAATTCGTGCGAATCTAGCACACGCGGACACTTCCAATTACGTAATGATCAGATATCATGAAGGAAATCAATTTTGCCTGCTGCATGTTTCATGCAAAAATCGCTTACTCTAATATATGGCGAACTCATGTTAGACACATGTCTATTAATAAATTTCGAGAGAGATATACCGTTCAAGTATTGGCAGGGACTGCTTAGACAGCTTAAAGGTTTAGGTAGCCTTCTTTCCAAGAACTATTGATCGCTATTTTGATTTCCCAATGAGACGAAAATGTGTGTGTTTCCTCATGTTCCGAGTCGATTTAGACTATATAAACGTTATTCTTACGTTATTTCAACCTCTTACAGCAAGAGAAATAATTTTGTTAAAGAAATTCTGTAAAATCCTGCTGAACAAGAAAATATGTTTCGAGAAAAATACGTGACTCGAACATAAACTGTCTCTAATTAATTGAGTAATAAAACTAGTTAACTGTGAAATAATTTGTAATAACAGTTACTTTCAGACAAGGTGTTTGCGAAAACACTATATGCGTTTCTTTACTTTATTAACATTCAGCAAGTTAATCTACGGAGATGGTAATAAACACTTGCATTAGAAATCTAAGAATTTCTGATCCCCAGCGAAAATACGACTATATTGTGCAATTCATGTTTGTGAGAATAATCATCCGTTTTCAAAATACCTTTGGGACCCATTTTACAGAAAACTTTATTCGATAATTCTCTCCCTGTGAGACCCTTATTGTTTCTCCATGGGAAACGTGTAAAACAAAACGTCGATCGTAAGTTGCAATACCCCTTCATGCGTTAACATCCGTTTAGTAGGCAATAATAGGGCGTGAGAACTGCCACAAAGTAAGCATAAATATACAAACTACAAGAAGAGAAGAAGTAACCAAATCTGAATAATTAACGCCTCTTTATAAATGTGGCCTAGATACATTCATCATTATCACGATCGTAATCATTGTTAACTTTTCGTGGATTTTGCGCACATTAAATCCGCAAGCAAATAGGCAATAAAACCTGCAATCAAGGTTACGACTATCCAACTAATCGATGATCAGGAATTAAGCAATGGCCTACATTGCTTAATTCCTGATCATCGAGACGGAATATTCCGAAAAATGCCACTATTGTAAACAAATTTCCCGTGGCCTTCCTATACTTGTCTTACTGCTTCTGGTGTAAGCAGGCGTCTACAAAAACAATATAGCGCAAAAAAACCGATTAGCTAAAATCACAGTCGACGGCCATCAGGGTCTCGGTTCGCACCACAACTTCGATGGCCTTTAGAGGACATGTCGTAGTTGAACGCACGCATGAGCACATGCGCGGCCCTACCCAGAGCGGAGGGCCCAAACCCGTAGGTTCTGGCTAGCCCACAGGTTCTGCGTCAGATGAAGCTTTTATAGTCTCGGGACTGAAAGCACAAACATCAGTTAAAAAAAAAGAATAACAATGCTCACACTTATACCATGGTCAAACGAACGAATTGCAAAAGACCTAAACAGACCTTAGTAGTGAAATAGGGACATATTTTACAATCAGTGTTTGTAAACAACTATGCATTTGAAGAATGTTGTTTACTATAGATAGTGGTAAATAATAAAGTTACTCTCTTAACATTTTATCACCACATAGTATAAAACAAAGTCGTCCCGCTTTCTTTCTGTCCTTATAATATATGCTTAGATCTTTAAAACTAACCAACGGATTTTGACGCGGTTTTATTTAAAGATAGAGCGAATCAAGAGGAAAGTTTATATGTATAATTCATGCATAATATAGTAGAGAAACACTGATAATTTTAGAGATTTCTAATGCGATGTCGAAAACAAACATTTAGCATTGCACCCGTGCAAAGCCGGGGTGGGTCGCTAGTAAATTATAAACTATTTCGCTACTGATAATAAGAAAATATTAAATTTATAAACAACGACACCCAATTTTAACTAAAAGCTTAGTGTTGGCAAAAACTTTATGCAGTTATCGTCTGTCACATAGATTAACGGTACACCTTCCTATATACTCACAACGATTGAAGACTTAAGAATGTGATTTGCCAATCAAATATGTGTATTGTTGAACATAACAATAAAGAACGATAAACTCACTTGATGGAAATCCTTCTTGCAGACTGTTTACACTTCACAGATGCAACGAAATAGATGGCTTCGAACACACACGATTTAAACGATTCGGAGACGTCTACACTCACTGACATACAAAGCCCGACTGAATGAAGCACGACATTGTACAACTTTAAACCGGAATAAAAAAGTTAACTTTCTAAATTTGAATTTGTGGATCAGACAACAGGTGGAGGAGACAGTTGGTCACGACTGCTGAAATAATACCGATTCAGCTTTTCTGTTGCCCTTTTGCCAGCAAAGATGCTCGTACAGTCGTAATGTTGTAGAAACTCATGCCATTAATTGCGATTCTTTTCATCATCCTGATAAATGTATTCCAACCCAAGAAGTAATCATTACAGGACACAATATTTTATTGTTTTTAAAGAATATCTATAAATAACAGCGGTTGTTATTTTTAGTTGGACAAAGTCCCTTAATACTTACCCATTACATAAAAGCTTATATAGTAAAATATAAGTTTAAGTTATTTGTTCTCATGAATAAAACAACAAATGTATCAAACCAATATATACCTACTGCACATTTAATGTATTTTCAAAAGTTTCAGAAGTCAGTTGGAATCGGTTCTAGAAATATTAACTAAAACAAAGCCAATGTTTAGTAGAAGTCATTTTATGTAAAAAAAATGCCAAACCAACAGTCTAATAAACTCTATCTATATAAGTCCAGGGCAACATTTGCATTGTCAACGTTTAAGGGGACGAGCCCATGTAACCTCAGTTACCCGAAGTTTAAATCCCTATTTTTTTTTTATTTGCTTGATGAGCCACTGTTGGCCTTAGGGGCCTTTACAGTGTCGCCGGACTTGAGGTGGCCGGGCGCTCGGGGTTCGTATTATTATTACGCGTTATGGTGACTAAGCTCGAGGGCTCCCGAGGGAGCCTCGGCTCGGGCCGTCACGCTATTATTATCATTACCGGTTTGAGAGGCCACCAAGCTCTTAAGACGCTTTGGTGGACGCTCCATGGAGTGACCAGGCTCAAGGGGCCTCGAGAGAGGACCTTGGCTTGGGCTGTCACTAGTAGTACCCGTTTAGCATTCCGATTCGAGGGTGCTCGAGAGGGCCGGACCTCGGCTCGATCGGTAGCTATTATCTGACTGGGAGAATTTCTAGGTCTATCATTACTACCACTTCGGGAAGCGTTGGCGCTGGGAGAAGAAGTGGCAGATAAAACTCCAGCAACGCTTCTATCATTAACGGGGTAAAACCTGCGAGGTACGTGGCGGAACCTAGTATATGTTTGCCGCACTCACCGGCGAGTGCGGTGTGATCTGGTGTGTTTGCGTAATTGTTTTATTTTGTCGATGGCGATAGTCGTCTCATCGTCAGAGAAATCGAGTACGTGTCGTGGTCTGCGCCATTGGCGACGGAACGATCCTAGTGGTAGGGGTTTGTAGGCGACGTCACCTACAACCAACGGAGTGGGATGCGCGGCGGCGGATTCGAAGTAGCGGCGCAATACCGACTTCAGGAATTGAGCGATGGTTGGCAGCTCTAAATCTACATGTAAGTCGATGTTCCGCGTGAACCACGGGGCTCCCGTAGCTCTGCGCAAAAATCGATTTTGGATGACCTGAAGCCGATGTATTTGCCTCGGGGCAATGTGCGCAAAGACTGGACTCGCGTATGTCATGATGGGGCGAACGACTGCCTTATACAAAGTCACCTTATTCCGAAGGGACATTTTTGAAGTTTTATTTACAAGGGGATATAGGCGACCTAGTACGAAGGCCGCCCGGTTCCTGACCCGAGTCACGTGCTGTCTGAATTTGAGTTCAGAGTCAAGGACGACACCTAAGTATTTGACTTTATTTGCCCATGGAACCGGACTATCCATGAGTTTTGTCTTTTATTGTATTGCATGTTTTATCCTTTATTTACGCGCATATTCTGTGAAGCTGTATTAGAAGTTGTCGTTGCCGGTCCCGTTCTTATGACGGCAGAATCTGTTGCCTGATTCTACTGTTATTTACGGTATCATTGTCATCATCATTTCAGCCTGTTTGAGTCCACTGCTGAACATAGGCCTCCCCCACAGACTGCCACGAAGCACGATCCTGAGCCATCTGCATCCATCGACTTCCCGCGCATTTGCACAGGTCGTCACTCCATCTAAAAGGGGATCGTCCCAAAGGGTTGCCAACCCGCTTGCCAGACATGACAACTGTGGCAAAACCTCATGGTGGAAAATAAAAAATTTACTGTATAACCATGTAGAATCCCTGGATAAGATAAACTGAACAAAAAACTAGTTAATCTACGCAACATCATGGCGAATCAAGCTTTTATAATAAGCGGAACATGACCAAAAGACTATTATCACAATACTTATAAGATTAAATAACATAAATATTAATTAAATCACTACGTACTTGCGAAATTAATCTTTGCACCATAGCAAACATAAATCGTAACGTGGTTAGTAATAAATTTATAAACTCATTTATTAGATAATTGACAGAAATCATTTTTAGGGTTCCGTACCCAAAGAGTGAAGAGGGACTTTATTACTAAAATTCCACTATCTGATTGTCTGCCTATCCGTCTGTCACCATGAACCGTGATAGTTAGACAGTAGAAATTTTCACAGATAATATGTTTCTGTTGCCGCTAGAGCAACAAATAAAAAAAATTTAAGCGGATTTCCCATACAACATACATGATGTTTTTGCCTTTTATTTAAGTACCTGGAGGACCGAGCTTTGCTCGATTTTTTTTTTTTTTTTTTTTTTTTGTAAATCATGTATTTTGGAAATAACATTTAGATACAAATTACTGAGTAATGAAATATGCATAATATTTTTCGATCTTACCGACGTAATAATAAGAAAATAAGAACTGGTGTTTTTCACAATAGAAAGAACTTAAAAAAAGGGGAAAACAATAACAAAATCATCTGGATCGAAAAAAAGGAATCGAAAAAATAAGTGTGTAATTGATCGTGATGCGAACCGCGGCGGTCTGTTTTGGGGCCGCCCGATTACCTACCGAGCTATTGTAACATTTTTTTTGCGGCGAAATTTACTGTCATATTCGAACGATATTTTTCATTCCCTGAAAACAGGGATAAAAGGACATTTTCTAAAAATTAAACCTAGCTAGATCGATTTTTCGCCCCCGAATCTACGCACATACTAAATCTCATGAAAATCGCTGGAGCCGTTTCCGAGATTCCGTATATATATATATACAAGAATTGCTCGTTTAAAGGATAAGATGTACTGGAATTCTTCGTTCGTACGCGAGTCCGACTTGCATTTGGCCGGTTTTTTTTACCTGAATACTGAAACGACTTAGATAATTTACTATTTTTAAACAGAAGTAAAAAGAACCATGAAGCAGGGCTAAGTGGCTTCAGTCGTCTTACACGATCTGATTGCAAATCCAAAATTCATGTGAGCACAAAACGCATATGTAACGCTGATTGCGCTCAAAATCTTAACCCAAGCCAAGAATTTAAGAATAACAAACCCAGTGCATCTTAGATTATTCGCTTACGGGATGTATGGCAAGCACATTCATCTGGCGAAAACTTTATCGTATGCTAAATCTCACGGGATCTTTAACGGTTTTTAAATTGCTAAAAAAGTAAAAAAAATATTTTTTTGAGTTAGAACGAAGAACAAAGACGATTATTATGATGTAGGTACTTGACATTTAGAAGAAGAAGAAGAAGAAGAAACGTTTATTCACGGTCTAAGCACAAATAGATACATAGAACACTTAAAAATAATAATGTAACTACACATTATATAAAATAATATTAGAATAACTTAAAATAAATGTAAACATAACAAAAAAAAAAAACTAAAAATAATAATAATAATAAGTGAAGGTCTGTGTAGCAGCATAAGACCGTGAAACGGACGGGACTCGGTTAAAGTCGAGATACAGTAACTAAGATTCGTTCTGATCCCGACGCCGGTTTTCAGTCCGCCCGCACTTCGAGACAGCTCGGACGGCTGCGTCAGTGCACTTGTAATACATACCTACAACGCAGTATAGCGATAATTAAATTATTTTTGTTTGAACCTTTTATTATGAATGCTACATTGCGAACATATTTTAGCGTGATGAGGAACTTAGAAGAGCATGCATATAGCCATAGATCATGTAACAAAATATATAAAGAAAATTGACGACCCGAATGGCGTAGTGGGTAGTGTACCTCCCTCCTGCGCCAGAGGGTGTGGGTTCGATCCCCACTACTGGAAAAATATTGTGTGATTAACATAGTGTTTTTCTAGTGTCTGGGTGTTTATGTATAATATGTATTTATTTACAAAAGAAAAGTATGTTTAAGTATGTTTATCAGTTTTCTAGTACCCATAGTACAAGCGTTGCTTAGTTTGGGACTAGAAAATTTTGTGTAACAATGTGTCCTAAAATATTTAAAAAAAAAGAAAATATTATATTTTTATAATTAAGCTAAGTGATAAAGGTTTCTATTTCATAGTTACCTATATCTGTTATTGCGTCATATACAAACTGAATACAATCAAAGTTGTTAGTTCAAATGTGTCAAGACCCATGATCTATTGCATTCAATTTAAATAAATAATTGTTATGGAACGGAGGTGAATTTGGTTTTTAAAAAGAAATCACGCAAATCTATCCGAAATATACCTTACAAAAATCAATTACAACTTCTAATAAAATTATTCCCATCAATTTATCGTTAACTAAATTATAAAAACTACACGATTTTAAAGTCACGACCGCGTCCCCACGCTAATCACAGATTATCCATCATTCTTCTTTTTTTTTTAATATTGCCATTGCCATGTAAAATGAGCGCTTCGCAAACGCATTCAATCATCATATCTTTACGAAGGATGAAATCCCAATCCTTTTCGTCGAACTAAAATTCCCACGATTTTCCCCATGCGTCCAATATTTAGCTCGTCGGTGTTGCCACCTCTAAAACTGTACATAAATCGATCAAGATAGATACAAAAAACAAAGTCGCTGACCACCGCAGCGAGGTAGTCTAGAAAGACGAAAATTACCACTTGTCAGCTAAAGAGACGGAGAACGACAAGGGCGGGTCCAGGGGGGGTGGACATGGGGGTCATGACCCCCCCTGGGCTGGGTCCAGGACCTAGGTGGACCACTAATTAAAATTGTATAACATAATGTTTTTATATATTTTTTGCACACATATATAGATTTTATGTAAGTCCCTTCAATATTTAATTAAAATAATATAATATTTTTAACCGACTTCAAAAGGATTTCTCAATTCGATTGGTATATTTTTTTCGATGTATGTACACCGATTACGTTGAGATTTGATCCGATTTCCGTGATTCTTCTTTAGTTTGATGCAGAATAGTTGCCATTTGGTCCCATAAAAATTTACCATAGTTTTGCCAAGTAGTTTTAATTTTATGAACCTTTTTACAATATTTTGATGACTCCGTGGCGCAGTTGGCCAAGATTGTGGCTTCGGCGTCGGGGGTCGTGGGTTCGATTCCCACACGGGACAACTATGTGTGCTGTACACAGATAGTTGTTTCGCATCTGGATGTTTGTCCTCGTGCAATTTATGTTTGTAAAATGTCCTTACAATACAAGATAATGTTATCCTAAAGTGAGGGCAATGTTTATCAAAAAAAAATTGTAATGTTAAATCATCAAATCAAATCTTGCAAATTAAATTTGATGTACTTCCCGGTTACTGGTTGAGCTACAATTTTGTATACATGTGTAAATCGCGACAATCCAATATTTTTGTGACATGGTGCTGATCTGATGATGGAGTTGGAAGAAGGCCAAAGGAACTTCGAAATGAAACGACAGAGCCTCATCGCGTTTGGGTACATTTGAATCGTATTAATGAGTAGTTTGTCTTTCATTGGTAACCACGATCTGATGATGGAGCTCCATCTTCACCCGTCCATGGACAGGGGTATATGCATAGGGTTGCAGATGCGTTTTCTCCTTATAATAAAGTGGGCTCCGGCTAGGTAGCCAGAGCCGGAGCAAAATGCATCTCTTGAGTGCAGACAAATCGCAGAAGTACTTTACGCCGATCTATGAGGCTATTCTGTGACGTTCCTATGACTACTCTGTAATGAAACGACTCAACCCCATCGAGATTCGGTTCGTTTGATTTGTCTTGGCGAGTTCTTAATTTTTAGATGGTTACCAGGGTCTGATCTGATGATGGAGCTGGAAGATAGTCATATGAATTCAGTAAAGAAACGACGCAACCCTATTGCGTCTCGGCTCGTTTGATTCGTCATGACGAGTTCTTTGGTGCTAGATGGTAACCAGGGTCTGATGACAGAGCTGGCATGTGGCCATAGGAACTCAGTAATTAAATAACATAACTGCGTCGAGTTTGATTCGTCTTAGTGGGTGGACCGTTTTTGATGGGTGGTGAGATGTGGTGGTTTGGTGGACGTGAGTATGCGAGACCATCTTTGGGAAATAAAGATTGTTCTTTCCGTTTGTTATGAATGTGGATTCTGTCTTTGATTAGATGGATTAGAAGCGCTGAATACTATGAATGAATAAATGACTGAATAAATATTTTTTTGTTATCTATGAACATTTTTAATGTGGACGATGTAATTTTGTTTTGTGTACGGCTATTTTATGAGTTTTCATTTGGGTTGATTATATATTATTATCAACTTGTCATTGAAGTAGAGCCAGCGTGCGGAGTAGAGGAATAAAGAATATTATAACCAACATGACTATATAAAATCTGTTAACGTAGAAATAAATAAAAGAAATTCCAAAAATAAGTAAACCTACCAATAGCTACTTAAAAAAATACTATACAGGGTGGCTTTCCTAAGTGTATCCATTTTTTTATCAAATTTTAAACATAAATAAAGTTATATAAAAATGATAAATATTTAAAATCACTCATAATTAATTAATTACATTCATTTGAACTTATCTCAGAAAGTGCGTGATTTATGGGCAACTCATTTATTTTACGCGCGATCATTCATAACTAACACGCACACAATTTCGTTTCAAAAGTAGACGCATTTATGAATGACTACCGCATTGTCAAGAAGTTTGTTGTTGTTTTTAGGAAATAGAATGCCATTCTTTTTAAAGTTTGTTTTTATTTCTATAAACGATTATATTACCGAGCCTGAACCTCCGGTGTGAATTTGGGCACCTTTATAAAATCCAACCTGTATAATATATGATAATAAAAACCAACGCTATGTATGAGCAGAACAGAATTTTGCAAATCCGTCTATATATGACGAAGGTATGCCCGAACATACCCACATAAAAAATATAAACATCCGAATTGTCTCTTCCTTCTTTTTGAAGTCGGTTAAAAATAAGTACCTACTTTTTACTTCTATCTGTGATTATAAACGAATTATAACTTCTTATCACTTGACCACGACTATGTGACCCCCCCCTGGCACCAAAGCTGGATCCGCCCTTGGAGAACGATTTACAGTTTCGTCGATAATCAAACTTGAGACACGAAGAACGTGATATGCCGTTCCCTAAATCTCCGTGCCTCGACATCACGAGCGATGCAGCCTTACCCAGTGGCAGAGGAATGAGAGAGCAACACCATTACTCCTCTTCTTCCACAACTCCATCTCGATTACAGTGGACACAGTCCATCCTTCTACTGCATTCCATCCATCTACCGCACAGCCAAGCCGATCGAGTCTTTGAAGTAGGATCCTCTGACTAGCCAAAGCGATCCGGCCCGAAGCATACAGCCTTATAAGATTTTCCCTTTTTTTTTCATTCACCGTGGCTTAAGCCAAGGCTGCAAGTCTAAAACCCTTGAGAGTCGGTGCACTCGGTTACCAACAAGTCATTAGATATTTTTATTACTAGTTCAAAAACAAATGTAGAAAATATTGATTTTATAAAAGAAAATATCCATTGACCGCTCTATTCCTGCCAGTATTTAATATTTTAGGACACATTTTTACACAACGTTCTCCAGTCCCAAACTAAGCAACGCTTGTACTACGGGTACTAGATAACTGATAAACATGCTTTTCTTTTGTAAATAAACACATATATGTATAAACGCTCGGACACTAGAAAAACATGTTCGGTAGCCAACCTACTCTCTGACACAGGAGGCGAGGACAGTACCAACTAGGTCATTCGGATTGTTTTATAGAAGTCAATTAACATTCAGCAAATAAATAATAATTATTTCTTTGGCTCAATGTCATTTACTTATGTGTATAGTAATTAAAATATTTATTACAATGGTGAATATATAATAAATTCTATAAAAAATATAACGTACTTAACGCTATATTTTTTATAGAAGTTAAGTAACATTTAACAAATAAATAATAATTCATAGTTTGCCTCAAGGGTATTTGCTTTTGTGTATAGTAATTAAAATATACTTAATATTTACTTCCTTATAAATATTTAAAAGATTTTATCCATAGATTTAGTTTTTCTCACATTTAACAATATATGAAATTGTATGGTCGGCAGTTAATGACTGCTTATTTTTTTTGGTAACAGAACCATGCCTGACATGTCTGCGGACAAAGCGTTCATAATCTTATTTTAGTTAATCATCGTTAGTGTCACTGCTGAGCATAGGCCTCCCCCACAGAACGCCGGGAAGCACGTTCCTGAGCCAACTGCATCTGAAACTTTTGACTTCACGCACACTTGCGAAACTGCAGTTGCCATCCCGCTTGCGAGGCCTGGTGACTATGGTAAAAACCACCCTCGTGATGGAAATCCAAGATTGCAGTTAATGCTCTAATAAAATATATCATATTATAAATACATTTTATTATCAGGGTTTGTTAGTTTACTATTTGAACATAAAACTGCCATAAAATCATTTGTCTAATTTACGCAAATACTACTTTTAATAAAAACTAGTTTATGCCGACGGAAAATCCGCCCAGTGACCATGATTCCCGTAATTTATTCTAAAAGCGATAAAGTGTGCAGTTTATTTAGTACGGATTTATGTATTCACAAATATATTATATTAACAACTGACGAAAAAAAAAGTAACTGTGTGTTAAATTTATTTCGTGGGCGCTATAAAAATAGTCATATAAATGCTTTTTTTTATATTACGTATTAAAAATATTATTTCAAATAGAAAGTCATAAACTGAAACGAGCGCCGATTAAAAACAAATACTATATTTTTATAGTGATTCGTTGCGTGTTGTTTAAAAAAATATTGAATGGAAATTCTCATGAAGCAATGTTCCAATTTCGATTAGTTCTACTTATGTCTATTACACAAAATTTATATGTAAAATGTACTATACCCGATTTGAGTGTGCAGAAATGTAAGTATATATTATTGTTAATTTTTTGATTCTATAAGTGCCATGCAACATTTTGTCCTGTTGCTCTTGTAAAGCAAGCATGACAGATAATTATGGTAAGATAAGAAAATAAGATAATCACTTCACATCAGGTCAAACGTCTCACTCGACACAATGTTATCAGAAGAAAGAATAACTTCCTGACATGAATTTAAACATCATCAAAGAAATATACATGTAACTGAAATTTAATTAAGGCTTGAATAAAAGTTTAATTCCTAGGTACATACTTCATATGACTTAAGCCGCTTGCGCACAAAATTTTATATGCGTGAGAACAATAAAATAGTAATAAGTCTGCTGTCAATCAAGTCTTAATCAATGGTTTTATTGTGCAGTGGACAGTAAGTTAATACAAAGAAAACGGCAAGATACTGTGGACATGTGTCGAATTTTCAACGAGGAGACCGCTCGACTAGAACAACTAAATAACGCTAGGAAGTCTAACAGAAATCGCAACATTAACAATTCGGAAGCGCCTAATCACCGAAGGATGAAAAGAAACGTAAACTCCCCTTACCCTGGTCTTAAAGATGACGACAAACGGAGAATTGAGAATATTGTAGACAAGCTTTACGATGACATGGAGGGTAACGGTCAAAAAGTCACTTACAGACAAAGACGTTTCAGCACTATGACAACCGAAAAGGTACGATGCATCATAATGGTAGGTTCTCGCAGCAATTTCTGCTGTTAGGTACATAAATAGACCGCCGCGTCAGAAGGAGTAACTACCACTGATTCACTGATATATTTTTACTGTTGTATGTCATATTAGCAACTCCACCAATGGATCCACCATTATTCCATAAGTGACGTTTATCACTTAAAATCGTCTGCTTATTTACCGTGTCCTATTATAAGAAAACAATCGAAAACTAGTATTAATTATTTGTAATGTTTTCAAGTAATAAACAATAAATTAACGTCATGGCCACCTCTTCATATACCAAAGACCGTGAGAATTCGCCTTGCCTCTTTGTTTTGTCGCATAGGCTGGGGATATGGAATCAAAGAAAGTAATATTTCATGACCTGGCTCCTCTGTATCATTTCTAGGCCTCCGGGTCTGTGTCTGTGCTATGCTTCTAAAGGGAAAGATTGCGACTATAGATTAGCCTCTTACGCCTGGTTTTGTTTATATCGTTGAAAATGACGAATACACAGCCCACGAACTCACACTGTCTTCTATAGGGCAAACCATGGAAAGCAGGGAGAGATCACGCCCCATGACCACTATTGATGCCACTCTGCCGGCGGGGCATTCATTCCCGATTCCCAATATCTCCCAGTGGGAGCATTCCACAGATACGGGAAACGACGAAGTTCCGAGATGATTTGTATCAACCATTTGTTGTGAAGGCCTTAACGCCAAACTACTCCTAAGGGTAGCCCGTATTGCTTCCCTGGTGTTTAAACAGGCAATGGGGTACTCCAGCGTCGGCTCCTATTATACCTACTACCAAACGACTTTTGACGGCGGTAGGCCCACGCAACGGTTTTCGCTGTTGCACGAATGGGCAGGTCCGTCCGGGTCCGAACACACAGAATACCGGCATAAAGTACAAGTGTTGCACTTTTGCGTTTCATCTGGTGAGTGAGGTTGAAGGGGCCCACAATATTAAGAGATGGTAACGCATCTGCTACCCTACGGGTGTTGCAAAGGTCCATGGGCAGGCGGTTATCACTTAACATCAGGTGAACCGCAAGCTCGTTTGCCACTTTCTCACATCAAAAACAACGAGCGGGGTTTGCCCCTCTATTCCTCAGAAGCCGATGGCATCAGATCTTTACTCCCTTACGTTAAAGTAGGCTAAATGTCATAAATAATAGGTACAATAAATCATTGTAAGGAACTTGAAAAAGCGTAGATCTTGAGTATGTATACCAAAACACACAAATCATACTCCTCAGAAGTACGTCTAAAGTAAAGGATAGTATAAAGTTCATATGTAGGCTGTTAGAGGACGGTATTGCAGTCTTGCTCACGCCGCAGCCCAAACCACTTTGTATCTTACTCCCCCAATACGTTAGTGTATAGATGCGAACACAGTTTTTATTAAGTTTTACACGCCCTGTACGTGGACGACAGTACGTTCTTCACATCTTCTCACGTCGCGGCGATTGCGGCGAGGAAAATGCAGCGCCAACTGGACCTGCTGCCCGAGTGGCTGGATAAGTGGCGGATGTCTGTCAACGTCGACAAGACGTCCGCCATATATATCCGCCGCATCAAAAACCAACCCACGCTTGAACTGCGAGGTCAGGCGATAACCAACCAGAACGTCATAAGGTACCTTGGATGCCGGATAGACCGCTCGCTGTGCATGGCTCCCCAGGTCGGACACGCCGTCCGACAAGCCAGGGCTGCTCGAGCCATGCTGTACCCTATCCTGGCATCCAGGTTAGCCATCAAGACCAAACTCGGCGTCTACAAGACGTACGTCCGTTCACGCCTGACCTACGACGCTCCGGCGTGGTACGGTCTGGTTTCCGCTTCGCAGAGGCGCAGGCTCCAGGCGCAGCAGAACTTCGCCCTTCGAGTGATCGTGGGGGCCGGGCGCTACGTCAGGAATGACGTAATCGCCCGTGATTTAAAAATGGAATCCATCAAGGAGTTTGTGGTCCGGTTGGCCAGCCACCCCCACACCTCCATAACATCGCACCCCTCCACGCCCGTCCTCCTGACGGGCGCCCAATCCCACGAGAACTACTGCGGTCGGAGGCTACTGGGGAGCCGGACCCGACCGCACTTCCGCCACTTAGAAAACGATGTCGTCCACGCGTTACACACCGCGTGTAACGCTGTACATCCGCCAGTGCCGCTACCGCGGTCAGAGTTAAGGATGGCCGTTGGCCATCTTTACCACCGACCAGCCTTTGCTGGTCGAGATCACGTCCGAGGCATGGGGGTTGCCCCGATAATTGACAAAAAGCAGGCCCCACGCCAATCTTCGTACATCATCAAGTTTTACTACATTTTTTTGATATTTATGTATGTAGTTTTATTAAACAATAAATAATTTTTTGCACTCGACCCAGAGCACGCGCGGCGAACTTCACTAAAGCGCGTTTAAGATTTAGGCAACCTATGCAAGTGATGTTTTTTAACCCTTTAAATCTCTTAAGTGACTTAAGAAGTATACCTGTTGTATATACATGTTGTATTCAGTATATAAAAATACATGTACATGATTTGACATTACGTACAGGCAGTTGTAAACACTACTGCAAGACGATTTCACTTCGCGCCGGCGGAACTATTGGGTCCAGAGACAACATTGACTCTTCGTCCCGATGAACCGATAGAGGGGAAAATATCTTGGCACAAACACTGGAAACACGGCATTGTGCCTTATTTTATCGATCCAAACACTTACGGTGCGTAGAATGCGGCAACTATGTTTCCTTTCTATTTAAATTTTTTTGGGTTCCATACCCAAAAGGTAAAACGTGATTCTATTACTAAGACTCCGCTATCTGTATGTCTATCAGTTCATCTGTCACCAGGCTGTATCTCATGTACTGTGATAGTTAAGCAGTTGAAATTTTCAGAGATATTGTATTTTTGTTACCACTATGGCAACAAATACTAAAAACAGAATAAATATATTTAAGGGGGCTTCCATACTAAAGACATTTTTTTGCTGTTTTTATAGATAATGGTACGAAAATCTTCGTGCGCAAATCGGACACGTGGCCAGATTTATAGTATGTAGTTATAAAAATTGGTCGAGCTGGCAGCAGAGGGGCTTATAATCTAGTTCATGTTAAACTTACAATATCGTTATTAAAAAATAATATGCATATTAAATAGAGACATACTGGACTCGATTCTTAATATACTTATTCGTATTATTCAAAGTAGATTTACAAAATTTTCATTTCTAACTAAACATCATGAATAATGCACGTTTAAGAAATTTCTCAGTATAGAAGAAAATAATTTCCAAATACAAACAGTAATTTCTTAAAATACACAATATATATAAACGAACCAATTATAAATTTTATTTTGACATTTAATCGTACTTGAACATAGTATGTATTCTTTTGTACATCTTACCGCACCAAATTCAGTGTCAGAAATAAGATTGCATTACAGATTCCTTGCTAGCAGACACGATTATAAAAGCCTTTGATTATTTTGAAAAGGCTTCTTGCATCCGACTGCAGCGTCTGCGGGAGAGACCGACGGATAAAATGTCACTGCAGAATGTCGAGTGGTTGTACATAAGCAATCCTTATGGGCTAAAGCAATGTGTGCATAGCAATGAACGCAAGGCCAATAGTGGAGTACAGGTATACGATAATTTTCTCTCTTAATTTTTGGTAATCTGTTAGAACTTCTGTACGTAATAATAATAGAACTTAGCTCTGTTGTTCATCGCATATTATAGTTATAACATATATAAAAGTTTTTAATATTTTAAAGAACATCACTGTTGGCGGTAAAATCTGGATTCAGTAATTGATTGCTATGAAAGATTATCTTTTGTAGATAGACCTGGCCCACCTATAATTATTGCAACCTACTTATTTTAAAGATTATGTTTACCACGCGTCTTATTTAAACGGGTTGCCCAAATGTTCCTACAATTGCATACAAGCACTGGCGTAATTAATTAAACAATTTTTTATCATTAAACGCCGCGATAAATGCGGTATAGTGATGATTTCGCCCGCAAGGAATTCGTTAAATGTATAACATATTGAATCACGCTACTTTTTTTTGAAACCCATCTGAATCATATAATAATTATATTATAGTAGACTCAGACCGTGAGTCTACTATAATATAATTATTACGTTGACCCTTATAGCATAATTATTTGTTGGTATTATGCGATATTTCTGTTAATACATAATACATAAATAATATTGTGTTAATTTAGTGCCATTTTATTTTTTTAAAACTCACAATATGACGTTTGAACATATTTCAGATGGTAGTATTCGGATACGAATGTCTATCACTCGGAGAGATTGTGCATGAAGTAATGCACATCCTTGGTTTCTCTCATGAACATACAAGGCCAGACAGAGATCAATACGTTACGATTATATGGGATAACATTAAGCCTGGTAAATATTTTTGATAGGTAACAAAACAACACTTATGTTGACATGAATTTTGGTCTTTTGGGTAGTATGTAATGATTGTAGTAACTGAAGTTTTCACATCGGTGCCTACAGAGCGATACATGCATCTATAGTTCACGTCAGTTTGTGCAATACAATATGAAAAACTATGCAGGCATGCTGTCACTTTTATACCGCTGTTCCAATTGCTGTCCAGCTGTTTTGGTTTCCTTTTTCCAGTGTACAGTGTACAGTCGCGAACGACGACGTTATTTGAACACGGATGTTTAGATATTAGGTTTCATAAAACAATAAACTCCGATTTTTGTACATGACTCTACATTATCCAGTACTGCACAGAAATCATGAAGCCAAATTCGTTTAGGTACATGGAAATGCAAAATAATTGGGATAGAAAAAAACTTGAGAATTGGGGGAAAATACAGCAAAGTACAGCACCTTACACGTGATAGAAGTGAAATCCTTAAAAACATTAATAATCACATAACTTGATCCATATTAATTACACATCGCAGAGTACCAAGGATGTTCTTGTATAGAGTCTTACGCGTACATCTACAACTAGCGCACGCTCGATATTTATTCCATCACGTATTCACTACATACGATGCTCTCTCTCTTTATATTACATATCTTTCTCTCTCGTGTAACGAAATTTACCTAAATGTGATGAGGTCTTGAAATTTCATCTTTGAATCCGGTTCAATTATCGATTCTTCTCTTCCGCCTACGGAGTTTTACTTCAAAACATAACTCAAATTTAGATCCGAGCTTTCAAATATGGCTTTCAATTTTATTTTAAATTTGATATATGATCGCGGGAGGGAATAAAGGTGATTGAGGTGTCCTATTAAAGTTCGTGCCTGAGCTATAGTTAATCAAATTATTTTGATCCAATCCGTGCAGAAACGTCTTACAGCACATTATTAAGTTCTTACATTGGTGGTCTGCTTGAGTCACGTTTTAATGTTATTTACCTATAAGGTAATCTTTATTAAAGTATTATGTTGCCCAGTAAATCACTATGTTAACTAAATTATAAGTTAACAAGAACAGAAATATTGAATATTAAATATAAATAATCGTCAACATTGCAGGTTACAAAAAGTACTTCGCGATTCGACCCGACGACCCGCTGTTGAGTCTTTCTTATGATTATGCAAGCGTCCTCCATTATCCCGCTCGGGCCTTCTCCAAGAACGGCCAATCTACTGTACTTACCAACGTAAATAGCAACTTATAACATCTATTAATGTTATAACCTAAATAGACTTTAAGCGTGTTTCGAAACAGTCCCTATGAGCGTTTCAAAACGGATGCTAAGATGGGATTGTGAGCCAATGGAATGGAAGAAGAAAGGAATGTGATTTTATTTTTGTATTTTATGCGAAAACTTGTCAAACGAGCAGACGGTTCACTGATGTTAAGTAAATACCGCCGCTCATGGACATCTGCCACACACGAGGGTTACAGATGCGTTGACAACCTATTGAAAATTGGGCTCCGGCTACCTCACTGACCAGACGAAACGCGAAAGTATTTGTCATACTTCCACTTTACGCTGGTCTTCTGTGAGGTCGTGGTACTTACCCGGGCGGGCCTGCCCATTCCGAGCCGAGGCTGCAGCGTGGCCCTACCACCGTTAATCCGTGAGCCAATATTCCTAACCTAGTCGATTCATAAGTTCTGTCACATGCTTATTGAGAAATAATTGACACTTGTTTGTTTTACAGTAATCATTAAAATAGAAGAAGTAACTTACTAAAACATAGATTCTTATCTAGAACTTAGAACTAAGCCTATTCAAAATTACCCCCACGATTTTGAATACAAGCTTTCAAGCTGCGCGACTAGTCGTTTAGCAGTATGTCCATATCAATATCGACAGCTGCTTTGATCGAACATACATGGACTGACTCCAAATTAGGATAAGCACCATTTTCACCGTGGTTCTGCTTAACCTAATCTGAAGGACCAACAGATTCTGCTCGCACATGGGATTTCTTTGGATTCCCGTCTTCACAGCTTTAGATAAAGCTGTGAATATTAACAGAGATTGCTAATATCCTACCAACACAAGGGGATCACTTCTTTTTCTGACTTCTACACCTGAAGTTTCATCATATCTTTTCATGGAGCGATAAAATAATCTTTTGCATTTTTTTTGTTTGTATTAACGCAATCTGTTTCTATGAACATTAAGCATTAGGTTAAGTATTTATAGATTGTCTTGCAGTGCAGTCGTTCCAGTGACGTGTGGCCATTGTTTATCATGTTTCCTATAAATCTCTAGGGGACTTTTTTTTAGTCCCTTAACTCAGCATAAGTTACTTCAAACTTAATGAATACTATTTATTAAGTTTGAAGCCAGGGAATTTGGATGAGAGTCCAATTTTATGTTATACGATTCTATTAAGTATTTAATCTCTTATTGTTCTGATTTCTAAATTATGGCGTAGTTGTTGGTTTGTTATAAACCACAAAACTTATGACCCGACTAGGTTTAAATAAGGCTTTGCGGAAGATTGCGTTTTCGTGTTCCCGTGTCCCCGGCAAAGCGACAGCGCAGGTGCAACGTGGGTTTTTTAGTGGGTACGCCGTAACTCCCACATACCCCTGATGCCTACCCACAAGGCGGCGGCCATAAAGGATTTTACCCACGTAAAAAAAAAAAAGGATTTTTCTAAATATTTTTTTGTATTGCATGGAGGGCTCAGAGGATTTAGAAAACTAAGTCTGGAAATTGTAATATAGTTAGATATATATCAGGACATCTGTAAACTCAGGTTGCTCCAGTGTTATTAATTTGATAACTCCTTGATACTATATCATTCCCAAACAATACTTATAATTATCTTTCAAATTAAGATATATTATTGTAGAGTTTTCTTACATATTAATCGAGTTACTATTTGCTTGAAAATTCAATTTATTTACTGCATAAAACACTACACTATACATAAACTACTACATTATATTAATATGTTTCATCAGTCCAATGTAAAGATCGGACAGCGGGAAGGACTCAGCGAAACCGATGTTCAAAAAATAGGAATAGTATACGGACGAGAATGCGTCGAACGAAATCGCCAATATTTGCTCAAAACTTGTCCCAGTGTTGTGAAGAGGGACAGAGAGGAAACGAAGAAGCCAACTCAAGATGAAATCGAGGAATACTTCAAAGATCGACTCTGGCCGTATGGAATAGTGAATTATAGAATGAGAGACCGGTTAGAATTTTGTAAGTAGTTAATTCAATAACCAATATAACGAAATTAACGTGTACTAAGTAAATTTTAAACGGGAGAACGAATTTACAGCTGCCGAAGAGAGAGAAAACCTCAAGGCGGTCATTCGTCATATAGAAAAAGAGACGTGTATACAATTCAGAGAACTAACGTATGACTCTGTACAAGCTGGAGAGCCAGCTTATACCACCACGAAAAGTACTGTGTTAGAAACAACCCCAGCGATGAGTGACAACGAGATTAAAGAAAATGATTCATCAAACGAAGAAAGCGGTGTCCAGAAATCGTTAACACCAACAGTTTCTGATTATGGACAAGGTTTGTTACCAACTTTTAGCAACGGTTTATAGCATTCGAATGTTTTATTACGCTTTCACGTTGCAGGTATAAATTCTGACGTTGTGGAACCGCCAACAGAAACAACATCACGACGTCATGCAGCTAACATTATGATTCTCTCCCGCTCACCTAAACCGGGATGCGTATGTCCACCGCCAGGGAGGCCAAATGGCAATAAAGTACTTGTTGACTTATTTTTTAACATTGTGTTACAGGGAACAACGCCCAGTCATTTAAAACTATTTATTACAATTTCAGATATTAGAAATAAGCTCGGACTGTTTCAACTCTGTGAACGAGCTTTTACATCTGTTCGTACACGTCCTCGGTCTGGATCATCAACATAACATGCATGACCGTGACCTATTTTTGCACATCGTTTGGAACAATCTGACTGCGGGTAATACGAGTTTATCATTTACTTCTTAAGCAGGACAACAGATACTTTTTTGGGTTTCATTTTTAATTTCTGTCTAAGGCTGAGTAGATCGTTTCTTAGAAAGAAATAAGGAAATTTAATTTAGAAGTAATCCACAAATGCAGCAGAATCTTTTTTCTGAGCCTTGGGGAAACAGGGGCGTAATACGTATAACATATACGGGCGTAATATATATAGTATAAGAGTTCACTATCTTACAATTTTGTAGATCACTATCTGTCATAACAGTCGGGCATCTATAAAGTCCAAAATATACTACTATACCTTTATACTATATTTACAACTGTACGTATAGATTCTTGATTATTATAGAAATCGGACAAGAAATGCAGCAAAAACTTCCACCGGCTGCTGCCGTTGGATTTCCTTATGATTATCAGAGCGTCATGCATTACCCGTGGCTTCAAATAACAAACGGCGTCACCAATATAATGTATCCAATATGGGTAAGAAACATTAAAAATATAAAATCATAATATCATAAATTCAAATTCTGATCAATATTTTCTTGGATGCACTCCAAATACCATCTGAAAATGTTGGAAATAATATATCCTTATAAAATCACATGTAATGGACATATTATATATTTAATGACAATGGCTAGTAAAAATATGATGACGTAGTAGCGAATAGGATTAATTAAATCAACTTGATGTATTGACATTTTTAATTTTAGAGCGTACATTAATTTAGTAATAATCATGACAGTACAATCACGGTACAATCGCCATGATTATTACTAAACTTATGTATAGGCATGCTTATCTGGGGAATTACCATGGCCTTAGAGAAAACCGGCGTGAATTCATACTTTTGAATCTCATCAATTGATTGAGGCAACTGGGGCCAATCTTGAAGACAATGCAACTGCAACCCCATAGGTGGTATAGGTGTTCATGGACTCAAACTGTCTGCTCGTTTGCCACCTCCTTTCATAAAAGTATATTTTCACACCTTTTTCCAGAATGATGGCTGGGCAATGGGCCACTGGCAAGGATTAAGCGCGACGGATGTCCAAAAATTGAATCTTATATACGCAAGACAATGCGATCAACGTACGGCATTAGAGACCATCAATGATGACTAAAAAGAAGAAATCTAATTTAAAATATCATTCTGATAATACCAACGCTTTTTATTCACCTATTCATTTTAGACATTTATCAATATTTGCTTAGCAGGAAACTAGGATCATAAATCTAAATCAAATTAATCGAAACAGTTTCCAAAATTATATAAAAACAACGAAAGCGATTCAATATCGGTTAAAAACACATCTCAGCATATCTCAATCAAATGACAAAAGTTCGTAAAAAAAATGAAATTTCTTATATTCCTTTTCATTTTTTCATATCATAGTAAAGAAACTTGCATAACGCGATGAAAATAAAATATCAGACTTACATATTATAACACGTTTAATCAATACATATATAATTTAAATATTTATTTCTAGTTGCTAAATAAGAATTTTTGAATTTTTTCAGAAATATGACTATTTAAATTATGAAAAAAATTACTGAATTAAAATAATTTGAAATACTGTACTGCTTATTAAACTCATAGTTGAGATTATTTTGAGTCGACATTTTACTATTAATTTTTCTCAACACTAGTGAATTTCCTCCAATACTCCTTCTATTAATTTTCAATAACAATAAAATAAACCGTAACATACATATTTAATGTACACATACATTAAGTATAGACTTTCATTTTAATAAAAGTCAAATATTTTATCACGATTTATTTTAACTTTAAACTTAATACCTTAGTTAATTCTTCAATAACATTACCTACGTCATGCGATCAATTGTAAATATTATAATTTGTTTTCACGGGGCCCACCTAGAAAATGTCCCTGTATTATCTTATTAAAATTCTACATCTTTATCATCTTCAACATCATCTTCTTCATTTTCCGAAACATTTTCATCATTGTCAATATCACTCTTAATATCTTCGATTTGACGATTATTAGTAATTTGAGTGTCATTTCCATTACTTTCCACGCTCTGTTCTCTTGGAGGCATTTCAATGTCGTTAGATTTGGATGGATTGGTAGATTTGTCTTGTTTAAGTTCATCATGCAAAACAGTTTTGCACATATCCAGTAGATCATCCACATTACGTCTTTTGCATTCTTGTCCAAACATCATTCGTAACTTCATGGTGTCCAATTGAGACAAACCATCTGAAGGGTTAATAATTAACCCAGATATCTGTAATTGGAAATTAAACATTTTTCTTTGAGATTAGATACAGTAAAATTTATACGAAATAACTTATATAAAGCCATATAACCATGCCATTGGCTAACACTTATATCATTAGCTGTCACTATCATACACACATAATCTACCCCGTTTTGATTAAAATACTGTATTATATCTCAAAAATATCATGCTTTCTTCAATAATTTATGATTTCAATCAGTATTTTTCATATTTCTTAAGGAACAAGTTACTCTTCCACACACATATTTCATAAAACCTAATACAGAGACCAATAAACCCAGGTCCAACTTCACAACAACATTACGTCACACACCGCGGAGGTAATAAATTGTTATTAAATTGAAACGTTTACTGTAAAACATGTACTCTAATAACACAAAAGTATTCTGAAGCTCTCTTCTTCGGAGGTATACTCTAACGGTCCACAAACAATCACCCTTACCTTTATAGTGTATAGATGTGATAATAATAAATACGTCACTAAGGCTTAAACACCTCGAGTGACGACGGCCATCGGGATTTCGGTCCGAACCGCGACCTCGAAGGCCCTTAGATGACACACCATAGTTAAACGCATGAGCACATGCGTGGCCCTACCCACAGAGGAGGGCCCAAACCCGTGGGTTCTGGCTAGCCCACGGGTTCTGCGTCAGATGAAGCTTTAATAGTCTCGGGACTGAAAGCAGAACCATCAGTTAATACAAGATACAAGAAGACCTCGAGTGAAGATGTCCCCGCAAGTAAACACTGAATAACTACGCTGCATGAACGAGAAAGTATTTTGATAATTTCTTGTATTTACGCGATTACACATTATAAATGAAACTAATTTTACGGATTTATCGCGTTTATTTTTGATTTTAATTCCAGAATCCGAGAAAGTATCTTGTCCCCGAGAAACCCTCCTATAACTTTTAACCATATAATGAGAACTTACTAATGTACACATATCCATAAGCATAAACCTCAATGAGTTGCGGACAGCCGGTGGTTTCAAATGGCAGTGTCGTTCATTGTGCCGTTCTAGGGGTCAGAACTTTGTTCAACGGTGGACATTCCTGATTTAGGTTCTACCAATTCGTTGAAGCATGATGAATGAGACAGAGAAAGCTTAACGGCCATCACAAAACACAATAAATGAACTTCAGGGACTTATTTATAATTTTACAGAAATGTGTAGAATTATTATGTACACACCAAAGGTGCAACTGTCGCACGACCATTAAGGCTGAAAGCTCTATCGTGAAACTGCATTACGCTCATCGGATCGTACTCCGATAGTGTCTTCAACGATCCGTCATCTGCTTGTATACGGAAAAGATGATGATAGCCTGAAAAGTTTAATTTATCGTTACCAACAAATTTCATGTAGAAAGAGGAATGTCAATGAATGTACAATTATACTCTTTTAATATCAAAATCAGTACAATCTATACATAATTCAGCGTGATTCGTAACGAAGCAAAGTACTTAGACAATATGCTGCACGTTACGTCACATGATAGGGTATGCTATGTCATGTGGTTGGGCCTTGTAAGTCTTCGCTGTTGGACGAATGGGCGGGTCCGTCTGAGGAAGTACCACGATTTTACCGAAGACCGGCGTGAAGTACAAGTGTTGCACTTCTACGTTTAGTTTTAGTTTCCGCCATATATGGCATTCCCGTTGAAAGGATTGTGACAGAGTACGGTTCACCTTTGCATCTAAAGTGGGGACGAATTTGCTTCTCTCTCGATAATCCTAGTGTTATCACCAATTCTGTCGCCGATTTTCAGGATATTACGCTGTTATTCCCTCCTCTGCGGTCTCCATTCAATGCACACCCCGTCCTATTCCGATTGCTCTTGCAAGGTGGCCTCTCTTGCCAAATATATAAGTAAAATTTCGCCTCCACGTCCCATGTAAACAGGTATCGTCTAAGCACGTAATCAGAGTTGAAGATAGATTAGTCCGTTTTTCGTTGGGTGCTCTTGCATTCTGATCTGTCGGAAAGTCTATTCAAAGCATATTTGTATCCTTGTATCTTTACCATATTTGCACAATGGAGGCCACTCATTCATCAACACCGCAAAAGAAAATGCGGTCTTGGGGTACTCTTTTCGCGACTTAATCAACTCTGGATGATAGTGTAAACACACCGCCAACCCCACCGGGATGGGTAAAGCCAATGCCAAAAACCAGATTTCGACAGAATTAAAACGAATTAAGATACTTTTCTCTCTTTTATCCACAATACGAGTGATGGAATCCCATCCATCGTGCTTATGACGTAATCTTCAGAGTTTGCAGCGTTATTGACACGTCTTTTTCAACTATACTGCAGCCAATCCCTAATAAAGGTGGGTTTGGTGGCTGCTATATCTTCGATTACTCTCAGGTACATTGGCTGATCGGGGAAGGCCAGTATGATTGCCGTAGAGGTTTCTTAGCTCGCGGACCTTCTCGTGTACATTCTAACTCACCAATGGATATAAACAAAGGATTTTATATAAGGAACATTTGCCCGGTGATTTCTACACCAGCTGAGCAAATATTTCGCAAATACACGTCGACGAGTATCAGATCAAGCTTGTGACGAGAAGCTTTAATTTAAGTTTTATCTCACAATCCCGGTTTCGAGCTGACTAAAATTAACTTAATTTAACTTTAGGGTAAAAATAAGTATTCCTGGTAAAGAAACTCTTTGTCACGTGTTTTTGAGGCCTCCACTTGTTGCCAATGTTGGCGTTGAAATGTCAAACAAAGTTCAATTTCGTGCTCACTTGGAACATCAAATTGACTACTATATTACGGTGTCGTTAGTAGAGCGAGGAAATTTTGGAAATTTTCTAATTTATTTCGACTTTTCCTGCTTTATCTCCACAGTCCAAGGTCTAAAACTAATGAAAATTATTATCTGACCATATGGGAACTAAACTGAACCAATGCTAAAACATTGTTTACAATCGATTCATAAATAAGGGTTTTTTGAGGTAGCAAACATAAAAAAGAACACGACCGATTTGAAAACATCCTCCTGTTTGCAGTCGGTTGAAAACAACTAAGTTCTTGATCGATTCAGTTGCGTTTACCTGGCTGTATGTTGTCCCATAGAATCCGGATGTATTGATCCCGCTGTGGATGGGTCACCTCATCTTTGAACCCGATGCCGTGCATCAGCGTATGCAAAATCTGCTGCTCGGAAAGGCAATCTAGACCGAAAACTAGAGTCTAACAGCGAGAAATAATAATAAAAACTGTTACATTTATTTGTGTTATGAATCTCGTGTGTATAAACGTTTTTTTTTTGTGTGAAGGTGGCAAGCGAGCAGGTGGTTCGCCTGATGTTAACTGACCACCGCCACCCATGGACATTTTCAACACCCTTAGGGTTTCAGATGCGTTGCCACCATTTAATAAAATGGACCCCGTTACCGCACTTATGAGACGAAACGCAGAAGTATAACACTTCCACTTCACGTCATTATTCTTTGAGAAGAGAATATGTATATACGTATATACGTCTAGATAAAGTTTCGCCTCATAAATTGCACCCTAAAGCTACTCTAGCTTTTATATGAGTGAATTTATGTCATTCGTTCCCAAACAGCGTCCGACTACACGTCGCCTCTAGGAGGAGCCGACTGTACCACCTACATAACACATAGGTACATTAACTAAAACACACATGGCTCAGCGCGCTCGCCAGCGAGTAGAGGTCTCCGATTCTGAACCTACACACGATACCAACAGGCCACTTTTAAATCATTTACATCGTGTTCTTATTGTCATTTAACATCGTGTCAACAAAAATTGGTTTGATCATCCAGTAATTACGAAACTTTTTAATTCAAAAAAATTTTTTCGTGAATCTTGTGTTCGCGTAATTGATTGATGGTCGTTAGTATATTATCTCGAAATTAAATCGCAATTTCAACCTACTTGTCTAATTACAAGCTATATTGTTTCCCCCGAGTCCGGGGATCGTCTTACGTTTACCCATGAACCGACTGTCGTTGTCAAAGTTGTCAAAGCCGCTGGTCTACCGCTTACTACACTAACACAAAAAAACGATTCCCAAAATTTTTACAACAGGGTACAATAGGGTTGCATGTTTCTGAATATACGAGACGACCTATATCCGTAAGTGATACCAGTGAGATACCAGTGGGTAGTATTAACTATAATTGTGTATAGATAATTGTGTATAGAGATATAATCGTTGTGACAGTTACAAAACAAACTGACGTTTATATGAAAATAAATCTTTTTCATTGTAAAGTAAAGTACAGTAACAGCCTATACATGTCCTACTGCTGAGCAAAGGCCTCCTATATACAGAGGGTATCAGGGCATAGTCCACCACGCGGCCCCACTGCGGATTGGCGGACTTCATATATTCGAAAAATGTTTTTTTGTTATTATTTCGAAAATATGCAGGTTTCCTCACGATGTTTTCCTTCACCGCGGAGCACGTGATAAGTCAGCACTTAAAGTTAAAAACTTCATTGGTGCCGGCACCGGGGATCGAACTCAGGTTGCTCATCACAGCTCTTTTTCTTTGGCGTATATTTATTACGAAATCTGTATTATTAAACATATTTTAAAAACCGATTGGTACTTCGTTTTATTTGAAGATTTAACTTTAGAAATTTATTTATAGTGCTAATCTTTGCACTTAAGATTGAACATTAAAATATGTAGAAAAAGTGCGAAAAGATTGTCGCCGCTGTGGGAATCGAACCCACGTCTTCGGCATTCGCGGCCTGACGCTCTAGCCACTGAGCTAAACGGCTGATTACCACACCGAAGAAAATCTTAACGCATTCTTCTACATTGTTTTCTTAGCATTTGAAGCAATGCTTGGCGCCATCTATTGTTATATCCTTTCCAGCATACAAACAACTTCGAATATCGTTTTACAACGATAATTCGAAGAGAGATGGCGCCATTGCTTTTTTTTTTTAGAAATTTAAATTGTTTATAGTGCTAATCTTTGCACTTAAGATTGAACATTAAAATATGTAGAAAAAGTGCGAAAAGATTGTCGCCGCTGTGGGAATCGAACCCACGTCTTCGGCATTCGCGGCCTGACGCTCTAGCCACTGAGCTAAACGGCTGATTACCACACCGAAGAAAATCTTAACGCATTCTTCTACATTGTTTTCTTAGCATTTGAAGCAATGCTTGGCGCCATCTATTGTTATATCCTTTCCAGCATACAAACAACTTCGAATATCGTTTTACAACGATAATTCGAACGAGAGATGTCGCCATTGCTTTTTTTTTTCTTAGAAATTTAAATTGTTTGTAGTGCTAATCTTTGCACTTAAGATTGAACATTAAAATATGTAGAAAAAGTGCGAAAAGATTGTCGCCGCTGTGGGAATCGAACCCACGTCTTCGGCATTCGCGGCCTGACGCTCTAGCCACTGAGCTAAACGGATTTAACTTTAATCTCATCTAAGCATTCCTCAAAGTTGCAGTCTCTACGGTCCTTTGCTAGCTTGCCTTTACTAACGTGGTAATCCTAAAACTCTTCTTAAACGTGGTAAACTTGTAGTAGCGTTCAGGTCATATTGTTTAATATGTAATCTTTTCGCTTTATGCTCAACAATGACTTACCACTTCGCCGCTTTTATCATAGCGCGGCAGATGCATGCATTCTCGTTCAAACGAAGGATTAGTGATATGCAACCACGTCGTGTTCAAGTTCGGTTTGCCGATTATCGGCTTGAAGCGAATGCAAGATATGCCCTCCAGCTCGTTCATTGTCATCCGTAGGCGCAACGCTATGATGTGGTCTACTTAAAAAAAACTTATTTTGTGAACGGCAATAGCCTTTTTAAAACCTGTTAACCGTCGTTAATTATTTATTTTTCTAACTGTCATTATTTCACATACACCGGCTTATAAATTGCTTACACTTAAAATAAGATGGTAGCGAAACTGTATCTTTTGTTCTGTTAACAAACTGTTATGATTTTGGCATTTACATAAATTTTCAATTTTCCCTTAAAATTAATTGACAAAATAATAAAATCTCATTCAAATAGTATAAATTTTTACGTACCGTAGCTTTTGTTATCTAAAAAGTAGGGTATAATTCCATTGATCCAAGTTAATCCTATTTTTTCGTGCACTTGTTTAACAACTTGGTTACGTGCTGTTACGGCAGTATAAAAGAAAAATAAACATTTATGTGATATACAAACAGGCAAAACAGTACTCCTCTCTGCTCTGTTTCATCCATCCATTTGTTTGTTTAGTAACTAATATTTGACTAACATTATCAATAAAAAAATAAATCAGAGGTGTCAAGGGACACCCGGATGGAACGAAGTTCCTTTCGATTAATTAGTGAAGGAATTGTAATATTTTTTTTTAGTTATAATAATATTTTTATGTACAAAAAACCTGTATACAGTCAACAAAAATAATCGTCGCGACACCACACTGTTCAATGCGAAATAGAAATGAAAATATCTGGCTTGCTTTCTATAAGAGAGAGAGAGAGAGAGACAGACAGAGAAACATGCGCACGCCGCACAGCTTACAATAGCTTACTATAGCATAAAGTGTTGTTACAACTTTGTACGACTTTGTACGCTTAAAATAGCTTACTATAGCATAAAGTGTCGTTACAACTTTTCGTGAAAATTTTTTCCGTCTGTCCCCCTTTCACAACGCGCGATAAGGAACTTCGTTCCAAAATTTCGATAACATTTTTTTTTCTTCCTGTATTATGGTACTAAACTACTTCGAATCGTAAGGAAACAAATAAGTGTATGGTCAACACACATACATACACAATAAACGGTATAAGAGGGCAAAAAATTGTTTTCATTCTGGATTTTCGCCTTGGTAACCTCAAGCCACAGGTTTGACGAACACCATGAGTCTTACATGTGCTCCCATATCATATGCAGGACTCTATGGGGTCTTTGAATATAGGTACAGTGATGAATCTAGCATCCCTTTTTAAGAGATGAAAGCTTTCGTTGCAGACGTGTGTTAGAATACGAAATATGGTTAATGCGTTATATTTATCCTATTGTACAAATGTCAATTAAATATTTCTGATATATATAAACGATCTCCCCAAAATTACAGCTGACCATTGCGTTTTGTTTGCAGACGATATATCAATTTTAATACCGTCTGAAAATAGTGTCCATTTAAGTAATAAGATCACCTCTACATTAGACCGCATTACCGAATGGATGAGCAAGCACAACTTAGAATTAAACTTCTCAAAAACTAAAATTATGATCTTTCACCCGCGCCAAAAAAATCCCTTAGATTTCAACTTTTTCTACAGAGATATACAACTTGAAGTTACAAGAGAATTTACATTACTAGGAATAGACATAGACACACACATCAATTGGAAAAAACATACACAAAAATAAGTAGTAAAATATCGCGTTTCACATATGCACTCAATGAAATTAAAAAATCTACTGACTTGAAAACTGCCCTTGCAGTATACTATGCCTTTTCTTTTGCATGGCTTAACTACGGGTTGATTCTCTGGGGGAATAGCACAGGTGCTCCTGCAATTTTTACTCTACAAAAAAAGCTTATAAAAATCCTAGTTAATATAAATCAAACATATAGCTGTAAACCCCACTTTAATAAGCTAAATATACTTACCTTACCAAGTTTATATATATATATATATATGAAATATGTGAAATATGTGTATTGTTCGAAAAAATCCTTGGCTTTATCAAAAGCGCAGTGAAATTCCTGTACAATACAACTTACGACATAAAGACAGACTAATGCAACCCACTTCTACACTACAATTATACTCAACGAGTCCCTATGTAATGACCATCAAAATATATAATAAACTACCGCAAATATTAAAAGACGAAAAAAACAATAAAACTTTCCTAAAAAAATTAAAAGAATTGTTACTTACCAAGTCATATTATGACATAAAAGAATATTTTGGAAATACCTTGGATATAATAGATATAAATAACACATAATGATCTCACATTATAAATATATTAAACAAATTACTCATAATTAATATATAAATTAAAACTAATAAATGTTACCTATAAAAATAAATAGCCTCTCAAAATACCAACTACATATACAAGTACCCATTAAATTACCTAAGTGATACATCTTGCTCTCTCCGAATTTATGATTTGTTTTGTACTATGCCCTATAAACAGGGTCCATAAAGAACTATTTTACTAATTACCCTAACACCTTTTTGTTACTTAATGGATGTGCAATAAATAAATAAATAAATATGTAGGTATACAAATAGCGAATACGTTAAAATAACAAATAATTACCTTTCCAAGTGTCTAATTTGTTTGCATATGCTAGTGAAAGTAATGCTATTTCAATAAGAAAGAAATATCCAAATCGAAACATGTTCATTTCTTCGCAGGTACAAGAACTTGAAATTTAAATCAATACGAAACGGATTTATGTAACGTGAATATAACTTTTGCTTTATATATTTTGATTGATTTGATTTTATATTTTATCGTTGCGCTGGTAATGTGAAAAATAATAAAATGTTGAGCACTTGCAAAGGCGTATTAACTTTCGGCTATACCTATCATTTTAAGGGCGTAAAGGATAAGTCTGATGGATTCACATACGTACATACATGCGATGAACTGGGATATTTGACATTCTGGTGTCATTACTAAAAACCGGACTAACTTCAACTTAAAAAATATTAGTTTTATTCCGAGCCAAGGCTCTTTTAATTTCAGAATTTATAACAGAATACCATCAACAAAATATCAAGCCAGTGGTAGACGCAACCATGTCCTCATGTTTTTTTTTATTAATAAAGTTTTTTTTTTATTTGAAACGTTGCTAAACGAGCAGATGGTTCACTTGATGTTAAGTGAATACCGCCGCCCATGGAAATCCGCTACAACCGAGGGTTACAGATGCGTTGACAACCTTTTGAATATTGGGCTCCGGCTACCTCACTCACCGGACGAAACGCGAAAGTATTTGTCATATTTCCACTTTACGCTGGTCTTGTGTGAGGTCGTGGTACTCACCCGGACGAGACTACCCATTAGGGATGGGTCGATATCAAATATCAGATTTCGAAACTATGTATTTTAATATCTAGATATTTACGGTTCCCTATCCACGTTGATTTAATGAATTCAAAAAAAAAAAAAAAAAAAAAAAAAAAAAAAAAATGTATACTTTAAGGGAGTGGATATAACATGAATGAAATAACTTCCCTTCATACTTTTTCCAGGCTTAGGACTGGCTGCAATATTTCATACTTATTATAAATATAAAATTGTGCAGGCGTATTTAAAAGTTGATTCATTCTATTTACATAATTTTCCTTATATTTAAAACTTAACATTATATATTTACAATTATGTCAGGGTTAATAATTATTTATATCCCTCCGGGTTCAAATTCACGTTTAGGAACGTAAGCTCTCTGACTTTATTCGTCGAAAGTCTTGTTCGACGATCATTAATAATTAACCCTGTCTTACTAAAAATGCGTTTTTTTAAATTATTAAATTAAAAATTTCATTAAAAATAAATTGAAGTAATATAAAAAATGATTTATTTTAACATCTTATATACCGCTTAATAATTGACTTTAACATATTTTTAGAACACGCAATCGAGTGGCAATATTTTTTTTATTTGTGTAAGAAATAATACATTCAGTATTATAGCTTAGGGCGGAAGAATTTAAAATATACACACAAGGCACATAAGCCTTGGTCTGATTTCCACCAAAGCAGCACAGCACTATTAAATTATATTTTTCTTTTTGTGTACTTTTATTTTTTTCCAAAAATATGAATAAAATTTAGCTAATAAAAATATTCACAAAAAATTTACCTCCTAAAAAATTCATTGTATATTTTTCTTCCTTAATTTAGGCAGAAAATTCTTAAGTAGTAAGTTGGCATCCCTTACTATTACGTGTTAAGTACCAATGCAATCCAGCTCAAGGCTGAACAAAATTTCAAAGACATCGTTAATACCGTAATTCGTATTTAAATGCAACAGAGTTTTTTTCCATGCTGTTAAGATTCAAAATTACTTAACTGCGCGCTTTGTCGCCCGTTACGGCTCAAGGCTAAACAAAACAATAAAAATATAATAATATCGTTGTAGTAATCGCTGATACCAAGATTAGTATTTAAATGAAACGGATCTTATTTGCATGGTGTTAAGATTCAAAATTACTTAACTTATTCATAATATCTGTTTAAAAATCTGATATCGTGCATTGCTTGCCGTCCCACTCTAACTAGTAAGTGTTTATATCTCACGCGCTTTGTCGCTCGATATCTGATATCGTGCATTGCTTGCCGTCCCACTCTACCTAGTAAGTATTTATATCTCACGCGCGCTTTGTCGCTCGATATCTGATATCGTGCATTGCTTGCCGTCCCACTCTAACTAGTAAGTATTTATATCTCACGCGCTTTGTCGCTCGATATCTGATATCATGCATTGCTTGCCGTCCCACTCTAACTAGTAAGTGTTTATATCTCACGCGCTTTGTCGCTCGATCTGATATCTGATATCGCATTGCTTGCCGTCCCACTCTAACTAGTAAGCATTTATATCTCACGCGCTTTGTCGCTCGATATCTGATATCGTGCATTGCTTGCCGTCCCACTCTAACTAGTAAGTATTTATATCTCACGCGCTTTGTCGCTCGATATCTGATATCGTGCATTGCTTGCCGTCCCGCTCTAACTAGTGAGTATTTGTATCTCACGCGCTTTGTCTCTCGAAATCTGTTTAAAAAATCAGATATTGTGGCAAACGCGTATGATATCGCCGTATCGCGATTCGTGTCGGTATAGCGAGCGAGCACGGTACATCAGATTTCGGAAATATCAGATATTGTAAAATACATAGATATTGAACGAGCCAGTAAGCGATATTGGGATATTGTACTAATATCTAGTTTTCATATCTGATACGATTTGTATCGCCCACTTCTACTAGCCATGCGTGCAACAGCCGATGCTGCTGCGTGGCCCTACCGCCGTAATAATAAACCGTAGTATAACAATTAATATAAATCTGGAAGTTTGTATATCAATAGCCCAGTAAATTGTTCTTGGCAGGTATATAAAATCTTTAAATGGTCGAACGGTCACGTATGTATTAGGAAACTACAGAGTCTTCAGTCGTCACACGAGTTTTGATTACTCTCTTTGTTTATCCGATATAAATGAGACTGTCGAAGTTTATACACTATAAGAGAGAAATGTTACAAGTGTAACATTTTGTCCATAATTTTAAAACATAACTTATCTTTTTCAGCTTGTAAATGTTTTGACGGATACTCGCTTCAATGCTTCGTACATATAGAAGGACTGCAGGTATCCGCTCCAATCCGGTTTCGGTCCCTGTGGTCTAGGTGTAGCGAAAGAAGACTGTAATGCCCTAGAATATGCTTGACATGTTCATTGTGTATGTATGTTCACAGTTTATATGAAACAATAATTTTACCCACGGTAGCTACTACTATGGATGGCGGAGAGAATCACCATTTAAATATCGGTTTGTGACAGTAATTTTCTTGTATACAGTATGGGTCATCGTTTTAAGGATTGCGCTTTAAAAGTCATTGACCAGTAAGGGCCAATATCATCCGTGTCCTTATGGCGACGCATAGTTGGATGCTGGTGGAATTATTGAATGGAGTAACGAATGGGTTAATTTGTTTAGTGTAAATTATGGTATAATAGCTTCGAAATAGTCTAAAACGTTTATCTCACACCACCTACAGGACAAGGGCTTCGTGCGATAGACAAAATTGTCTACGAATCCCGCGGAATTATTAGTTGTCTGTCGCATTCCGAAGTTCGATGTGCAATATTTATGGCACGGGAACTGTAATATTGTTACCAAAAAAAAATCCTCTGGGTATTAAAACTCTCTAGGTGTGCCAGGCAGCCTCGTTAAAATTATATGAGGATACTTGTGGAACCGTTGATTTCACTTCTTAGTCGTGCGAAAGGGGCCCAATTCCACCGGTTCCCCTTGAAAGCGGTCGTTCCTCAAGCATCGGTATTGCCCTTAGCCTCTATCCCTATATACATCAACAACATCTCTAAAACACCTTAGGTGAAAATTGGCACTATACGCTCACGACACATATACGACCGATCAAGACAAAAACCGGCCTATTCTAAAATATGTGCTAAATGAATCGTCCATAAAGTATCTACTTAGGCGTAACGCTAAATAAAAACTCACATTCAAACAGTAGTACATTAGCACGGATCCACTTCACACGAGCATATAGTAAAATGACACTAAGACGAAAAATTCATCTATACAAAACATGTATACGCCCTTTTATGAAATATGCGAGTGTCTTGTCTCTTCTTTCTCTTGCCCTTATCCCACATCCCACACTCGGTGGGGTTGGAACAACATGTCCTTTCCTTTTACTTTCCTCTATCAGCCGTCATCTCAATACTCACTCCTTTCACTGAAATATGATCCGTCAAATCTCTCTCGGCCTTCCTCTAGCTTTTCACCCTCCAACCACATTCATCACTCTTTTAGTCACTTGATTTTCATCTCTTCTCATAACGTCTCCATACCATGTCAACCTACTACTCGTACCTACTCCTCATTTTCTCCGTCACTGGCGTCACTTTCAAGCTTTCCTTAATATAATCATGTCTGATGTTATACTTTCTGGTCAAACCACGCTTCCATCTCAACATTCGCATCTCTGCCAAATGCAAAATTTCTTTCATTCGTCTCTTTTGTTGGCATACTTTTAGCAACTCAAATAACATTTGAATCTTTGAAGTCATTTTACAGCTGATTAGTTAATTTCTACGATGATCAGTGTTTCAGAAACCGGGCGTAAAACCGTGAGTCTAACAATTAATTTAGCCAATCAGAACATCCCACGGTGATACTTGTACACAATTACACATCGACATTTCTTTTTACGGTATGGTAGCTTTTATGCTCATTGAATTTTATATCTTTTCGTCTTTTTTCAATTTTATTTAGAAATTACACTTTACTCGTAATTTTGCATCATTATTTTATGTGATTATTAATATACATGTCAGATTAAACATATTTGGAAAAACAGAACTAAATAGTTATGAACTATGAACGGAACGTTTGTTTAATGTTTAATTTTTATCTTTTTTTAGCCAATGAGAATATACATAGCAAAGAGTACTTTTATATATCTGAACTGAAATACATAGTGGAGCCGGCAACAATAAAACAGAGTTTACCGAGTATTTGCTGATAATTTCGAATTGAATTTCATTTGGAACACGCGTTTACATTAAAATTTATTGTTATTACTTTCCAGAAAGATCTAAAACTTTTACTTATTGAGCATTCGTTGTAAATACAATGGTGATTCCAATATATCCTCTATGTATTTTCTGTGTATTTTACATTGCAAAAGTTTCTGCCGGAGGTGGTCCTGTCGAATTAGACGAATTTTCATTCGATAAAATTATTAATAAGTTCGAGGCAACATTAGTAAAATTTGATGTGGCTTTTCCTTACGGAGATAAACATGATGCTTTCGTGGCACTAGCAAAGGATTCCAAAGATATAGAAGAATTATTACTGGCAGAAGTCGGTGTTAGAGATTATGGTGAAAAAGATAATGAAGCCTTGGCAAGGAAATATGGAGTTACAAAAGAGAATTTTCCGGTTGTGAAATTGTTTATTAAAGGAAAAAGTGAACCAATTCCATTTGATGATTCGAAAGGTTTCACAACTGATGAGCTGAGACGATTTGTTCGCGAAAAAACTGGAATACATCTACACCTGCCAGGATGCGTCAAGGAGCTCGACAAACTTGCAGCAAAATTTATGAAAGCAGATAAAGAAAGTAAAGAAGCAATTTTGGAAGAAGCTAAGAACATCATGAAGGGCCTTGTTGAAAAGGTAATTTACATCTTACTTTTATACAATTTTTTGCGTTTTGTAACATATTTAATGTAAAATTTATCTTCCAGGACTCTGTGTCTGGCAAAATTTATAAAATTATTATGGAGAAAGTTTTGGAAAAAGGAGATGAATTTACTAAAATGGAAAATGAAAGAGTAAAGAAACTTCTCAATGGTAAAATATCAGATGAAAAGAAGAAAGAGTTGGGCATAAGGCTTAATATCTTACAATCATTCAAAATTCCATTAAAAGAAAAAAATATTGTGAGGAACGATCTCTAATTTATAGCTGGCATTTAAATATGAAACCGCAAATAATTGCTGTGTGGAGCTACTATGTTAGTTTGAACAATTAATCATTCCATCCAATAGCTTAATTTTAATCTATTTCTTTGTTTATACACTATACATATTTTTTAAATAGAATAATGAAATATACCAAAGGAAAACACCTGGATTGTGTGACTATCTAGAAATTTAAAATTTATTGTTGCATGAATGTTATACACTGTTGAAGCACATTGTAGATAATTTTGCGTGGACCATTGATACAATATCAAGTGCAATAAAAATTTAAGAATATAAAACACTAGTTTTTATTGTTTATTTCGATATTAAAATTTTTATTATTCTAGTTACAAAAAAAGCTAAAGAATAAACCTTAATTGAATTGTCTATAAATGAAAAAAAAAGTTTGAGTAAAGTTATAAAAAGACTATCTTCATAACAGATTCAATGGGAGAGAAAAATGGTAGCTGTCCTTTAAATTTCATTGTAGATTAATTTTTCCCCAGATTTATTGTCTCAAATAAACAAAAACATTAGCACTAATGCAGTAGTGACAATTATTGAAGTGTGAAATTATCTTAATAAGTTGTTAGCAATTTAAAATGGAATTATATTTAATGGGTATTAATGAATCTGTTAGAAAAAAGTATTGTTTATCCAACAAATTCAATAATAATCACATTAAATAGAATTTAGATATACTTGCTGCCAAACAACCCACATGAAAAAGATTAGTGAATAAATAAATGGTTTTATGTAGGGATGTTGAAAGTGAAGTTATTTATAAAAATAACAATATCAGCCTTGATATATTCTGGACATTGATATACATCAATATAGAGTGTGTCTTTACAATCGCGACAATAAATGAACACACATATAGGGGATAACTTTTTAAAATTGTATTAAACATTTACATTCTTTAAACATCAATATTTACAGTTATTAAATTTTCCAAAACAAAGAATTTTAAAACCCCTGACCTATAATACTGTAATGTAAAGTTCATTTGTAAAGGTCACAAAGCATATGAATGGGTTGAATGTATTTAAAAGAGACAAAATATACTGTTAGAAGGAGAGGCTTGTAATGTGACGCTGTGGCAACGAAAGAAAAAGTCTGAATGTATGAATCAGTCAGTTGTAGTGGTATAGGATGTTACAAATTTTGTTTCGTTTCGCGTTAGATGTGTGTTCATTTATTGTTGCGATGGTAATGACACGCTGTATATATATCAATATAAATACATCAATATATTAATATTTTCTCTTTAGGCCACATTGTCCATAAAAAAAGTCTGTCAAGTATTAAATATTTGACATCTCCAGACTATGCCACATTTGTATTTGAAAAATGAATATTTTGTTAAATACCTACAAAATAAAAAATATTGATGTTTATTCAACATACCTAGTTATACTACAATTACAATAAATTGAGGCATAACAAATACACTTTGTTTAAAACAGCAAGTCTTGCATTGCATCAATTTCATGTTGATATACTATAATAACTTTTACATGAATTTATTTAGATAAAAGTTGCAATATGATGTATTAACAAGACAAGATTTTGGACAATATAATATAAAAACTGGAAAATTTTGCTCAACAAAATAAAACTGATATGTACTGCATACAATCTTAAATACATAAAATGTTACAATAACACTTGTAAAGAATTTACGAAATCCAAAATATCAGGAATGTCTTCCCTAATGTGATCTTGAATCTTATTAAGACAATGGATAATCATTGTATATTTTAACTGGTAAAAAATTGATAACAATGAATTTTCATACTTTCTCAACTATTCAATGATAGTACAGTAAAACTTCGATTATCCGAAACCATCTATTATCCAAATAATGGGGCAAAAGATTGCCACTTTTGAGACAGGTCTTGAATGGTTCGAGAGACTCTTCTCGTCTCTCAATCCGTTGTCTCTCGTTGCCCAATGCAACTTTCTCCTTCTCAAACAGCTGCAAGACCTATTCCCATTATGGTCATTCTGATCAATTCGGAGAGTTTAATCATCCTTTTGGCAACTCAAATGACATTTTAAAAGCTATTTACAGTTGATTAGTTAATTTCTATGATGATCAGTGTTTCAGAAACCGGGCGCTAACTGTTCAAAAACCGCTGTTTGTCAAAATTGATGATTTCATGAAAAAATATAAAAAAGCATTAGACTTTTTTTTAACTGTTTAATATATACCTATATAATATATATTCCAAAGAACTATTGTTTATGATCTTATCCCAAAAAGTCCATCTTTCAATTATCCAAACTTTTGTTTATCTTAACTAGCCTCGGTCCCAATTGGTTTGAATACCTGAGGTTCTACTGCATTATCAATTTATTTCACAAAAATTATTGAAACAACACTTTGTAACCTAAGTTATTCAGTTTTATCACCATCCACTTTAAGTTCCTTCAGCTTTAGTACTACACCATCTTCTTTTACATCCACAACTTCTTTTTTAGTTTCCTCTTCCGAATTTTTATCTACACTCTTGGGCTCCGGAGTGTCTGTGTCTTCGCTTCTAGTGATACTGCTCTCATCATCATCTGATGATTGGTCTTGGGTATACAGACTACATTTTGTTCTCACTATTTCTTGGGCTTCAGCAAATTTGGCCTTCCATAGTTCTGCATCTTAAATAAAAATTAGATATTTATTAGAAACCAGAATATATTAAAAAGTTAAAGCTTCATGTGAGTCATCATTATAACTTATTATGTTAAAATTTTCCATTAGCGCCATTGTTTTTTGTCGCAACAAAAATTTTATTTCATAAAAAAAACTAATGAGATATTCAACAAGCAGAATCTTAATAATAATATTTTTAATCTCGTAACTATAAGGCAACTGCAGAATTCTGCTTGTTGATTATTTCATTAGTAATTGTACTTAAACAAATAAAAATTTTGTTAGGTTGAAAAACACCCGGTGGTAATGGAAAAAAATTGCCCTTTAATTGTTATCATTTTAATTATGAAATAAATAATAGTTTTATCATAAACTTACTCTGAGGATTCCCAAACTTAATTGCAAGTAATTCCTGTTTGCATGTTTCATCTGCATAATCAGCGAACACTGACCAATTAAAAGCTTTATCAGATCCACAGTGAACGTTCATTCGGATGTCTGGAGTTATGAAGTGATTGGCACATACTTTCAGTGTCTTATCTCGTCTCATAACAACTCTAACAGTATTGTTGGCTTTGTGTCTCAGCAATTTAATATCCCCAGTTCCTCGCTCCTAAAAATAGTGATCTTTTACAATAAATTAAAAATTAAAGTTAGTGGTATTGAACCCTTGAGTTTTCAAGAATTAGGCATAGACTGCTTAAAACGCACGTAAACATTGCATTTTTAATAAAAGCAATACACAATAAAATACACACAAAAGTTTATACACAATAAGTTGAAGATGTATAAATGTAATAAATTCAAAAGCATACCTTCCATTCATGATCACTAGTATCGTATCTATAAAGCCTAGCGCGAATCTTGACCAACTCCTCTTCGTTCTCTTCATTTGTGTGAATTTCTACAAGAGGTAGTGACACGATAGGATCATAGTGAGGGTCATGATCAGATGTCTCCACTTCGCCGCCCTCACTTTCGCTGTTACGCCGCACGCTTTCTTCAATCTGCACATAACATCAGAACAACAAACGTTACAATTTAAATTTATTTTCGAATAAATTTCAGTAAAAATTAAAATCAAAGCTTATATACCGGTAAAGACATCTTCGTACTAAAAAGAAAAAGAAACTTTAGCTAATTGTATTCGATATTAAAAAATTAATACAAAAGAAACAAACTTGGTTAGATGAGGCCATAAGTTGAATAGAGAAGCACACAGTAGGGATGCCCAAAAAAATATCGAATGTCAATATTTTTAGCCGATATATTTTTATCCGATATATCGATATAAAAAATGTCATATTGAAATCGTATCAAAAACGATAATATTTTTATTCAATCTGATTCAAAACCGTAAAAGATAAAAATAAACAAAAAAACTGTGGTCTATTACTACTATTGTCACTAATGAAGAGTTGCATTTTGTACTATAATTTTGGTATTTATGCTACAATTTGATGCTTCGTATTTTATACAATCCATATCTTAGGTACAACGGGTTTCTTTCTGACCTATTATTAAGTTCGTTTTAAACAATTCTTTACGTTTTTTTACAAAATTACATGTTTTTGATTAGTTATTTTTTGATTCGATTCAAGGCTAAAAAAATTGATTTATCTTACTAAATAAGCTGGTTGTTTTTTTTTCCAGTGAAGGTCTTGATAAATAACATACCGAGAATTTAGATTAATAAAAGAAATTTGATTAAAATTAATAAATACTTAACGTTTTATTAAAATTTCTCATTCATTTAAATAATGTGAATTTGGTCTAAAAATTACTATTACTTATTATTGAATCAGACTGAACAAAATACATTATTTTTTAAAACTGTAAATTTGACCGATATATCGATTTTTTTTCGATTTATCGAAACCGATATTAATATTTCTATTATTATCGATATATCGATAATTTTATCAACTTTCGGTATCCTTAGAAACAAACCGTTGATAATGATAGCAGTGTTACCAACTGTTCGAAAAAAAAAATACTCCTAAAACAATTCACTAAAATTGACAAAAAAAAAACACAATAAAAAAAAACGTGCGCCAACAACATATTTTAAAAGGACAAATAAAATAGTCATTCAAGTCATTTGATAAAAGCCTTCAGTAAAGCTTCCAGCAAAGCTGCAAAAGTCTCTGGGCTAACAAGTAAAAAAATATCGGATTGTAACATGAAATAGAGATAACACTAAAATTCTTTTATCTATTCCGTGGAATAGTAAATCCCAATAACATTTTGTCTAGAGTACAATAATATACTTATGCTTTTTATATTAAGGGCTTGCTCCGTGAGTTATCACAATTCCGCCAATTTCAAGTTGTTCTTAAAATTCTATTTTATAATATTCACATAAAAATTGTAATAGACAAATAAAAAGTTCCAAAATAAATTCTATCCACCGTTACACGTTTCAAGCTTGTTATCTACGCTAATATAAAATAATTGTTATAATCTGCCACTATTTGAATTGTCAATGTCACATTCACAAATCATGTCAAATTATATTGTAAAATTGTTAACGAACTGTCTGCTAATGTTGACATCGACAGTTTCAATCTGATTCTGATTGTGAGGAAGTACCGATTGCTAGCTTCTTTGCGTGTTGTTGCGTTTTTTTAAAAACGTTGTAGTGAAAATATTACAGGCACTATAAAATCAAACACAATTACGTCCCTTGCTGTTAAGAAAAAAAAGTAAGACACTACTTCCATTAGTTTGTTTATTTCGATTCATAATATTTTGCCGCAGAAGTCAATGACCAATAGATAAATACATCACGACCTATTTGTGTTTTATTTAGAGATTCCTTTCTATTTAACGTTGCTCTAGATTTTTAGATTTAGTTTACCTGTTTCAGTAGATTTCTTTAATTCATTTTCTATTCAGTCGTTTTTATTACACTGTTGTATAAACTAACTACCTACACTAGTAATGATTTTCTTGTTTGTATTTTCTCTCATTAATACTTTTTTTTAACACATAACTTTACATAAAGTTCAAGAATAATAAAAATGTAATCATCAGTCTAAGTTTTGCAAACCAATAAATTGTCAATGTTTTCTAGAGAATCTGCCAGAATGCAGAATTTAGCAAAAATGATAACAGAACAACTGCGTAATCCAAATGAATTGGATATTAGTCTTAGAATGGAATTTGGGCCATTTGAGACTGTTCATAAATGGAAGCGTATGTCAGAATGCTATGAATTTGTTGGAGCCAGGTATTTATCAAATCTTTTATATTTTAGTGTTGTATAAATCTATAACGACGAGATATAATCTATATATCTATATCGACGAGACGCAATCCTGTCCATCGACAGCAACAACCACTCTGCCAAGAGTGTCCGATTAAGAAGAAGAAGAAATCTATAAATATTGTAACCTAAACTCCACGAAAGAGTTTTAATATACATATATGTATATATATATATATATATATATGTATATATATGTATATATATATATATATATGTATATATATATATATATATATATATATGTATTTGAATTTGTATCTATGATATAATGATTACAGACGAAGTAAACACACAGCTGTAGCATACAAAGATGCAATATATGTATTTGGTGGTGATAATGGCAAGTCGATGCTTAATGATCTTATTAGATTTGATATCAGAGAGAAATCATGGACAAAAACTGGATGCATGGGTACTCCACCAGCACCTAGATATCATCATTCTGCTGTGGTAAGAAGTTACTATGCACACCTATTATATTAATTTATAAGTTTTTTGTATGTGACAAGTAATATTCATTGTCATGTCACATCAAATACAGCAAGGCTCACAAACACATCATTTGTAATTAACCAGTTGATTGCAAGGCAAATTTTTATAACACTTGTAATATTCAACATAGAAAATGGTAATACTACATAAAATAAATGAATCAGTTAATTTATCTTTCATAACTTGACTCAGCTGATAAAAAAATGATTTCATCTTGACACAGTAAGTAAAGTAACAGCCTAGCAGTATATGTCCCACTACTGGGCAAAGGCCAACTCTTTATAGAGGGTATCAGGGCATAGTCCACCATGCGGCCCCACTGCGGATTGGCTGACTTCACATATCTTCGAAATATATATATTTTTTGTTATTATTTTGAAAATATGCAGGTTTCCTCACGATGTTTTCCTTCACCGCGGAGCACGTGATAAGTCAGCACTTAAAGTTAAAAACTTCATTGGTGCCGGCACCGGGGATTGAACTCAGGTTGCTCGAGTATATTGAATTAAGCCGAGCCCGGACAAGCGCCGGCAAGCGCCCGGACACTGAGCTATCACGGCTTTTTTCACTGTGTCAAGTGCTTAGTTAAAAAATCTTAAGATGTAGAAAAAAGATTCAAAGCATTTCAAAGTATTTATATTGTCTATGTTGGCATAATTATGCATTTTTTCAGGTGCACAGATCGTCAATGTTTGTATTTGGCGGCTACACAGGGGACATTCTTGCCAACTCTAATCTTACCAACAAAAATGACCTTTTTGAGTACAAATTTCAAAATGCTCAGTGGGTACAATGGAAGTTTGTTGGCCAGTAAGTAATTGTAAATTTGAAAATAAATAAAACGTTTATCACGAATCCTAATAATATCAGTACCAGGGAACACAACCAGAGAATATCAACTATGAACTAAGTTTCTAGAAATTTGTTTGATGAGAAAATAGTCGTTTTTAGAAATTTTGCTAATTTAAGTTGTAAGATTGTTTTTTAATGATTTTACCACTGCTTTAATGCAATGGTGCTTTATGTATTACTTGGGACATAAACATTATTTTACTCTTTGTTATGTTTTTGGTTGATTTCTGTTTGTAACTATGTCTTAAAAAACTTACTAGGTGATTCTGTAACCAACCTAGTTCAGGTTGGGATAACTATTTGGAGTGTTGTTCAAAATTGGAAGACAGAGTAAATGAACTTTTTTGTTAACATGCCAATATGTGATAAAAATATTCACAACCTATTAACCTAAATACAGACAAAAATGTTTTTGGCTGGAAGTCAAAATTAAGTCTGCATTCAGTACACAGTGAGCCAAGCAAGTAACATACTTTAGTAGCTCATAAAAAAGCAATAAATGTCTTTGGTTTTCATTAAGGCAAATGTGAATATATACAGTGAATCCTTTCAGAGAACCTGTACCTAGATCGGCCCATGGCGCGGCCGTATATGACGATAAGCTTTGGATATTTGCTGGTTACGACGGAAACGCTAGACTCAATGACATGTGGACTGTTAATTTAGTAGTGAGTAAAATGATTCTTTTCTGCCTTTAACAGCCACTGGGCGCTGACCTATTTCTAAAGTATACTGGGTGTTTTGTAAAAATCAAACACTCCAAAGACACAGTTCACCAATTTCTTGCCAACTTCGTACCTATAATTTCTTTGTCATCTGCCATTTAGAACATGTAAATGTCGTATATTTAAAGTAGTGAAATAGTCATTATGTAATAAAATACATCTGTTAGCTAGCTAAAATGTAATTGTTTGCTTTTTCCAAAGGAGATATTGTTTCTTAGCTTAACTGAGCATATAACGCCCAGTTTCTGAAACACTTATCATCGTAAAAGTCAACTAATCAGCTGTCAAATGGATTTTCAAAAGTTATTTGAGTTACCAAAAGGATTTTTAAACTCTATGAATTACTCAGATCATTAAGAATATTGTTCTGATTTTCGAAGATCATTTTGATTAATTTTTATTGGCCACAATAAAAATGAACATTTAAACGATCGGCGTTTCACCCCAATCACAAAGCCCCATCTCGTAACAATATTCTTAACTACCACCACTAAAGCTATTTTAGCTTTAGTAGTGGTTTCTATTTAAATATCATGGTGTAGAATAGGAAAATATAATTGTTTCTTTCACTTGCGGACAAGACTGATGCAAGCGGATATTATATAGCTTATCTCGTAAATCTTTGAGAAACTTCAATATTTAATTGTCTCCAAACAGTAACTGTATATCCATTGCGTTTTTATATCTGTCCGTTGTATCCGCTTCCCAGGGCGAGAACCGCCAGTGGGAGAAAGTGGAGCAGAAGGGTCAATGCCCCCCGACCTGCTGCAACTTCCCGGTGGCGGTGGCGCGTGGCAAAATGTACGTGTTCAGCGGACAGAGTGGTGCGAAGATCACCAACGCGCTGTTCCAGTTCGACTTCGAGACACACACGTGAGTGTTTCTGAACTGTTATATTTTTAACGTGTTCAAGTTTTTTTTTCATTATACTATAGAAATTCCTTTTTCGTTGCGGTTGGAACACGCAGGCTTACAAGCGACTACCTATATGCTGACACAGCTCCTTTATAGAGCGGTGGAATGCATCAACCCTAAAGTATACAATCCTTACTAATATTATAAAGGCGAAAGTTTGTATGTATGGATGGATGTGAATATATACAGTGAATCCTGTCTGTTTGTTACTCTTTCACGCAAATAGTACTGATGTATTTTAATGACACTTTACAATAATAAGGTTGCCTGGAAGAACTTGCTACCTTAGCAATAAGGCCGCCTGTATGTACACTATCTTTCCGGTATTTTCTTCCTTGTATTTCCTTGTGTGCAATAAAAAAATGAAGTATATTCAATTCAATTCAATAATATAGCTTATACATCAGAATAAGACATAGGCTATAATTTGTATACATATTTTATGTATATCTGTCTTTCTGTCTGAATGTTACGCCTTCAGCCTATACTACGCAGACGTAGCCGCAGCTAGTATATAATATAACAGCTTTTAAACATCGGTTGAACCGCTCTTTACACTATTCCGACACTGAACGAACGCAGTACCGCTACACGTCCGCTACGCACGTAGGTGGAGCCGCGTGTGCACGGAGCACCTGCTACGCTGCGCTGGCCCCGCGCCGGCACGCCGCTACGGGCACACGATGCTGGCACACGCGCGCCATCTATATGTATTCGGCGGCGCGGCGGACAGCACCCTGCCCTCGGACCTCCACTGCTACGACCTGGACACGCAAATGTGGCGCGTATACGACCCCACTTATTTTTTTTATTTTATTTTATTTAAAAAAAACATTGCCCATACTGTAGAATCAATCTTATTCTATCCCGTGTTGTAAGGACGCCTTACATACATAAATTTCACGTGTACAAACACCCAGATCGGAAACAATTACCGTGGGCCACATAAATAACGGTCCCGTGTGGGAATGGAGCCCACGACCCGCGGCGCCGATGGTATACCTTTGCAACTGGCTTAGCACCCGAGTCATCAGACTTACATTGAAAACACGGGTCAGGCAGTGGTTTGCAAACTACAGTATGTATCAGCAGGGCCAGAAGGGAAGGGCCTCCGGGGCAAGAGCCCCACAGGCCTACACAGACGAAGGGCCCCTACAATAGAGACTTCGGAAAAAAAAAATCAGACTAGTAAACAATATTAAAAAACTTTTCTTTTCATATTTTTATTGCGTTTTCCTTTTACCTGCAGTACTTTGTACAAGAGCCGTGATAGCTCAGTGTCCGGGCGCTCGTCAATTGTTATAACAGAGAGAGAGAGTAGAGTCAATTGTTATAACATACTATTGACAGATGTTGGTAAAAGCAGAGTCATTACGGAAATATCTTTAAAAGCACTCTACTCTTTTCTACAATGAAAGAAATATTTTTTGCCAATGTTACCAAATTACACTGTTCTTAATTTAAACTTATTGAAAATTATTTTCTTTTTACTTCGGTTGTCTACAAAAGCGTGTTTTTTTTAATGGTATATGCACACTAAATACAGGTCTGTCGTGCAACCTTCGGCCGACTCGCAGATCCCGTCCGGGCGGCTATTCCACGCGGGCGCGGTGGTGGGGGACGCGATGTACATATTCGGTGGGACGGTCGACAACAACGTGCGCAGCGGCGACCTCTACCGGTTCCAGGTATTTTTTTCCATATTATAAACTAGCGACCCGCCCCGGCCTCGCACGGGCGCAATGTAATATACATATAAACCTTCCCCTTTAATCACTCTATCCAGTAAAAGACCGCATCAAGATCCGTTGCGCAGTTTTAAAGATCTAAGCACAGGATAGGGACAGACAGATAGAGTGACGACTTTGTTTTATACTATGTAGTGCCAATACCTATTACTGTAGCCGCGATAGTCCAGTGTCCAGGCGCTCGCCTTTGATTCGATACAGTCGAGCAACCTGAGTTCGATCCCCTGCGCCGGTACCAATGAAATTGTTAATTTCAAGCGCTGACTTATTACGAGCTCAACGGTGAAGGATATCATCGTGAGGAAACCTGCATATTTTCGAAATAATAACAAAAATGTACCGCGTGGTGGACTATGTCCTGATACCCTCTAAAAAAGAGGAGGCCTTTGCCCAGCAGTGGGATATGTATAGGCTGTGACTTTTACTTTACCTGTTACTAAACCTTTCAAAAATAAATAAATAAATGTTTGTACTTGGTCAAATGAAATTATTTTACGGATTTTATTGCGTTTCATTTTGATTTCAAGTTTCCGACGTTTCGAAACCATTCCAGCGTTCAGTCTGTCCCGTGACAATGAACGATTTGGAAACTCCAATTTTCTATAAGGAATTGGTATTTACTTCCCTGACGAGCCTTCCCATTCATGCTAACTGGGCAATATTGTGGAACCATAGCTGTCACCATCTAACCTTGAAAGCGCTACTCGCCGCTTATAATGTGATCTTTGTACAAAAACTTTCGCCGCTGCGGGTATAGAGCCTGCGTCATGTCGATTTATCACATCAAATTTTCATCATCTCTAGTGCGGGGACTGGAATATAAATTAATCATAAGCTATTCGCAGCTGTCCAACTACCCCCGATGCACGCTCCACGAAGACCTGGGAAGAGTTTTGCGCTCGGAGCAGTTCTGCGACGTGACTCTGCTCGTGGGGGGGGAGCCGACCCCAGTACTAGCGCACCAGGCGCTGCTCGCTGCCCGCTCCGCCTACCTGCGCGCTAAGATCAAGTGGGTCTTAACTCCGACACGACACGACACCACCACGACATGACATGACACGACACGACTCCGAGCGACACGAGGCTAGAGTGTCAAATCCCCGAGGAAATGATCTCGTTTACTCTGTTATCACCAGCCTCCAAGGCTTTTTTTTATGTGGAAATGTAGCAATCGACCTAACGGTTCACCTGATGTTAAGTAATAACCGCCGCCCATAGACATTTGCAACCCCCGTAGGGTTGCAAATGCGTTGCCACTTTTAATAAAGTGTAACAATGAGTTTCTTCTTTACTTTACGCCGGTCTTCTGTGCGGTCGTGGTACTTACCCGGTCGGACCTGTCCATTTGTTAGAATTTTGAAGAAATACACAATTTACATATTTTTCGTAAAGGGGCAACATCTTTACTCTTAACATCCCGTCTTCTGGAACTTCTTTGGTGGCGTTCTGTGCGTGGGGCCTTCAGGGATTGGGGGATGGGGGAGGGGGGCCTCCGGAATCGTTCACGAAAATCGGATTCAATTGCGCACGGTACCCATTGAATCATTTGCCCATTTAACCAGGGAGGCGCGCGAAGAGATGGCGAAACGGATCGCCGCCGGCGAGCTGAGGCCCACGGAGGCGTACAACTACAAGGCGCAGCCGGAGCTGGTCATCAAGCTGCCAGAGGCCACGCCGGAGGCCTTCCGTATGGTCCTCAACTACATATACACGGACAGGATCGATCCCACCGAGAAAGGTACGCAGTTTGATATTCCAATTTTAAGCCGTCGCCCTAATATACGCCATGATATACTAACCGTATATTACATGTAACATTTTTCTTTTTTTTTTTATGTGAGAATGAGGCAAACGAGCTCGCGGTTCATCTGATTTTAAGTGATAATCGCCGCCCAAGGACATTTGCAAATGCGTCGAAAACTGTAAATAAAGTGGGCCCCAGCTACGTCACTCATCAGACGAAACGCAGAATACATCTACCTCACGCCGGTCTTCTGTGAGGTCGTGGTACTCACCTGGACGGGCCTGCCCATTCCTGCAACAGTGAACACTGTTGTGTGGTCAGGGTCTAGGTGAAGCGAAATGCGCAGCGCTAGTTTATTTAATATATTTATTTTTCCGCTTTATGTTATGACAATATTTTATTTTATTTCAATGAAAATTATTGCATTACGATAACATTATCCTGTGTTGTAAGGACGTTTTTACAAAGAAAAATCTTTTCAAATTTCACTCGGACAAACATCCAGATCCGAAACAATTATCTGTCACACAAATAGTTGTGTCGTGTGCGAATCGAACCGACGACGCCCGTCGCCGAAGCCACTACCTTGGCAACTGCACCGCGGAGTCATCAATATGTGTGTGATCACCAGACCAGTATTATTTTTTGTTGATTATTCAATATCCGTTGTTTGTGTACAATAAAGTAAATTTCATTCATTCATTCATTCATTCATTCATTCAGACGAGAACCCGGCCTCGCCGGCGACGATACTTCTGGTGATGGAAGTCCTCCGCTTGGCACTTCGGCTGAACATCCCTCGGCTGCGCGGACTGTGCGCCCGCTTCCTGCGGGCCAACCTCTGCTACAGCAACGTTCTGAAGGCGCTGCACGCGGCGCACCACGCCAACCTCAACTGCATCAAGGAGTACTGCTTACGGTTGGTGCAAAAGGAGAATTAGTAACAGCCCATACCTGTATGCCCCAGTGCTGGGCAGAGGCCTCTCCTGTACAGAAGGAATGTAAAATATATAAGAATTTTAGGGTTTCGCACACATAGAGTAAAACGGGACCCTATTACTAAGATTCCGGTCTCTGTCTATCCGTCTGTCGCCAGCCTGTATCTCATGAATCGTGATAGTTAGACCGATAAAATTTTCACAGTTGATCTATTTCTAGTAGAATGAACAGAATAAAAAAAAATATTTAAGTAGGGCTCTCATACAACAGACATGACTTGTTTGCCGTTTTTATAGATAATGGTATGGAACGAATCGTGCGCGAGTCCGACTCGCAATTGGCCGGTTTTTACTTGGTGCCTGCCATTTATATGACCATTTTTTCCAGTTTCGTGGTGAAAGACTACAACTTCACTCCGATCGTCATGTCCAAGGAGTTCGAGGAGATGGAACAGAGCCTGATGGTGGAAGTGATCAGGCGACGCCAGCAGCCGCCGCCCAAGCAACCGGCCGCCGCGCACGACCACGACGAAGAGATACAAGGTTCATATATAGTTAAATTAAAATTAACTACGTATGTGTCGTAGTTAATAGACGCAACAACACACGTGTTGTTGCGTCTAGCGCCTGGCACAGACTAAACTAGTTTAGGGATGTCGAAGAAATATCGACAGATCGATTTTTTCCGATTCTACATATCGATATTTTCAGCCGATATAATTGCATCCAAAATGTACAATATCGAAAATCGGCTCAAAGATACTCTTTCAAATTCTGATTCGGCACAGACTCCTCTTCGATATATCGAGGCGGATATTGACAACGAAAATTATAAATATCAACGCATCGATATACGTATTTCTTCAGTTTGGACATCCCTAAACTGGTAAGGGCGAGCCCTGGCGCGTGTCGCAGTCCGTCGGAGACGTGTGTAACCGTAATCGCGCGGGCCAGGCACGACCCTGGAGCAGGACATGTGCGTGTTCCTGGGCGGCGGCGGCGAGCTGAGCGACGTGTCGCTGCGCGTGGGCGGCGTGGCGCGCGCCGCGCACCGCTCCGTGCTGGCCGCGCGCGCCGCCTACTTCGAGGCGATGTTCCGCTCCTTCTCGCCGCGCGACAACGTGGTCAACGTGAGTGCGCGGCGGCAACGAGTTTTTTAAGATGCGCGCGCACGCTAACCCTCAATAAGCTACGCGATGAAGTTGGTTGCAATAGCTAATCCCCAAAAGCCATTGGGTACTATAGTACTCCAAAATTACATAACACCTTCACGGTATTCCCATGGCAACCAATAACAACTTTTTGACATTTACTAATAATTCAATTTTTTTTAATTGGAAAGGCGGCAAACGAGCAGGAAGCTCACCTGATGGTAACGGTATAGATATGGTATAGATTACGTATAGATTACGGTTTCAATATATAGCATTAGGTATTTGACATTAGATCCATAATATTGAAGTCAAAATTCTATCTCCAGAAACCAAATGTATCTATAAATAGAATATTGAAACCGGCCGTGAATTATTCCTTTAAGGATCTATAAAGGTAAGGTACGGGCGCATAACAAATGTCGTTACTAGAAAGGCAAAATTACTTAACCGCCAAATAAGTGTTTGGTGTTTAAGTAATTTTACCTTTGCAGTGACCATATATATAACATTTACAGATCCAAATTTGCGACACTGTACCTTCAGAGGAAGCATTCGATTCTCTGCTCCGCTACATCTACTACGGCGAAACCAACATGCCCACAGAAGATTCGCTGTACTTATTTCAAGCACCGATCTACTACGGTAAGCGATGTAACCCTTGCGCGGCTTATACGTAAATGATTGGTTAATATGCTGATGATTGGCTATTCGCATTATTTTAAAGGTTTGCCAATTTTTCATACAATCGTCTATAGTCGACTTTGCGTAGGTGGAGCCAGAACAGCCCGTATGCGTAATAACGTGTAATAAAATACCAATTATTTGAGTCTCAAGAAATTAAATAAAAAGAAATCACTGTTTTTAGGGTTCCGCACCCAAATGGTGAAACGGTAGCTCTCTCTGTCTGTTACCAGGCTGGCTGTATCTCATCAACCGTGATAGTTGAAATTAACACAGGTGATTTTTTCTATTGCTATTTCAATGGGGCTCCCATAACAGACAGGATTTTTTTTGGCCCGTTTTTATAGATAACGGTACAGAACACTTCGTGCGCGTGTCCGACTCGCACTAAGCCGGTTTTTTATCTACACCGTGGCATTACACCCGTGCTACGTATATGCTTCGTACATCCGTGTTTTTACAAAATAACCTATTATTATTATAATGACGAAAATATCGCGTTAGCGTCACAATTGCCCAACCCAGTGCCTCCGTGCTACTGCTAAATGCGCAATTCGCAGGCTTCACCAACAACCGGCTGCAGGTGTTCTGCAAGCACAACCTGCAGAGCAACGTGTCGCCGGAAAATGTCCTCGCCATCCTGCAGGCCGCTGACAGAATGCACGCCACCGACATCAAGGAGTACGCCCTCAAAATGATCGCACACCATTTCGGAGTGGTGAGTCAACACCACCGTTCCGTTCGAGTCGTGTTTGTAACATTACGCCTTAATGCTATTTTTTTTTTCCCAAGTAATGTTTATAACATTTGCGCCTCAGACTTCGATTACCACATAACTATCATTAATTAATTTTTCTTTGCCAAGTAATAAGACTGAACATCTATCTTTATTATTTCAGACCAGATGTCAACGACAGACTAGTACAGATTTCTTTAATATTGTACTTAAATATTAGATAAAAAATATACGCCTACGTAGTAAACTAACCTTAAATTTAAACTCCTTATATTTATTGTGGGGAAAATTTATGACAACATGTTTTAGAAGCTATTTAATTGGTATATAAACCTCAGTCACACATTTTTACATCAGTTTTGCACTTGAATGTAAAACTGATTTAAAAAATTTACAGGTGTGACAATGTCAAATTATTAATCTTTCAGGTGGCACGCCAGGAGGCGATCAAGAATCTAGCTCAGCCCCTCCTGGTCGATATTGTAATGGCCCTGGCCGAAGAACCGCAATATGACACCCCTTTGCCTTTACAACCCAGGTCCCTGCCCTCGTCATCATCAGCGGACACACTCACCGACGACCCGGAGTACACTCGCCATAGAACGTGCAAGTAACGCCATGCGGAACACGAAGAAAAGCACAGTTTTATATCTGGGGAAGAGGCTCCATGAAGGGCGAGCTATAATGGAGTTGCAAAAAACAAGAACCGGTAATTGAAATGTGTCATGTAAAGATGTACAGGACACACACATTCATTCCATTGCCAGGTTCATAATTTATGAAACATTTCACCAAAGAAATATTACATTTTTCAATTCTTAATAGGCATTACACAACACAAAGCATCTTTATTATGGACTAGATAATTAAAAATAGCCACTATACATCCACATCTATAGTTAAAAATTTAAAATTACGATTTTATTTTTCAATATAAGGCACTTTATAAAATAATAAGGTAAAGGTTTGTGAATAAATTAATGTTGTGTGTAAAAAAACATGTATTCTGTTCTATGAAACTTGGAACCTGTTATATTTTAAGAAAAATATTGCTTAAATTGAATTAAAGAACATTTATGTGTAGAAACATTAGGATTTTTTAATTTAACACAAATTTGAAATTATTCATTAAATTCATGAAAAGGTGTCAATTATCTAATTGCTTTACTAAATTATTGTTATGTTATATATGAAATATGTGTAAAAAAGTATGTATTTTTAATTTAAATAAGTCTAATTCTTCTTAAATTCATTGCCTACTAAAACACAAAAAAATTAAAAGTATCTATTTTTTTACTATTATTTATTTAATAAACAGGATTATAAAATTGAGCTAAAGTAGCATCTGCAGACATAGAATGTTGTATAAACTTAATAAATTAAGATAAAAGATCCTAGTTTATGAAATTGATAAACTGTAAGCAATTAGACAACTATTTCAGTGTATTATAAATGGTAATTAACATGACAAATATGTAGAAGAGCTAAATAGCTAATTTTAATATAAAATTAAAATATTTTGAGTCTAGTCAAAAATAAACTGCTAATTTATTGTTATTTAATAATAAATGTTTTATTAAAACACACTTTAGGAGACAAACATAATTTAATTATTTTTTTAACAATTATTCTAATAAATTATATCATTACAGTTTGGTGTTTCAATTCAAAGCATCTTATGTCTCATACTTGTGCTTTATGTCCTTCCATAGTTTCTGAAACATAAAAGCTTCTTTAAATTAAACAAATATATGTATTAATTTAATAAAAATAATATCAACTTTTCAACTGTGGTAGGCCCATGCCTGCAGGATAAGCATGAAAGTATTATACTTTGCATTTTCTTGTAATGTAACAGTTATTCACTCTTAAAGGCTGGAAATGCACAGTCAGGGAATTATTTGGGTCTGATAGATGGGCAATCCCTTAGGTAGCGGTAATCACCTATCATGTCAATAGGTTGCCTATAACTATATATCTTGTGATATAAAAAAAAATTAAAAGTAACCATTTTAGTAAATGTAATGAAATTTAGTCTAAAACAAAAGATTATACAGCAATACAAATTAAAGTTCTTAAAATGCAAGTATTTTACTAGTAGTTATCATCATAGTATTTTACTATTATAAGTTATTTCTGTACAAGGCATAAATAAATTGACAAGACATACATTAATACTGTACAATTGAGCATACAAACTGTACTAGAAATAATATAAATATATCACCATTATAATTATTGTTTATTAATAGTATATTTATATATACAATAATTCACTATATAATTTATACCTTTATTAAATTAATAACCCATGGATAAAGACAAAATTAACTTTTTTGCCATTAAAGGCAAAGGAACCTCACAAGCAATTCTATTCTCTTAAATTTATTCAGTTTTTCAAATAATTAAAGTATATTAAATTTTTATTTCATCCATGATATTAATATTAACAGTAGTAATATTAATTTTAACGGTGGTAGGGCCATGCAGCAGCCTAGGCTTTTGCAAAAATGGGCAGGCTCGTCCAGGTAAATACTACAACCTCACAGAAGACCGGTTTCAAGTGGAAGTATAATACTTTCTGGTTTCGTCTGGTGAGTGGGGTATCCGGGGCAAAATCTTCAGAAGGTTGTCAAGGCATCTGCAACTCTCAGGTGTAACAGATGTCCATGGGCGGCAGTATTCACTTAATATTAGGTGAACCGCTGGCAATTTTTCACTTAAAAATAAATACACTAACATAAATTCTAACTAATTAAATTTTTACACTACATTATTTATTTTTAATGTCATAAAGCCAACCAGGTTTTGTTGATTGCGTACCTTTAATATTCGTATTTCATCTTTATATGAAAATTACCAAACTAGGTTCGATATTACAATAATTAAAACATAGTTGCATTTCTTCGATTCCAAAAGAAGTTATAACTATTATAGCTCGGGAAAAATGTTTTCCGTATATACATATTTTACGGAACCTATGTGATTATTTAAACCATATATTCATAATTGTCAAGTGTATGATTATGATAACGTAAAAGTTAACGATGTAAAAATTACATAACAAAATACTCACGCCCTTGTTGATGCTTTCAAAGATGGATACGGAGATCACCTCAAAAGTTCTTTCAAAAAAGAATGTTCCCGTAGCCACAACCAAAGCGAACGTTGAGGTTCGCTTAAAAACATTTCGATTCAATGTTGTCCACAAAGACATTTTGGTTGGAATCCCAACAAGAGATGCGTTGGTTGAAAATGGTTATGTGATCTTATGTCCAATGTGTCAAACCAAAATGAAGACGTATGACGTATGATGCGGTCAGGGAGACCATCTCAAAAATAGCGATTCTACCCGACACTAGCAAAAAAATGCAATCATATTATTGTATGGTTGGAGACAGGACAGTATAATTAATGAAATAAACATTCTTTCGCATAAAGCATTTAACATCTTTTTTTTGGCCGTCCCTTCACTGCTGAATATCGTGACTCATACTGCGTTGATGTGGTTTTGAATAGTTTACTTAGCTTTGCAAAATGCAACATCAGGATCCTCCAAGGATCTTGTTCTCCCTCATGCCGGTACGGACGGTCCTATTTTCTCTTGATCAAGCATGAAAGACACAAGTACACACATTAAACGCTAATATATGATTATTTCTAATTGAAAATTAGAAAATACAAACAAATATTAACATGAACTTCGATCAGTTGTATTAATAATAAAATAAACCTTATTACTGATTAGTTACATTAAAATACAATAACCGGGAAATGTAGGGATGAGATATATTTTTCCATTTGCGCATGCAAGCGCCGCCATAATATAGGGACGTCGAAAAAATATCATCGATGTAAAATATTGAATCGAATTAGTATCAAAAACGATATTTTTTCAAATTCGAATTCGGCACAGATTCCGTAGATTCAAATATTTACTTGACATTTTTCTTTCTGGACAACGGGGCTTAAAAAGAAAATATATTTTCTCTTCGATATATCGAAACTGTTATTGATATTTTTACACATATTTTTCACTTAGAACATAGTACAAAACCACAAACCAGAATAAATGCGTTTTCTGTTCGGCGAATGTTTTTCTTGGATGGACTTTACGGATCCACCAGGCTAAGCGTAAGTATCTCTACTTCCTCTGTGTCCGGGTTTGAGTTGGCCGGGCGCTGAGGGCGCTTAGCCTGTACCTCGATTATGGGTGTGCGAATGAAGCGCTGTGCGACTTTTCATCGCAGCGTGCGCATGGCCATACCAACTCCTTAGGCTGCATTTTACTTTCACGACAGTCGCGTCGCATCCCTAACAACAATTTATAAATCATATTTTCTAAATGGCATTTTCATCGCCAATGTGCGCACCGCCATATAATCTCATACGTTGCATGTCGGCAACAAAAATATCGCTCAAAAAATCGCAATGCACGGTAGGCCTAATACGGAACAAAAAACATAGTTTTGGCGTGCTAGTATCTTAGCTACCTTATTTACGAGGTAGCTAAGATACCTACCTTATAAATATTTACAACTAGCTTTTCGTCTGCGACTCCGCCCGCATGTACTACATTTTATACCGTGCTTAAAAAGTAGCCCATATCTTTCAGGCTATCAAAGATTTTTCAAATCGGACTTGTAGTTCCTAATATTACCGAGTTCAAACAAACAAACTATTCAGTTTTATAATATTAATAGCTGGCCCGCGCAACTTCGTCTGCGCCAATTCTACCGGGTCCATACGTATCTACTTTTAGCATAGCACCATCTAACGGATACTTACACAATCCAGCCCATAAATTTCTCTACACCACCATTTGTTAGAATCTTATGGGACTCACAGTAGCTCTTTGTCATCTAATAAACAAATAATTTGCAATAAATTTCTATTTTTTTATGATACAACATACAAAAATACATACAACCCTAAATTTTCACCCCTCTACGCAGACGTAGTCGCGGGCAGCAGCTAGTATATATATATACCAATTATACCAATCTATATATATATATATATATATATATATATAGATTGGTATAATTGGTATAGATAGATTGGTATAGATATTTCTATAAAAGAGCCGTGATAGCTCAGTGTCCGGGCGCTCGTCTTTAGATCAATATATTCGAGCAACCTGAGTTCGATCCCCGGTGCCGGCACCAATGAAGTTTTTAACTTTAAGTGCTGACTTATCACGTGCTCCGCGGTGAAGGAAAACATCGTGAGGAAACCTGCATATTTTCGAAATAATAACAAAAAAAAATTTTTTTTCGAAGATATGTGAAGTCCGCCAATACGCAGTGGGGCCGCGTGGTGGACTATGCCCTGATACCCTCTCTATAGAGGAGGCCTTTGCCCGGCAGTGGGACATGTATAGGCTGTTACTTTTTTTAGATATTTCTGCCATTTGGGCAAATTTCGCTCCTTAAGGCGCTGTATGCAGGGAATTTTGAACATTTGGGTGGTGAAGTATGAGGAAGCGGAGGAGGGGTAAAGCCGCTTAGTGGCGCGCGTTTCGTCGACGCGCCGCTAGATCAAGTCATTCATTACCTACGGTGCGTTCCACTAAGCGCCCACAAGGATCAAAATGCTCCTTTAGTCGTTCCACATTACGACCGCGGTCGTTGTGGTCGCGGCCAAAACGTCACTTATGACGTCATGACTTACGCTCACGCGAAGCTCACGGCGACCCATCTAAAAAGGGTCGAAGTGATCGTTGAGAAAATTAGCGGCATTTTCAAAATTCAAAATGTCTAAGTTCAAAGTGTCACCGCAAAAGACATTTTAATTACATTTGAACGTAAATTAATTAAATACACCACTAATATTAAATATAAAAAATTAAATTATAATTTTTTCAATATAAATCGGTTTAAACAATAATTATTAAGGTTTATTTTCAAGGCTTACAGATATAACCTAAAGTCTTAAATCTTTTGCTTCCTTTTTTCTATTTCGCCGTTTGTATTATTTACCTCTACGCTCAAAACGCTCTATAATCCAATCCACTCGAGTTTACAGCAGTAACGCTCACAAGCAAGTGGAACGGGAATAACTGCGGTCGTGAGCGTGATCGTTGTGGGCGCTTAGTGGAACGCACCCCTAGTGTGTTTGTAGTGATGGGCCGTAGGATACTATCGATAGTATCATGGAAGTCTTTCGAAAATGTACACAGATGATCTCTATAATATCTTTTAAGGACCATGATTGTATTTTACTTTTATATTATAATAGGAATAATAATAAACAAACAAATATAAAGAATGAGAAAGCAATCAACAATTTTAAAAAAATCTTCCTGTTTATTTTTTTTTAATTAAATGGATAAGGAATTGATTAAAAATACATCTTTAAGTCAAATTAATTAATAAAGGCAAATTACTTATAATTGTTATTTTAAAGAAATGGCTCATAAAATTTTTGCAGAAATTACGAATACAAGTCCCAAGTTCAAACCACTCATCGAGTGGAGTTGTATTTTTTATATTATTTTCATTTTTAATTTGTTAGCTAACTAATTATTTTGTTTTTATTTTATAAAATGGCTCAATTTGGGAAATAAACAAATTATAAAAAAAAAATAAAATAATTATTTTTCGTGTATAAGATAATTTTTCGTTTTAGGGTCAACAATTAAATAAATGAATAAAAAAATGGATGACGTTAAATAATTTTAATACTAAAAGTTAGTTTATTTACTGATAGATTGTTCTCCAACTGTTTCAACTTTGAACTAATACCATAATATTTCGTTGTAATGATTTATGAAAATAAAAAAAATGAACAATAATTAAATGGTAATTAAGAAATACTTCCAAATAAGAAAATCAACAATAAGTACAACAAAAAGTTTAGGGATTTGAACCCAATCCATAAAGAATGATGGTCCTATACACTGTAGGTATAGGACTGATAGACCAATCAATAACGAGATAAGACATTGAAATTATGCTTTAAATTAATTGATTAACAACTGTTAATACATACAAATCATTTATAAATACGAAATATCTGAATATATATTTTTTAGTTTCGTGTTTTCGAAGGTCTAATAAAATTAAAACTCTCAATAATAAATAAATACGAAACATATTTCGTAACGGTGAACGGGCGATGAACTGCATAGATCCATCTAGCAAGGCGCCTCAGCGCTCTCTGTTCAATGTGTGGAATTGGAAGAGAACCAGTACATGTCTTATCTATGGCCTCGGTGTTTTGGCCATCGCGTTCGAATTAATTTTAATGATTTAAATTAATATTTACAAATATCTTACTTCAATCAACAAATTAAGACAACAGTCCTTTTTATTAATATATTCTACACCACTGATATTAATTTCATTAAGATTTGTTCGTTTATTATATCTATTATATATTTTTTTTTAATTTCCCGTTTAGAGGTAGGTTCGTGATTTTTTTTTCTATCGAGAAAATATATCGAGATTAACATATATTTTTTTTGCTTCTATAAAATGTAGATTTTGTTAAAAATTTTTTTGAAAAACCTATTTTTACTGCATACAGCGCCTTACATTTTAGATGTGGCAGATTCAAAAAAATTTTTGCGAAAAACCATTATATTATGAGCTAGCTTTGTTTACACTTGTGTTAAATACTGTATTTAGAAAACAATTATAACTTATCAACTATGTAACTAAAATAAATGTAAGCCATATATAATTTTTTTCATATAAATTTAATTAAACTATGCATGAATAATTCCATTTATTATTAGGTTATGGACTCATACCATGAGCAAACTCATATGCCAGAATACATAGATTAGTGACAATCATTAATCAGATCACTAATAATTAGAAAAAAGCTTTTCCAACCCCAGAAAGGATGTATTTATGTGTCAGACTAAGGACTTTGATAACATATTTGAACAACACAAGAATCGAATAACATAATAGGCAAATAAAAATACTTAGTTTATTATGGGCAAAATATAATATCATCTATTTACATTTTAAAATGCTGGTATGAACAATAATTCTTAAAAATAATGAGTAATGAAATGAAACAAATTGAACAAAAACTCTGTGCACTATTAGGCTATTTTTTATAACACTACTCAATAAAACAAAATTTAATGTGGCCCCATGTTTACAAAATATTTAGTAATGTGAGACAGAAATCAAAAATGAAAAATTTTAATTGTTTATAGTTTTCTTATTATACCTAACCCGTATAGTAATCAAATTTGAATTGAAAAATAAGGAAATGTATTGTACAATCATTGTACGGAATGGTTTCATTGTAATATAAATAGATATAGATATCAAACTATTTATATTAAAAACTGGATTTAGGGTTCACCTAAATTTCTATTGTGTAAAATTTCTATTGTCACATAAAAACAGCATGTCTTGTGTTGAACAATTTCATACTTGATACTCTCTTCCATCTGAAGTCAAATTGATAATTTATTTGGGAACACATGCACACATGCACAAATCCAAAAACTGCATTTGAAATATACTATAATACAAAAATTGTTTTGTATTAAATGTAACAACAAAGTGCAATCTTAGATTTTGTTCAATTATAAACATTTCTCATTAATATTAAATAAATAATTTTGAATATCCTAACTCATTGTGTGATAATGTTCATTCCGTTATATTTTTAGGATAATTATTACAAAAAATAATATAGAAGTTTTTTATAAATACAAAGGTTTAAAAAGGCAGGTATATTCTTTAACTATAACATTTTAGGCATTAACAAGAAATGGCTATTTGTATTTTATAAAACTTAATGAAATTAAGTATTTGAGAACATAGTAAATAATACTTTTATATTTAAAACATGCCTTGGCAACACAGCTTCAATAATGTGATGAAATTTATTCCAAAAATTTGGGATCTTTACACAAAATACTTGCACATAATATCAGATTAATAATAAAATTTAATTATTAAATTAGTGGTATACATTTCTATCTATTTTCAACTTCACACACATCACATGCAACACTTGATTGCAATTTGTTTTTGAATGTGGTGAATATAAAACATTCATCATTTTTATATATTTCTATATCCTAATGTTTACTTGGAGTCAATTGTAATGTTTATAAATTGCTCTTAAAATTGAGATTGTTCAACCCAGCACATACAACTAATGCTCACAATTGCAGCAAATGATTACATAGTTGTTTCTGTAGCTACAAAAACAATATTGACAGGACTACATCAAATAAAACTAACACCGCCATGATTATATTCCATAGAGATCAATTTTTATACTGTTCACATAAGAAACTGCACTAGGATTTCATAAAGTTCTTTTATATTAGCTGATATCAAAATACAATATTCAAGTTTGTACCTTGCAGCAGCAACTTTCAGTAACATTATTAGGGTAAACTGTTCACGGCCAAGGTATCTCAGTGTCCTGCTAGGGTTGTGCAACATATATCTCAAAATATTTGAGCATTTTTAAGTGACATCCCTGGCATAGGGCCATTGTAAACAATCACTGACAACATTTCTTCACATTCTTGGTTTTGGTACGTTTTATGTTCACTATATCATTAGCTGTTACATTTTGTCTCTCCTTCATTTCTAATTTAGATCTGAGTACCTGTAATTGTTTGCAGTTTCATTAGGATGCAAGTTTTAGTAAAAAAATCATTTAAACAACCAAATAAACAAGGATTTATCTAGGAGTATATAGCTATTCAAAATTTGGATCTCTTTTTAAATGCTTGTGCTTAGATTTATTGCTTAATGTTGAATTTGACTTTGTTAAAGCTACCATAGTAGCCATAATTGTCTGAAGAAACAGTTTTTAAATTAAATTATGTTATGTAAATAAAAGGACTAAGAAGATACTTACCATTTTCGTGATAGTAAGAAACATTTCCTCCACATTTATATTTTCTTTTGCACTAGTTTCAAATAAAGGGATGTTCATTTGATTAGCAAATCTTTGGGCATCCTCTGTAACCACAACTTTCCTCGATGGACAGTCATTTTTATTACCAACTGAAAACAACAGACAAATGTGCTTTTAAAAATGAAAGCATTTAATGATCCTAGTAAAATAACAAGATGGAAGAACAAGAAGGAGCCCAATTTTCAAATGGTTGTCAAGACATCTGTAACCCTCGGGTGTAGCAGATGTCCATGGAAGGCGGTATTAACTTAACATCAGGTGACCCGTCTGCCCGAGTGGTAACTTTTCGCATAAAAAAAAAAACACTACACATGTCCCACTGATGGGCAAAGGCCTCCTTTGTACATAGGGCACAATTCACATATTGATTTTATTTATCTTGAAAATATGCCGGTTTTCCTACATTTTTTTTTTTCACCAAGCATCTGATAAGTCAGCACTTCAAATTAAAAATTTCATTCGTGCTAGCACCAGGGATACACTGTAACTCGAGTAAATTGAATTGTGATCTATTAATTATCGTATCTATAGGGTTTTATCAGTTATTATGTTATTTACATTGAATTATAGATTGCAACCGTAAAATTGGAACAGATTTGAAGTACAATACTTTCTTAAACAAAGCAGTGTACTACTTTTACTACTATTTTTAGATTTTTCTCAAAAATTTGTTGCATTTTTTTTGAGATAAAAATCAATTAATCAGAAATGTTTTCAAATTTTAACTCAAAATGAAATAAAACATAAATAAATCCATAGTACTTTAACATTATAGATTTATTTGATTTAATGAGTTACTTATTTTATTAATATATGTAATTAATTTTAACACTCTCATCATTTACTTCATAAAGATTACTCACCTAGAACTTTGTTTACGACATCACAATTTTGCTCTATCTCATGTAGCCACCTCTTGACATTGGCAAAGGACTCCCCATTTGTAACATCGTAGACTACGATGACGCCGTGAGTGCCTCTGTAATATGTGCTTGTTATAGTTCTGAACCTTTCCTGGCCCGCAGTATCCCATATTTGTAGCTTCACTCTTTCACCGTTTATCTCTAAAGTCCTTATTTTAAAATCAACACCTATCGTTGTAATATAACTACCGGAGAATGTGTTGTCTGCAAATCGCAGTAGAAGACAGCTTTTACCAACGCCTGCAACACGGTAAGATTTAATAAACAACACGAATTGACGTTAAAAATTATTAACACCACTAGCAATCACAGGCCTCGCCCACTCACCACTGTCACCGATAATCAGCAGTTTGAAGAGGTGATCAAATTCACGTGCCATTGTTTGCAATTTGTGTTGATAGTCTTCTAATTGGTCATGTGTTTTTTGCTAATATCTTTAATTGGTTTTCAACTTTTACAATAGAAATATTAAATAAACGCATACCGTAAAACGTTACGCTTGCGTCACTTTACAAAACGTCCGCCATTATTATCTTTTTACGTTCCTTTTTAAAGTGGAAATTGAAACAGATGATATCACTATCTGTTTCACTTTTAAATATTTTAAGTGTGTTGGAGTTTAAAATAATGTTTCTACTTCATCAAAAAAGTAATTTAAATCCTTATAAAAAATTCTATAGCATTTTCAAAATAAAAATTTAATTTGATCTGAAACGAAATTGTAAAAAACTAGAATTTGTTTAATGTTTGTCTACCAGCAATTTAGAACTGAATTATCACCGGTACCCAAATTCGCCGCCGAGCGAATAATTAAGCCACCGCCTCCGATAATAATACAAGAGAAGGCAAAGTGGCGTCACGTATGCTCGTGGTTCTAACGCCACAATATCCGCGACCCCCGGTCGAAAATACAAATATGGGTATCGGCGTTTACCTCGATACAACGGACGACTTCCGCCACGTAACGAAGTATTTGCGCGAGAATAAGATAGATTACCATACCTACTCGTTGCCCGAAGAACCAAAACTTCGGGTAGTAATAAAGGCTGTCCCCAAAGAGTACGATGTCGACAAGGCTAAGATCAACATCCGCACTCACGGATACCCTGTGCATGCAGTTCGATGCATCCTCAGGCACCCAAGAACCCGTGTCCCTATGGACATGGTGATGGTTGAACTTGACCCTACTCCGGAAGGTAAGGCCATCTTCAACCTAGAGAAGGTCTGTGGGCTCAGCGACCTAGTGCGTGCAGCCCGCCATTCAATAGGCGCCGAAGCAACAGGTTCAGTCAACACCACCGGTATTCACCGGAAACAATGACGACCCGTTCGCCCAAATAGCAAACATCTGCGGCTTATTAGACCGCATAAATAGACAAGAGCTCGCCGTATTGTCCGCAAAAATATCGGCCGCCACATGTGGCCCCGAGCGTCTTAAAGCCATTAGCGACCATAAAACGCTTGTAGACGCCCTCTGCGTGTTTACAAGCCAGCCGTAAACTTAATTGTCCGCGCAATAAAACCGCGCTCCGCCGGGTCGTTAGTTAGAAATTATAAAAAACTTTTATGGAAAGTACAACCACAGGTAGATGAAAACCTCGGAATCTGGTTGTTTTGTATTTCAACGCAAACGGCATTAAGGGTCAAAGGAACGAAATCGCAGAATTCCTTCGCGATTATAATATAAATATATTTCTAGTGCAAGAGACCTTCCTAAAACCTAGCGTACGCGATCCCAGAATCGCAAACTACAACATGGTCCGCCACGACCGGTTGGCAAACTGTCTGGGTAGCACTTTAATTTATGATAAACGGTCCTTGCATTGTAGCCCGCTCAACATTTCAGAGCTAAGCCATATAGAAGCAGCATCAGCGTGTAGGTTAGCGCTCACCGGCCATAGGCCGCTTGTACTAGTCTCAGCTTACCTGTCGGGGAACAAATCCTTATTACAAAGCGATATAGAAACGCTACTCAATTTAAGCCCTTCCGTGATAATTGCAGGAGATCTAAACTGCAAACACGACTCATGGGACATTCACAGTATCCCAAATAATAACGGTAAGCAACTCTTTAGCTTAACCGATAACTTAAACTTTAGCATAATCCCTCCTGCGACTACCACTAGGTACCAACACGCGTCACCGGCTATCCTAGATATTATGTTATTCAAGTAGATCTCGCTCGACATCGAGTCGATAGAGACAATCCATGAACTAGACTCAGATCACGGGCCCGTCCTGCGCAAATTGGGCCAGAACGCCGGCGCGGTCCCTCCGACCAAATCCGTAGTGGACTGGCATCGTCTTGAGTCAAACTCAAGACCTTGGAACCCCAGGACATAGTAAACCTGCCCGAGAGGATAGCTACGTTCCATGACGCAAATCGAGCGATAGCAAGTCTCCGAGAAACTATAACTTCCGCCGTCGCAGACTCGGAACGGACGGTGAAACTGTCGAGCGACCGACGGTTTAACTTTCCGCCCGATCTGCGACTGCTAATTAGACAAAAAAACGCAACCAAACGCGCTTTCCGATCAGAATCGAACCGAACCTTACTTCGACGCCTTCAGCTAGAAGTCAAAGATCGCGTATCTGGAACACCGACATACCACGTGGGACGCTCTCCTAAAGGACATCGAGCCTTCGCACACCGCCTACTGGCGGTTGGCCCGTAGTCACTACCGCTCTTATTTATACCTAATAGCGCTTCAGTTGCCCTAGTTGACTCCGAAAAAGCCGAATTCCTTGCGGACAACCTAAAGTAGCAGTATACGCCATCGCGCGAACACACCGATACAGCCAACCTAACGGAGGTGGACCGCGTAACCGAGATTAAGGCTGCGCTTCCACCGGAAGGCGATCCTTTGAATTCAGTGACCCCTGAAGAGGTCCAAGACATTATCAAAAATTTAAAACCCAAATCCGCCCGGGCCCAGAAAATATTAGCAACAAAATGCTTAAAGCTCTCCCTGGGCCGCTTATCTGTTTACTGGCGACCATTTACAATACTTTACTCTACAGTTGCTCCTTTCCAGACGACTGAAAAGAAGCCATGGTTATCGGCATTCGCAAGCCGAATAAACCATCCAATCAGCACACTAGTTATCGTCCCATCAGCCTTCTCAGTTGCCTGGGGAAGCTCTACCAGCGGCTTCTATTAAACAGGCTCAACGAGCACGTTTTTTCCAATGGCCTTCTGTCGGCGGCACAATTCAGCTTTCGAGCTAGACATTCCTGTCCCGATCAATTATACCGCCTAACGGAACATATCCTAAAAGCCCTAAATTACCCTAAACATATTAGCACGGGGGCTCTTTTCGTCGATATCGCAAAAGCATTCGACAAGGTTGACACAACCGCTTGATTTACAAGCTGTACTGCCAGATATGCTCGTACACACCATCCGGGCCTTCCTGTTGAATCACTCTTTTCGATATCGAGTCGAGGGAACCCTCTCCACAAGCCGCCGCCTCATGGCTGGCGTTCCACGAGGCTCCTGCCTCTCACCATTGCTCTTTACGATCTACACGAGCCTTCGACCTCGGCGCCGCCGACCGCCTCGGTGATTGGTTCCGCAAATGGAGAATAGGAGTAAATTCCGAAAAGAGTGTGTCGAACATCATCCCAATCCTCTGGTGGTAAGTGCAGCAAATTACCAACCCGACACAAATGCGAACGTCAACAAGTGTCGCCCGCGAAACGTCCTCATCGACCCGGTCGAGGAAGGGGACTTAGATAGGCCGGACCCCATCGCCGGGAGACCCAACGGATAACACTACACACTAGTAAGTGCAACAACAAACACACTAGTTCGTCCTAGCCTCCGAGCACGGTGAGACCAACATAACACGTACACAAGGTAAACGCATGTTCCGGGGCGGTTCTCACCGCTCCCAGCCACCGATTAGCTAATTGCACAGTCGACGGCCATTGGGATTTCGGTCCCAACCGCGACTTCGATGGCCCTTAGATGACACACCATAGTTAAACGCACGCATGAGCATATGCGCGGCCCTACCCAAAGCGGAGGGCCAAAACCCGTGGGTTCGGGCTAGCCCACCGGTTCTGCGTCAGATGAAGCTTTAATAGTCTCGGGACTGAAAGCAAAAACATCAGTTTATACAAGATACAACCTTTTGAAAATTGGGCTCCGGCTACCTCTCCTCATTCACCAGATGAAACGCGAAAGTATTTGTCAGACATCCACTTTGCGCCGGTTTTCTGTGAGGTGGAAGTCCGGTGGTTCGGACTTACCCAGACGAGCTTGCTCATTCGTGCAACAGCCGAGGTTGCTTCGTGGCTCTACCACAAATTGTTATAATAAATTATTTGATAAACTGATATAGTTAATTGTTAAACTTGAAAAGGAGTAAATTAATGCCTGTTAAAATCAAAATTATAAAGTGTACTATTTTTTTTTTTAAATACTATCCTCTTCAATTTTTTGTCCTATCTTTTTCATCATACTGAAATCCAACCGTAGTCATCGCCTACTTCTAACTACTTGTCATTGTCAGTTAGTAGTTACTTATCTTTTCATTGTCAAACAAAACTTTAGGTGTGGTACATAAGCAACGTAAGTTTTCTAATAATGTCGGCTACATTAAAGCCTTATTTAACTGCAGTTCGCCACACACTAACTTCCGCTATGTGTTTAGAACATTTTTCATCACAAGTTGTTGAACGATACAATAAGCCCGAAGTTGAAGTACGGACAAGCGAAGAACTCTTGTTGAATCCAGTAATCATTTCTCGGAATGCGAACGAGAAAGTTTTAATCGAATCCTCGATTAATTCTATAAGAGTAAGCATAATGATCAAGCAAGCCGATGAAATCGAAAAAATATTGTGTAAAAAATTCATGCGATTTATGATGATGCGAGCTGAAAATTTTATCGTTCTTCGCCGGAAACCGGTGGATGGGTATCATATCAGTTTCCTGATTACCAATTTTCACACGGAACAAATGTATAAACATAAATTAGTTGATTTTGTAATATACTTTATGGAGGAGATTGATAAGGAGATAAGTGAGATGAAACTTGCTGTAAATGCGCGTGCTAGAATTTGTTCCGAAGAATTCCTTAAGAGGTTCTAAGTATGTACTTCAATCAACAGACCAGTAATTTATAGCTGTTTTTTTTGCAATTGAATAACATGACTGTATATCATTAATTTATTCATGATTGAAATTTTGGGCAATAAAACTAAGAGTATTTTCTATATAAGTATGCTGTTATTTAATAATTATTTAGCAAATGCTCTCATATTTTCTTTTTCTAAAGATAATGCAAACTTTTAACTTTATTACATATTTTATGTCACATTTTCAATTTCAATTCTGTTATAATAGGATAAATTACTTTGTTGATATTTAAAAAAAAATACATTTTAATCAAAAATACTTCCATACAAATTATTCTTAATGAATTTTGTAAACTACTACTTAGTTTATCACATCTCCCATACAGTCCTATGGCTGACAGTATTTTATTTGCAACATGATTCTTAGTCATCAAGAGTATACCTACGACCATGGATGAAAATTGTTTGAAACACATTAGTTTTTATCTTAGTTTTAAAATTTTATCTTTTGAAAATAATTTAATTTTATATACTTTTATGTGAACATTGTTCCATTGACACAAAAAATGATTAAATCAAATTAGTAAAAATTTTTAATCATAATTGTATCTTATAGCATCTTTGTTCTAAATGTGTATTTCAATCTTTAAAATATACATAGGTTTTTAAGAAAACTTTATTCTTAGCATTTGAAAGTGTATTATACTTTGTAATAATGTTATATACTTTATTACTTTTGATTGTTTTTTAAATGCAACTAATAGTTTTCCTCAAACATTTACCTTGTTTGCTTAAATAAATACCATAATCGACCGGAATAGGTGTTTACCTCTGGCTTCACAGTCACTTTATTAGTTTACAAGTAGAGTTCAACAACTATGAAATGTGGCAGACATTCAACATCACAATTTGTGATGTTTTAATTTCAGCTTCAAATATTTTTGTAAGCTGTAACTTATTGCATACAGTGCTACTATATCTGTTATCTATAGCACAACTTTGTATCATATCATATATAATAACTTTTGTGTATGATCTCAGAGGAGTAATGTTAGAACCATTAGACAAGAACATTCCATTGCTTATATAAAAAAAATCCCATGTCTAAACTAACAGCAAATGGTGAAATTAGACTTTATAAAAATACATAAACTGATTTAGTCAAGTCACTTGTGCTTATTGTTTCTATGACACTAGACCATGAGGTACCAACAACATGTCAACCGACAATACCAAAATACAAAGTTATATAGTGGAGTTACTCATGTGTAGATATTTATTAATGCTCAATAAAAGTATGAGTTAATATTGTTTACTGTTTTATGCATGAGTTGTCACACAGTTAGTTGTTTTGTCTTTCAGGGTTTAGCTATTATTGCAAGCGTCTATAACTGTTTCAACATCATTTCATCCTATTCCATTTGTCCTAAACTGCGAAGGCCAGTACGAGATGGCCATAAAGCCGATAACCACTGGGAAGAAAGGCCCTTGAATTGCAGCCTCATATTTTCTTTAGGACGAATATAATTTCATGAAGGCCTCAATTTTAACTTTTTGTGCTAGTCTCTGCACTTAAGATGAAATTTATAAAACTTTAGACAAAACTGCTGCAGGGCCTGTAAAATAGTATATTAAACTTACTCTAAAATTAAAGTTGGTACAAAATGCAATAAAAGCAAAGTAGATAAATTTTCCAGCATTTTGCGTGGTGAGGATTTTGACCGCTTATCTCAGTGGCTAGTGTCTGGACGGATTATCTGGCGCAGGTTCGAACCTAGTAGTTCTAAATTTAAAAAAAGTGTGTGTGTACTTATGTACACGCGTTAGAAATTATACTTCCTTGGCATAGCAAGATAAAATCTTTTCAATAATTTTATCTTTCACCTTATACTACGTTTTTTAGAAAAAACGACACTAACAATAGAAAAAAGGTATTTAGTTAATTGAAAGTTTTATTGTAACGCATTATCTAGTTAAATAAAGTTTATTTAAGTATCACAAAATAAATATCGTGAATACCGCTGTCAGATCTCACGCAAACATACGTAGATGTCTAGCTAACTTCAGGGTGTCGATTTTTCGTGACGGTGTGAACGCGCGTCGTAAAAATTTACTCTCATCTTTTTTCCCTAACGCGCCAAAAGAAACTAATAACTTCAAAAATGGATTTGACGGCTATTTGAACACGTGTACGTAACATTGCTCAAATGGGTTAAGAATCATCAGCAACCGACATGTTTCAAAAGGAAGACATACAGGATAGACATTAGACAATTAGGCCGTCTCCATGGACGAAACATTTTATAAAAAAATAGGGCAATGGGTGCCGGTATGCTATAAGTCACGCGGATGGATTCATTCCAATGCCTTCTTGTCTTGGTATAACAAGACAATTACAACTAGAATTATCATTCCAATATGAGTTTCGAAAACTATGGCATGTAGCTTGAGCATAAGCTTCTACCGAATTTGCCGGAAAGGGTCGTTATAATGATTCGAGGTTTAACTCAAATAGAGCGATATTTAGTATTTCGTGCGATTAAAAAAAAACTGTGATACTGTGTGTGAGTGATACTAAAGGGTTTGAAGAAAGTGACACTTCTTACGATTAATTTATACAGGTGGCTTTTCTAAAGGTGCCCAAATTCACACAGGAGGTTCAAATTCGGTAGTATAATCTTTTATTGAAATAAAAACAAACTTTTTTTTCAAAAAAATTGCCATTCCATTCCTTAGAACACAGAACTTGTTGACAATGCACTTGTGGGTAGTCATTCATAAATGCGTCATATACTTTTGAAACGAACTTGTGTGCGTGTTTGGGTATGAATGATCGCGCGTAAAATAAATAACTTGCCATAAATCACGCACTTTTTGAGATAAGTTCAAATGAATGTATTTAATTAATTACTAGTGATTTTAAATATTTATCATTTTTTATATAATATTATTTATGTATAGAATTTAATAAAAAAAATGGATACACTTAAAAAAGCCTCCCTGTAGAACAAATAAAATTTAATTTCCAAAACTGTATTCTAAGACGCATTCGTGATTTGGAATAACTATATACACATTCGCCCTAACAGAAATGAGCGTGTTTGTATTGTTTCATTTTAAATACTTACTTAGAAATATGCATATGAGCTCCAGACCTGTCTGATACCGATATAGATTTTTACGTATATTTTTTATACTATAGTTATGATCGATTGGGTAGATTCGTTCGCTACCTGGCATCGTGGAATATTTCCTTTTTGTATTATTAAGTTCTCGGCAAGTGCGGCATAGATGGGTCAAACGCTTTTTTTGGGTACCTGTTTCAACCTTGACCCCACATACCCCTACCGCTACCCTAATCCGGAGCCAGAGGATTCAAAAAGGATTTTTCCCACTTTAAAAAAAGGTCTTCGAGCGGCAATGTAACTGGGGCCCACCAATTGCTTAATATCAGTTAAATTTCCTGCTTGCTACAAACTCAATAAGTGAGAAGGCTATAAATACTTTTGTGTAAACATATATGGCATGAGCCAGTTCGCTCTGACAATATGCTGTTACTAAATTGCAGCAAATGAATGGCACATTTTATACTTATCATTGCTTTCGAAATATAATGAATTCAAATAACTTAAATTGCATGAAATTTACCATGTAATCGAAAACAGCATTATGGGTATACAGAATTGTTATTAACCATTACTATGTATTTTTTGAATTCCTTTAAAAATCTTTATAAAAACTCAAACTGGTGTAACAAAGTTTCAGCTATGTATGATGAGTAATTGCATTCATATCTAGTTCTTAGATTTAGCTGTACGTAGGGTAAAACCTTCTCCTTTGAATGCTTGAAATGGCTCTGCTGGTGTTTCTTCTTTGGCACTGGGCGGCCTTGAATTTCTTATAAATCTCAGTGTACCGATAACAAAGTCGTAATCAGGAATACCACGTACATATGACTGAAATATGAATTAAACATTATTTTAAATAGCATTTTAAAAAAGAAGTGGGAGACAGAAATTTATAGTATCTATCAGCCATTTATTTGTAAAGATCTATATGTCTAAGCAGCATTGAAAAGAGTCATATAATTTCCTTAATTTACTATATTCTACATCTTTGTGACTCAAGGCACAAGAAAACTTAGAACTAATGGCTACCGTCTAGGTGTAGTTCAAATATGAACCAGTTGGGTTGCATATTATAAGAATCATCCTGTTTATGTGTAACAGCTTAGCATTAGCAATAAAAAATCTTTTAAAAAGCCTAGTTGATTATCTCTTAATATTTTATATACTTCAGTTTATGTATTGTCTGGTTCACAATGAGGACAATAGAAAAGCCCCTGTTTTTACTAAATTGGAATGTCAAAGTTAATACTTTACAGCCAAGTACTATACCTGTCTAGCCTGTGCATTTTGTGATTCAGAATCACTCTCACTTGTAAGTTTTTTCTTCTTGCCATCTAGACGATTTCCTTCACCACTGAAGGCTATAAATCCACTGGGTTCAGGCATCATAATAGCAGGGTCTTCATCCATGCTTGCTCCTGAACTGCCGTCAGCACTTCTTGGAACATGTTCCTCTTCTTTGTAACCAACCGGTGGGGCAAATTCAACCTTAATATATGGGGGAACAAAATTACACATTTTTTTCCCATAACTGTTTCGAAAAAATTTAAAATTTCACATAAAAGTAGTAAACAATCTCAAAAACCTTTTTGGTAGTTTTAATGGAAATTCAACATTCTATAGGGCTATAAAATTATTAACGATAGATTTAATTTGCATTAAAATATTTTATTGTACTTACATTCATATCACATTCAATTATTATCACAGCATTTCCTGGTTTTGTTTCTAAAACACATAACTCATATACTTTTGAGTTATATTTAATAGCTATAACATCTCCCGTAGTTAGGCATGAAAAATTCCTTAGACAGTTTTCAAGAACTGAAAATAAATTATCATCCTTTTATTTTAAATAACAATATTTACAATATCCAATAGTAAAAAATGCTTTTAAAATCATGTTTTCAGAGACTATAATTTTTCAGTTATGTTTTTAAAAAAGTCTTGGCTATGGTAAAATATGTATATTGTAACAGCACAATAGTTTTTTTTTAAATCAATATCATTCATATTAATAATTGATTTAAGTCTAGTAATTGTTAACAATAGTGGCATGCTTGTTTTTAATTACAAATAATTCTAATTAAATTAAAATTAAAAATAAATGTGATAAATCCATAAAAATGGTTTCATTATAATGTGTAATTGTGTAAATAATCATTGATAAAGAAACAAGCAAAACATAATTACAAAGTAAACATTGTCATATTTGTGTAGAAAAAGTCTAGTGAATCACTTTTGTCAATTTAAGCAGAAAATGAAATTAAATTTTTAAAGACAAAATTTATCATAAATATTAAATCATCAAAATGAATATTAATATAGATCATACTATAATAAATACAATAATACATTAAAGAATATAGTTCAAACTTATGTTTGTTTGGAAAATTGAAAGCTTTTTAAATCTATACATATATATATATATATATAAAAATGAATCCCTATTTCCCTTGGTCACGCCAACATGCGTGAACGGCTAGACAAATTTCACTTTTTTTTTGTTGTTTGTTATTATCAGAAGAAGGTTCTTTCTGTCTAAAAACAACACTTTGACACAACAATTTGAACTTTAATACCATACCATAATGTTTAAGTGTTAGTGGAGAGGTTCCGGGAAGGCAAAAAAAGCGAGTGGCTGTGGTAAAATGTCACTTGAAATGTAAATGTCTCTTTGCTGTTCATCTACATAGTATAGTTAGCTACATAGTATAAAACAAAGTCGTCCCACTGTCTGTCTGTCCCTATGTATGTTTAGATCTTTAAAATTACACAAAGGATCTTGATGCGTTCTTTTTTACTAGATAGAGTGATTAAAGAGGAAGGTTCATATGTATCATACATTGCACCCGTGCAAGGCTAGGGAGGGTCGCTAGTGATTTATAAAATATTGAGAATACCACAGCAATGTCTGACTTCTATAAAATATTTGCATTGTAAGGGTTTTTATAGTCATACTTGTAGATATAATTTGTCTTATCACTTAATTACTTACCTGCTTTAGGATTTGTTATATCTAAGAAATCTTCAGAGAGTGGCTGGAATTTAGAAAATGTGGCCACTGGTAAGGAGACACTTTCAATTTGTATTGGTGCACCCTCTTCAAGTACTAGATTTGCCATCATCTGTTAACAATTTATCACATTAAATACTTTTTCTACTACTTCAAAAAAAAAAAATATTTCACAGATATGTGAAGTCCGCCAATCCGCAGGGGGGCCACATCACTACTCTGTACAAAGGAGGCCTGTGCCCAGGAGTGGGACATGTACAGGCTGATACTTTACTTTTACTCTTTTATATTTAGATATGAACTTTTCATGTCTCTCTACAAACTTCATATCCCTACATTACCCAACTCATTAAAAATGTAGCATATTGTTAAAAAGTAAATTAACTATTCTAATATAAGAAGACAGCGAAATGCCTTTTATATTGTATATATTAATGCCAACGTTTTGTTTAAAGATGTTAAGTAATATATATATTTCTTTTTTTTTACATACCCAATGTGGTAAGTAAACTTTTCCTTCATCTGCAACAAATTCTAAAACACCACAATGAGTGATTCGTTTAGTCTTCTTGTTTGTCAATTTAAAGATCATGGGATATTCAATGCTTAACCTTGTCAACTGCTCCAGAGCTGAAGGAGGCATTATGACTGAAAATATATTTATTTATTTTATCATTATTTGTAAATAACTAATTGTTTTAAAATTTTGGATCTAACATTTCTATTGATTATTTGTTATCATAAATTAAAGTCAAATTATCATACATATTAATATGCTTACTTTTTCCTCCTCTTTCCACATCCTGTCTTTCATTTCCAGGTAACATGGACACAGAAAAACAACGGTAAGTCATGACAAATGGTCTTGTAATTTCATGAAACATGTTGAATCCGAACTGAAACTGAAGAGGTGTATATTGAGCAAATCATGAAATTTCAAATTTATAGTTATATTTGAGTGTAAAAAGTATACCATGGTGAGTAGTTATTATAAAAATTTGCTTCTTCAAAAACTTAAAGTGCAAATCATTCACTGAATTTAACAGCTGACAAGATATGTCATGTTTTGTTTCATTGAAAACTGCATAAAAAGTACAAACACCAAAAAGTTGTAGAAATAATGCACATTAGTGATGTGCGAGTCGAGTTATTTGATTCGAGTAACTCGAATCAAACCGTAAGCGAGTAAACTTGGGTTCAGTTTTAAGCAACTCGAATCACCGTCTTGGTCACTCGGTCAACCGAACGCAAACCGGACGTTGTACGCGGGGGGTCGGGGGCCTCACGCGTTGACGAGTTACACACGCGGCTCGTGCGCGTCGTTCAATAAGTGTTGCATCTCACTCGCATCGAATTTAGTGAGATAACCTAACCTTAAGGACAAAATAGATGCAGATAGAACTCGGGTTGAGTTGGCCTCGCTCGCCCAGGATCGGAAACGGAATTGCGCGAATGTAAAACCGCGTTAAATTTTATTTTGATTTTTTGATTGACATTTTGTTGTTTAAATTTATTATTTGATCGTTGGCAACCCGCGTGCGACCTGACTTTATTGAATTGTTAGTAATCTGTTGTGTTTTGTTTGTAATGGCATCAAATAAGAGAAGTGCGGCGTGGGAATTTTTTGCTATACAAGTAAATTTTTTTATTAACGAAGAACTGACTTCAAATAACTCGCTCTGTATTCATTTTATAACTGGATTTTCAGGAGTTCCCTACGTATCCTTCGTGGATCCAATACCAATGAAATTAATATGGAATCACGAAGAATTCAAATAAAAAAAGAATCATCAGAATCGGTCCACTCACTCGACAGTTCTGAGGTAACAAACATAAAAAAAAATGCAGTCGAATTAGGAACCTCCTCCGTTTTTGAAATAGGTTGAAAAATAGAAACTTTCTTTGTTTATAGTCGATTGATTATTGTCTACAAAAAAAAAGTTTCGAATTGTGAATCGACTCGAGTAGCCATATCACATCACGATTCAACATCATTATTTTCACCTATCTATCAGCCTCGAGTCGAGCTGACTTGTGCTCCCCGAGTCGGTCGAGTTCCCTCACTCTCCCTACAGAAGACATCGAGACGAGTCAACTCGAGTTGCGACTCGAGTCAGTAGTCATATCAACTCGAGTAACTTGAGTAAAAAAAATCCAACTCACATCACTGATGCACATGAAGGCTGTCTGTGTCTGAACAAGTATTGCCAATTAAATTTATGCAATATGTATAAAAAAAATTACGTTAATGATGCTAAGTTACGTATATGAGCAATTAAGTGCATCATAATTAAAATAAACAAATTTTCACAGTTAATATTTGAATTTGATATACATTTCTTTTATTGTTAGTTACTTTAAATAACCATCGAAAGGGTAATTGTTCATATTGGGCAAAATAAAAGAATTAAAAATTTAAATAAATAAATTAATAATTACCATATTATTCTATGTGAATATTATGTATATAAAACTATTAAGTATTGGCAACGATTGTCATCTTATGTCCTTTTCTTTCTAGTAATCGTCGATCGTTCATTTCATTTCATTCATTTGTGTATGTGGCAGCCGCGGGTTCATAATTCGTCGTTTCTTATTACAAATAGAAAATATAAAAATCCCATAAATTTTCTTCATGTAGATTCAAATATATTTTGTGAGTACATTTAGGATCTCATTTTAGAATTGGAATAGTTATATTTTGTCACTATCCGGTCATTGTCATTTTCTTTCAAACATGAATGAACGCCATGTTGATTGTCAAAGGTGTTTTCGGAACGGATGATACATCAGTGGATTGAATTTTGTGTTGTTTTTGCAGGCTCCGCGATATCTAAGGATCGCTGTAAAGCCGGTTTGATTTAGTTAAAGCAAAGAATTTCGCAGCCATGGCACAAGTTTTGCCTATACGTTTCCAAGAGCATTTACAGGTGAGTACGCCCATCGTCATTTATTGGTTTTGTCAATAGTTACTACAATGGAGTGGGAAGGATATCAGCTGTAATCAATTAGTATTTTGCAGTATGTAGCTCATTGCTTTGTCTTTTTCGAGATGGACGTGATAGTAGAAATGACATTGCGCAATTCTCGGAATGACAGTTTCCACCCCCTACTCTACCCACGGAGGTGTACCGGTATTGATCTTTACGTATTCTCCCTTATATCATATGATTTGCAGGCTACAAAGCATATTTAGGTCAAACACTTTCGATCATTAGGCATTAAAATGCCAAAACACACATACATTTAAAATACTTGGAAACTGTTAACATACTTATAAATTTTTAATTTAATTATGTTCTCAATATCATTGCATACGAATAAAATTGTACTGAATCTGTTATCTATTCAATATAAGTTTATTTTTTGTAGACCCAAGGTATATTTATCTTGAAAGAATCTAATAAGGTGAAGGTTCATATATTATTATATCAGAATTAGCAATGATGCACAATTATATTTTTAGAAAGAACAAATGTTATTTAAATTAATACAGATCATGAATATATAGAGAAAACTACAAGTAGCTTTTATTCATAATGATTTTAAATTAAACCACTGAACAGAATAGTTATAATTATATAAAATAATTTGTAATTTATAAAATTATTAATAATCTTATATAAATATAAATACTCCACTATCATCTTAGAATTTGCTCTTAATGATCACATCATTTGATTATGTATGGTTAAATATTATATAATATTATATACATAATCAATAATCAATATATAATATATATTTAATTAAAAATATAAAAACTTTTAGCTCACAAATGTTGGAATCAATCCAGCTTCAATATCGTTCAACACTCTTACTATGGAGTCGGACAAGTTCATCTGTGTCAGAGAGAAGGTTGGGGAGACTTCTGAAGTCGTCATTATCGATATGGCAGACCCAACCAACCCAATTAGAAGGCCAATCAGTGCAGATTCCGCGATCATGAACCCAGCCAGCAAAGTTATTGCTCTCAAAGGAAAAGCAGGTGTTGAAGGTAAGTCAAACTTAAGTTATGAGTAACTCAATATATGTGACTATCCGAAAAGTGTGTGATCTCCCCCTTACTGGGTGGCATATGTTTTAAGCTACATTGGCTATTTGCTTAAACCTTTTTGCCTGTGACTTGAAACTTGGTCCTAGTAATCCTAGAATATTTTAAAAAATATGAATCTTGCTATTACAGAGAGAGATAAATTTCCCATGGCTTCAAGATAAAGTAACTATAATATCACAATTACTCTTTTTTAGTTTGTCTACATAGTTTATTTGTAAATGTAAAAAAGGTTTAAATTCAAATTAACTCAATTTGTCTAATTCCAATTCCTACATTAAAATTAATGGAAAATCGCCAAATAAGTATACTTAATACAGTTCAAAACACACACCCACACACTGTATATTTTCACATGGGTATTTTGTTCCTAGATTTTTTATGATCTTTAAAAGTTATTTCCTACAGAATATTTATATAACAGACTATGATACGCAAGTTTTATTATGTTGGTAATTTTGACAAAAATTAGTCTCATCATTTAAATTAATATGAAAAAAACATTGCAATTCCAAGTTAGATAAAAATTGTACATAACTTCACCATTAACATAGCAGTCCACAACTAGACATGATACACCTGCATAGAGTTTAAAAAACCAATGATTTGCATAGTTGACTTTTTATAGGTAGTTTAGTATTTTTAGATCTTTTTAATATGGTGCTTTTGTGGCCATTAAGTGATATCTTCACCACAAAATTCTGATATTATCGCAATAAAACTTATATAACAAATTGTTGAATACGTAACCCTGTTTTATTTGGTAAAAATATTGGTATTATTATTTATTTTTAATACCAGCCATTGTACCACGAAATTGAATTTCGTTAATATAAAGCAAGTATAATTTTTAAGAAAAAAAAACAGACTTCAATCTGGGATGCCATCATCAGATCCGGGTTTCCTTATCATGGTACCACACTTGGGATATCTCCTTTCCGATAAAGAAAGTCAAAATCGGATCATAAACGACGAAGTTATCCGCGAACACACATAAAAAAAATATATATAGTTGCAAATGATAAAGTGGCAATGCATCTGCAGCTAACCCGCATCTATGCTTAGACAAAATTTAGCAAACACAATAATAAGAAAATTACCAAGAAATATGTCATCGTATTTCCTTATTGCGACATTAGAGAAAGTGATTTCATTTAGACCAGGAGTTAATCAAGGAAAATCGTATGTACCATATCGTATTTCTTTCATTCGGCCGTCGTCGCTTGCTTTATTGATTACGTCACATAAAGCTGTCTCCGAACTGGGAATAAAGATGCGATGGTGAGTCATCTCCGTGTACATCTTTATTCTTGACCCAAAACAAAGGCTTACTGCGGAAGCGGTGTGATAAAACGCGCCCGTCACTTGCGTGTCATTTCTCGACTAGCGTTTGAATATCTAAATGTGAATCCGTGCTCAAAAGAAATCTTCTTTCGTGGTATGTTTGCTTTGGTCAGTTGACTAAATTGAACTCGAAACTTTTTTTTTTTTTTTTTTTTAATTATATGTCTTGTATCTCTTTATAAGTGAACGATGATTTTGTTAAACTACTTATTTGTCACAACGTAGGAATATGGTTAGATATCAAAAAAAAAAAAAAAAAGAATAGTTCCATTTCACCTATGACATACCGAAAATATCTATATCCTGCAACAATAAAAAATTATCAACGCCTACGTCTATGACGTAAGTGTAAGTGTAACTTTAACAGTGAATAGGGTCATGGTTTTACTTATATCAATTATTATTCGTTTTTATTCCAATAATTCTTCATTCAATCTCGGATTGGAGAAACCTTTATTTTTCCGACCCCTTATACTCGAATAATTGTATGCGCGCCCTTGGAAATCTGATTTTTGGAAGCTTACCCATCATTCTCCCAACGAGACTGAAATTCGTTCATTTTGAATTTGAAATGTATTTTCTCCTGGCATGGATTGTTGGCACTAATTCCGTAATGGCCCGACAATAAATGGACCAACTAAGCATGACCTACTTATATGGTCTGTTATTTTGTAAAAATATGTTTTCAATGGTCTTCGTAAACACTTGACACCATCTTAGTTACATAAATTGTGTGCATTTATCGCAATAAAGCACTTAAAAAAAATTATGGCTACCAGATCTTTTTAGCGCTGTATTGAGTATAAAGTGGACCGTGATAGAGTGACTCTTCCTATCACATAAAATCGATACCAAACGCTCTAGTAACACAAATTGGCTTGTCTGCTCCATGTTGTAGATGGCCAAGTCTCCGTAAATGAGTAGGGAATATATCCGATACTTCCTCGTGTAGCTCAAATACTTTGTTGGGCTTAATTAAACTTCATATAAATTACATAGAAAAGCAATATTAATACTCACCGCGATGAAACTTTGGTTTATGGAATGAAATAAATATCATTCTCCCCAGCAATTGCGTCAGAGTCTCATTGCATAAGCATTTTTCTAATTTTCACGGTATACGCCCAGTTTTAGTTTCGAGCAGTGTCTGAAAATGAAAAAAAAGCTTAGCTATTGTAACAGTTGTAAGTACTCTCGCCAAAATATTTTGTTGATTAACGATCGTTTCTAACGTCCCTTGACAATGACACAGCTACCCGTGTATTTTTTATTCGTATTTACCACCTTTGTCACACATGTCGTGTTATCAAATTTACTTTTTTAATATAAAAATGGGTACGACAGGGGCGTCTTTCGCGCTATGTTTTGGTCTATGCCGCTTAAAAAACATTTAAAAAAGTGTTCATGCAATTATTTAGGCATGTTATTTAGTTAAGCACATTACATTGTGGGCCCGGCAGTCTGCGTGTGGTTCCTATTCATTAAAAGCTTGATTGATGAAAAGGGCACGGTTGTTCTTAATGTTTTGTTTCTCTAAATAGATAATATTTTTGCTACTGAAAGTTACTTTTTTTTTAATAATGTTTCTATTAAAGCATCTTTAATATGGAAATAACTCAAAATGTTTACGCGCCATTTATGATCTACGCTCTCATTAGTAATGAGAACGTAGATCATAAAATGAGGTTTTTTATTTTTAATTTATTGTACTACTTGCATCGAAATAAATCAAAAATTTGACATTGAACTGTTATTTCAGAGCAGTACGTTGACCTATTGCAACGTCAATCCACCGATGGTTATAAGGTAGATAGCCGATTATCCTACCTAAAGCGAGTCGAGTTTAACGTAATTTTTGTTATGATAAAAAACACTCTGATATTAATTATAAAAACGCGAGTTAAAGAGGAGATCTTCTCATATAGGGAGCGTGTTTATCAAATGTACAAATTGCTTAAACTGTCACCGTGCGTGCACTGAAGACAAACGTAAAATAAATGTTTCCGCGCACGCCAATTTTCGAACGGAAAATTCGCTAGAGCATCCTCTCACTGATTTTTACTTATGACTTATTCCAAGCACCCTCACTACTATGATATCTCCGCCTGTATTAAAGTCTACGACTTCTCTCGAATCAATGTCACAGCCACTGTTTCTTCATCGAGTCGGATAAAAGGTAGTGTTTCCTTGCGGCGTCATTGAGAGGATTCCCGCCCACACGCGACTGATAAACACCTTATAGTACCAATGAAATAGATGTGAAAGACACCTACATACCTATTATTAATTAAGGTTGCGCATGACTATCCATATTAAAACACCGAAAAAGTTTATACTTGCGAGCGTTTCGGACGTGGCGACAATAATGTCTGATTTTCTTTCAATACAAATTACTTAATAATCCACTATAGTCGAGCAACTTAAGTTAAAACCCGAGCCAGTTTAAATGAATTTCTTAACTGCCGAACTATCGTAACAAGTTCATAAAATATATAATTAGTATGTGAAGTCTCTCGATATGATTTTTTTCTATTGTTTGGTACATATTCTTACTGTTATTTACTTTAAAAGTAATAATTACTTTTGAGTCCGTGGCGCAGTTGCCAAAGTATTGGCTTCGGCGTCGGGGGTCGTGGGTTCGATTCCCACACGAGACACCTATGTATTTGTGTGACCCACACATAGTTGTTTCGCATTTTAGTGTTTTTCCACGTGAAATTTATATTTGTAAAACGTCCTTTCAACACAGGATAATATTAGCCTAAAGTAAAGGAAAAGTTTTTTAAATAAAAAAAGAACAACTGGCTATAACAACAACACCCGTTCAGGGCGAAGGCCCCCTCTCTACAGAGAGTAGTAAGGCTTAGACCACGACGCGACCCACTGCGGATTGATAGAATTCATATGTCATCAATTTATTTTTTTGCTATTATTAGGAAAAAATGCAAGTTTCCTCAAGTCGTTTTCCTTCATTGTTGCGCACGGATTGGCATTTAAAATTGCAATTAATAATTTTATTGGTGCCGGCAACGGCATTTGAACTCTGGTTACTCGAGGGCATACTGAATTAAATGGGAGCCCCGGACACTAAACTATCACGGCTATGTTATTTTGTGCTTTTTTGTATTGTGTGGAAGCAGGGAACAACTTAGTTCCCTTGATATCGATGTTTTATGATTGATGCAAACTTATTTTCATGCGTATTTTTCATGATAGATGATAAAAAATTACGTTTCTTATTCTCATACCAATGGATGAATACATAATAGGTGTTTATACTTTTGTTTGTTTAGATGGTTCGATTCTGAGTAATAATTACGACACGTGTGCTGTGAAGTGTATCATAGTAGCGAGGATTTTTTTTAAATAACGCTGTTTCTTAAGTTTTTTCGTCCGGTTTCTCAAACAATGATCAGCGTAGAAGTCAACTAATCAGCTGTCAAATGGCTGTTCACTCAAATAACTTTTGAAAAGCCTTTTGACGGCTGATTCGTTAACTTCTACGATGATCAGTGTTTCAGAAACTGGGCGTTAATGTATTATTCATGTAATAGTTACTTTTCTTTTGCTTATCGCATATCTTATCACAGTGAATTCTTGATCTCTTACAAATCGATTCACGAAGCTTTGACGCTTGCATCTTAGTGCTAATACAAAGCAAGTTGAATTTTTACCTATGAACAATATATTGCCTTTGGAAATTTGAAGTAATTTACGTTGAGCATACTACTGAAATTACTTTCAATATTTTACTTAATATGACTAATACTTTATTCAATGATAATGAATATCATTTACTTAAAGACTTATTAATAGGTATTCATATTATTTAAGTATTTATGAATATACAGCGTGTCGTTACCATCGCGACAATAAATGAACACAGGTCTAACGCTACTTGCCAATAATCAAAAAAATATTAACGTTAAACAAAATCCATAATCAAAAAAATATATTTTTCAAACTAATTAAGTAAAAAAGAAACAAAATTTGTAACATCCTATACAACTCGCGCCACAGCGTCGTTTTACAAGCCTCTCCTTCTAACAGTATGTTTTGTCTCTTTTAAATTCATTCAACCCATTCATATGCTTTGTGACCTTTACAAATGAACTTTACGTTACGCTTTTATAGGTAAGGGTGGTTACGCTTTTATAGGTCTAAAATTCTTTGTTTTGGAAAATTTAATAACTCTGTTAATATTGATGTTTAAAGAATTTAAATGTTTAATACAACTTTAAAAAGTTGTTCCCTTTATGTGTGTTTATTTATTGTCGCGATGGTAACGACACACTGTATACAAGTTATAACAATTATGGATACATATCCATATTTGTTATAACTTGTGGAATCAACAGTGATTGGGATATCGAAAAACTCGTTCATTAAAGAAACACTAAAGCATCACCACACCAAGTTGACTTCTCTTCATGTTTAAACATTGATTAGTGCTAACCAACATTCTTCAGCATAATAAACGTCTAACTAATCCTAGATCATAAATATAGATCTACGTGAATGCTTGATTTAACGTACCGCAGTAAAATAAAAATTAAGTTTATTGTACGTATGTTTTATTTAAAACTAAACCAATAACACAGTGTTTGTTCGCATGGTAGTTAAATGTATGTATAACATTAATATTAGCAATTAGAATAAGAAGAATTTATTAACTTTGATGCTGTAGGATGCGTGCAAATTCTTTATCAACGATGCTTAACGTCGTGGACATCTCTATCATAACAAAAACATTGTCCTATTTATGTTCTTCGTAATGTTTTCACGTTGCAAGATAATACAGTTAATTATTGCTTTAATGGGCGTATCGAACTTATGCGTCATCACAAATCACAAATAAGCAGAAAAATACCCACCGATTGTGGTGTATTTTCATGAAAAACAGAAGATAGGTAAAAGTTTAGACGTAAATTTTTATCCAATTTTTTTTTGATATGTATATTTTTGTTCGTCATGATTTAGCAATATCAGTGCTTGTAAAAATTGGAGGGCGTATAATGTACTATCGTTTGATAAAAATATATTGGATAAACGTTTGTTTTAACTCAAAAGTGACTTCTATGTATAACACGATTATTTTAACAGATTTTTTGTAAAATAAATGCAAGTTTTTATCGTGCAGACATTGCTATATTTCATAGCCAGGGCGGATTCCCTTTCTTTTATTCTAAGATATCAAACGGTTTTTGTTTTTTTCAACTAATAATGATATTTACCGCCTAACTTTGATACCTACTGTGGTAGGTCCACACAGGGGCTTCGGCTGTTGCACAAACGGGCAGGATGGTCCGCGGACTTACCACGGTCTCACAGAAGACCGTGGTAAGTGGAAATATAAAACTTTCGCGTTTGGTCTGCAGAGTGCCACTCATTTATTTTAAAGGTTGACAACGCATCTGCAAGCCCTCACTTAACATCAGGTGAACTGGCTGCTCGCTTGACAACATCTCCGTAATATCAATAGAAAATTATTTTTCTGTGAAAAATTTGTGTCGAACCTATTTACTTTATAACAATCATGAACATAGATATCCCGAGTCACGTAGAACCTCGATCTTAGCTAGAGGGTTCGTAAGCCAGATTTATTATTTACGTTATTAACACGAATGACGTTTGCATATAAAGCAAACGTGATAGATGAAAAAGTGATGAAAATGAATGAGAAAGTGATGACAAATTGGTCGCGTTATTAACACTGACGGCAAATTATAGCCTTGCACAATCGATACGCATTTTGTTGAGCCAGCTCAGTACGTTAAGGAAAACCCACTCGAAACGTAAGCGGTTGTAGAGAGCGCGCTGCTCCCCTACTTCCCCTACTTCACAGCCCCTAAGCACCCGCCGTTCGCAACACTCGAATCCGCTACAAAGAATAACCCCCGCCTACCCGATCGCGTAGGCTTTGGAAAATTATTCTAGTTTTAAAAACTACAACGTCTAGGTTCGAGCCCCGGTGGAATGGATATATCGTTAACTTCTGCCTTCAAACCTATTTAATGCGATGTTTTAACTTATTGTTTGTAGTAGATTTTTACTGGAATGCTTTTATTAACACGCCGCTATTTAATGACAGCTCAAAAAGTCTTAGACCGTAAACCGCGTGCTACTCGTATGGGCGCAACTGTCAATAATGCACATTAAATTTCTATCGTTTTCTCTGTTTAAAGTTGATGTTTAAATCTTTGTGATTTTACTGAGCATAGAATTCTAAACATAGTTGATTATGTTATTAACATTTTCTAAGAGTATATGTTGCTAAAAGCAACTCTACCATTCTCATTTCAGCACAAAAGACTCTCCAGATATTCAACATCGAGATGAAATCGAAGATGAGAGCGCACACCATGACCGAGGACATCGTCTTCTGGAAGTGGATTTCGCTGAACACCCTGGCGCTGGTGACCAGGCTGTCAGTGTTCCACTGGTCGATGGAGGGAGACTCCACGCCCGTGAAAATGTTCGACCGTCACTCCTCGCTCGCTGACTGCCAGATCATCAACTACAGGACCGACCCGAAGCAGCAGTGGCTACTGCTAGTCGGTGAGTTATCCGGCAACTTAACAAGGAAAAAATTTTTTTTCGTGTTTTTATTTTCAAAAACGTAGACATTTTGTTGAATTTCTTAGGTTATCAGCTTTCCTCAAAATCTTACTTATGTCTTTGTTCATTTCACATTTCATTTTATATAAATTTGTGAAATTTCCTATTTTTTTGTTTACTATTTTATAAGCAGCCTTTGTTATGTTAAAAAAAAGCTCTAATGCTAATCATTTACTTTGCACATTACCTGTAGTATAGGTCTAATAAGTTATACCGACAAACCTAATTAAGGTTTGTCTGCTTAAAAAATATGCAAAAAAGAAACCCATTTTGTAAATGACTATTTGTTTGATTTGATTATTTTCCAGTGATCCACTGTGGAAGAGCGACGCCACAACTTTTAGTATATGAATCGGCCTAATCGACCGGGGAAGTACCATCTTTATAAAAAAAAAATATTCGTCCTTTTCATTGCCCTCTGGCCGGCGAGTGGCATAAGCGGGTCCGAGAAGGTACGCCTCGTTGCTGCAACCGCAAGATCGCAATTTGCGAAGTCAATGGGCGGCGGTTATGTCTAACCATTCGGTGAAACTCCATGCGCTACCGCTACCGCCCACCTTAACAAGATAACTAAGCTGGTTGTCATTCGCAGGTATTTCGGCGCAGCAGAACCGCGTGGTCGGTGCCATGCAGCTCTACTCGGTAGAGCGCAAGTGCTCGCAGCCTATCGAGGGCCACGCGGCCTCCTTCGCCACGTTCAAGGCTGAGGGCAACGCGGAGCCGTCCACCCTTTTCTGCTTCGCAGTCAGGACCGCGCAGGGGGGCAAGCTCCACATTATCGGTACGTCTAAGTCTATCATGTGTCTAGGGTTCCATACCCAAAGGGTCAAACGGGACCATTGAGCAACATTGTCCCTATCGGCAAGCTGGCAACAGTGTGAGATCATATTGCGCTTTGATAGCGCTAATGAACACCCATGTTGTATGGAAAATATGGACCAATTGTAAACGACGATAAAATAAAAGTACCGTATCTGTGTATAGTTTGATTAATATTTTTAGACAGGGTGCTCTTTTAAACTGACATTGTTCAGACAACTTTGATATTGAATAGGAACAGTTGCCAACATTTGTTTCAGAATAATATTTTCCTTTATCGATGGCCATGCTTTGGAAAGAAATAAAATCTTTATAATAGTGTTAATGTTATGTTTATGTGTGTGTATGTCCCGGAGAAAGGAAAAAAGAATCTCTCCCACCCGGCATTGCACTGACCTAAGAACAACACACCTGACCTTGTTTCTGAGCTACCCAATAGTTTATATTTTTTATCTATCTCCAACAGAGGTCGGCCAGACGCCCGCCGGCAACCAGCCGTTCCCCAAGAAGGCGGTGGACGTGTTCTTCCCGCCTGAAGCGCAGAACGACTTCCCCGTCGCTATGCAGGTGTCGCCAAAGTACGACGTCATCTACCTGATCACCAAGTACGGCTACATACACATGTACGACATCGAGACTGGCACCTGCATATACATGAACCGGATCTCGTCGGACACGATCTTCGTCACCGCCCCCCACGAGGCCACCGGCGGCATTATCGGTTAGTATTCTTTTATCTGTACCCTGCACTAAAGATGGCTTAAATTTAAATGCGCTATTTGCTTATTTTTACGCGAATATTGTACGTATTAAATGAAACTATTCAACGTTCATGGTCATAGCACAGACTGTCGTGACCACAAACGCTGGAAAGGTTTCGAAACGTCGGCAATTAAAAATCAGAATTATAATGTGATAAAATCCGTAAAATCGGCGTTTCCAGAGCACAGCAGAGTTTGAAATGTAGACTTACATTTCGAGTAACGAAATGTAAGTCTACATTTCAAATAAACATTGTTCACAACAGCAATATGGAAACAGCGAAAATAATCCCTAAAATTTGCTTGCGTGACCTGGACGTGTTGCATTAGCAACAGTGTCATGATATACATAAGCATGAATACAGTACAGAATAACCCTTTTCTTTTAGCAAGTACTTATGCTTCTTCTACTTCAAGTGTACTGTGTATACATAAGCGTCTGTTCGCCACAGGTGTGAACCGTAAAGGCCAAGTGCTGTCGGTGACTGTTGAGGAGGACTCCATAGTGCCGTACATCAACACGGTGCTGCAGAATCCCGAGCTGGCGCTACGGCTCGCCGTGCGGAACAACCTTGCCGGTGCTGAGGAGCTCTTCGTTCGCAAGTTTAACATGCTGTTCACCAATGGACAGTATAGTGAGGCGGCTAAGGTAAGCGTGATTGATTCAACCAGTTCTGCCCAAGCCTCTTCTCGCGTAGACTGCTACCCGTGTTAATTCATTTCAGTATATTTTTTTATTACGAAATCCTGACCAAAGTATTACGAAAGTTATAGCTTTTGCACAAACGGACAGGTTCTTCCGGTGAAGTAAGAAGAGCTCATAACAAACTTTCTCATAGAATACTTACGCGTTACGTCTTGTGAGTGAGGTAACTGGGACACAATTTTGTAATGTTTGGCAACTTCTGCTACAAAAATGTGTTGTAGATGTCCATGAGCGGTGGTAATCACTTAACATCACGTAAACTGCATGTTTGCTTGTCAACTTTTTCCTCATCCTTATATCTTTTCTCTTTTGATCACAAACATTGTGATGTATGTTTCAGGTGGCTGCCATGGCCCCCAGAGGCATACTGCGTACACCGCAGACCATCCAGCGTTTCCAACAAGTTCCAACCCAGCCTGGTCAAACATCACCTCTGCTACAATACTTTGGCATTTTACTAGACCAGGCACAGTTGAACAAGTTTGAATCACTGGAGCTCTGTCGTCCTGTTCTGCTTCAGGGTGAGGGGATATATTGTTTTTATCACTAAGTCTTGGTCATGGTCACTTTAGAGAACATTTCTTAGATAATAACAATAGATATCTATTAACAAAATGATTTGTGTGTTAGTCCAACCCTAAATGGGTGGGAATAAGGTCAGGAGGAAAGAAAGATTAAAGAAGTCATTATTAAGGGTTTTAAGCTTAGTTAGTTTAAAAAGGTGAAAAAATAAAAATATTTTGCTTAATTTTAGGACGCAAACAACTTCTTGAGAAATGGTTGAAAGAAGAAAAATTGGAGTGTTCAGAAGAGCTTGGTGACTTGGTGAAGCAAGTGGATCCAACTCTTGCTCTGTCAGTGTACCTTCGCGCCAATGTTGCAAGCAAGGTCATCCAGTGCTTTGCTGAGACTGGTCAATTCCAGAAAATTGTCCTGTATGCTAAGAAGGTAATAACTATTTAATTTTACCTAAATAATTTAAATTTTTAGATGAGATTTTAATTAAAGGTAACCAGGAGCAATGTCATCTTAGGCCATACCAGAATTCGGGAGCCCGTTGGAAAGTAAAAAAAGGTTTGCTGCAACAAGGGATGTACAAATACCTCACATCAGGAAGTGTGGATTGAATTTATCTCAAAAAATTTATAGTTTTCCAGAGAGCAGGCACTTGGTGTCCAGTGCAAAATATAACCTGACAGATTGTTATCAATTGGCCATTTAAATATATTGTTTCTATGACATTAAATACATGTCCTGATTTAAACAATTTTTCACCTTTAAATACATTTCACACATTTACGCGATTACGTTGTGTTGTTGTCAATATTTCGTATACAGTCTCTACGTCACGTATTGTGTTAAATTCGGCAATGTCGGCCTTACGAGGCCCCTCCCTGGGCACGGGTCCCGTGTGCCCTTATGGTAAAGACGGAGTACCGTCTTTACCATAAGGGCAGTAGCCCATGAGATACTATATACTTTGTTTTATATTGTTTTAAATACTGTTGTAAATACATATCGCAATAATAATCTGAACCAATTGCCTGAAGCTGTAAGCAATATCATGATTGCCTTATGAATCTCAAATGCTAAAGATTTTCTTTTATTCATCTGTTATAGCTAACAAATAATGTATAATAGACTAATAACTTTCAGTGTTTAACTATCCAAAGTTAACACTAATGTAAAAGTATTGTTTTGCATAAACAGTACAATTTGTGAGTTTACCTTATTTGCTCTCAGGTTGGCTATACCCCAGACTACATTTACCTGCTGCGTTCCGTTATGCGCACGAATCCGGAGCAAGGTGCCGGCTTTGCTGGTATGTTGGTTGCCGAAGATCCCCCGCTGGCCGACATCAACCAGATCGTGGACGTGTTCATGGAGCAGAACATGGTGCAGCAGTGCACCGCTTTCCTCCTGGACGCGCTCAAGAATAACCGGCCCGAAGAGGGACCACTGCAGACCAGGTCAGATCGCTTTAAACTTAATAAGCGCCCATATAGAATGGTGTCATGTATTGTATGAGTATTTGAATACATAAAAAGTTTATACATACTAACATACATCTATACACAATGAATAGCAGAAGCAAGAAGATAAATGATTTGAACTATGGCCAAAAACAATACCTATTCAAAGTATCCATGGACATCACTTGGGGGAGTGACAATATATTATTATTAGATTAGAATATATAACAAAGGTACACTTCTACATAAGTATGATCTTATACGAGCCTGTGGAATTTCTTCAAAGGAGCCTACTAGTCTTTGTGCTACGGCGGAAGTTATTGTATTGGCCACCCTTTGTATTATGCAATGAATTGGAAACTAGTAAACAACTAATATTCACCAAAATTATGTTCCCAAAAGTATTATAACGCATTCGCCAACTAACACCAACAAGTATGAAGAGAAAGACATGTTAATTTGTATCGTAATTTGTCATTTTTGCTATAGCGCGAATGTGCGACGTTGATAATGAATTTCAATATTGTTCAACCATGTATTTGAACATGCATTTATATGAGTTCGTGTTCGTCATCAGACTGCTGGAGATGAACCTGATGTCAGCGCCGCAGGTTGCGGACGCCATCTTGGGCAACGGCATGTTCACCCACTACGACCGCGCCCACGTGGCGCAGCTCTGCGAGAAGGCCGGCCTGCTGCAGCGGGCGCTCGAGCACTACACCGACCTCTACGACATCAAGCGCGCCGTCGTAAGTCTGCCTTTGGGATCGACCATAAATCACGTGATGCTCGAAAGGGGTGGGGTTGGGGATTGACAGCAAAAATCACGAAATACCACAAGGGGTCTAGTAAAATGTCACTTGTATTTAGTTTTTCATTGAACGCGTGATTTCTAAACTGAAAAGCGGCGTGCGAGCTTGACCTTTCGCGTCAAAGATTTCCCCGTCCGGCAGAAAAAAGCCTGTCTGGATACTTTATATTTTCCAAAATTAAATTGGATTATACTTACCTCTATTTAAAGATATTGTAAAATTATTAAGATGCCCTGTACTGAAAAAATACACGTGATTTGCGGTAGGGGAGAGCTTTGTCTTAAACCTCACCAAGTAAATAACCATGGAGGAAAGACGCGTTGAAACAATGCAAGAACTCATTTTGTAGGCATTTTATTGCGGCCCGCAACAATTGGGTTTGTATAGATTAAAAATAAACTGTGAAGATAACGCACTAGTGCAGTCTATGCTACATACTGTACAGTTTGCTGCTATTTACGATATTATTTTTTTTTTGTGAACAGTGCTAAGTGCACAGTTCAGTCGCACAAGCTGTATGTTAAGTTTGCAATTTTCTAAAAAAGACCTTAATATGAAACTAACAGCTGAAGTGATAAAAACGTATACTTAACAAAATATACGATTATAACCTCAACTTTAATTCTGGGTTTTACTTTTTTATCTATTAAACACCTGTTTGTTGGTTCTTACTAGATAGTTATCCATTTATAAAGATTGTCAACCTGATATACTATATTTGACAGAAATGTGTCACACTATTAGACACTAACTTTGGCGATAAAGCTTATTACCAATTGAATTTCCGATATTTTTTTTATCTATCTTTATGTTCAGATAAAACTAGAGCCCACTTTCAGTGGTAGATAACTTGCACACACCATGTGAGCGTAATAATGTTACTAGCCATAATAGCCCAAACTCCTCAGTTTCCAAAATAATATATATATATATATATATCTCGGATAATGTAAACGGTTCCCTGAATAGACTCGTGTTTTGAAAAAAAATCGCATCCCAAAGTTGTTCTTGGTCGACCAATGAATTGTGACCTGAGCGCTTTAGCTAAGAATGAAATTTACGTTATTAATTTTAAATTATGACGGTTTTGGCGCAATTTATTTACACTTTAAAACACCTTAAATATTACAAAGGGCCGAATTAATGCCAATTTTACATGGTCTAACTTTTAGAACCTCAAGTTTTGGGTCTAATGAACACTCAAAAAATCTGCGAAATGCCGAGTTGCAAATGCCAAGTGTTTTCATTCTATTATGTCCACATTCTTTAAAGAAGCGTCAAAATTAATGACTTTTTAAAATGAACGAATATTCATTAAAGTCCGTTGGTTAAAGCTTTCGGCTTCTATTTAACCCCCTTCTAGTTAACTCGTTGTCCATCAGCGCGTTGCTGCAAGGACGCGTCGAAAGCAATCCTAACGGTTCAACAACTGATTACCCATTATAATTATTTTATAGGTCCACACGCATTTACTATCCGCGGACTGGCTGGTTACCTACTTCGGGACGCTCTCAGTCGAGGACTCGCTGGAATGCCTCAAGGCGATGCTTCAGGCTAACATTCGCCAGAACTTGCAGATCTGTGTTCAGATCGCGACCAAATACCACGAGCAACTAACCACCAAAGCTCTCATCGAGCTGTTTGAAAGCTTCAAAACTTACGAGGGTCTGTTCTACTTCCTTGGCTCCATAGTCAACTTCAGTCAGGATCCGGAAGTGCACTTCAAGTACATTCAGGTTAGGATCATTATTATTACGATTATTGCTCGTGTCTTCACAGCGTTAGGGCCACACGGCTTTGGCTGTTGCATGAATGAAGAAACGCGTTAAGTAGAAGTAATATACTTTTTCGTTTCGTCTGCTGAGTGAAGATAACAAGGAGCACTGTTTTTATACGACCGGATTGGCGAAGTGGGCAGTGCACCACCTGCTTTGAGCCAGAGGGTGTGGGTCAATCCCCACTACTGGAAAAATATTGTGTGATGAACATCATGTTTTTCCAGTATCTGGGTGTTAATATATTTATTATATTAATTTATTTGCAAAAGAAAAGTATATTTTGATGACTCCGTGGCGTAGTTGCCAAGGTATTGGCTTCGGCGTCGGGGGTCGTGGGTTCGATTCCCACAGGGGACAACTATTTGTGTGGCCCACAGATAGTTGTTTAGCATCTGGATGTTTGTCCGCGTGAAATTTATGTTTGTAAAATGTCCTTACAACACAGGATAATGTTATCCTAAAGTAAGGGCAATGTTTAAAAAAAAAAGGATATTTATCAGTTATCTAGTACCTGTGGTTTGTGATAAGCATTGCCTAGTTTGGGATTAGAGAAAATTGTGTAAAAATGTGTCCTAAATATTTATTTATATATTATTATTATATAAATAATACTTGTTTACAATGAACCTGCAACCACTCTGGTGTCATAAATATAGGATGTGTTAATCACTTTTAATCAGGCCATTGGCCATGTGGTTGCGAAAAAAATATACAAAATACTTTTAATCATACAGACATTGTTTAAGTAAGACAAGTAATTATGCCTTTTACTAAGTTAGTTCTTTGCCACTGCTTCTCTTCGATTTTGTGGGTTTTGTTCTTTCTCAATTGGATGAATACTTACCGGCGTATATCATATTTTTAGAACTCATCCTATAACAATTATAATTAGGAGGCAATACGCTTACAAATTTCTGATTTCAATGCGTGTTTATTTCAGGCGGCCTGCAAGACTGGGCAGATCAAAGAAGTGGAGCGAATTTGTCGTGAATCAAACTGCTACAACGCGGAGCGCGTCAAGAACTTCCTCAAGGAAGCAAAGCTGCCCGACCAACTGCCGCTCATCATTGTTTGCGATCGCTTCGACTTCGTCCACGATCTGGTCCTCTACTTGTACAGAAACAGCCTGCAGAAGTACATTGAAATCTATGTGCAGAAGGTAATGTATATTTGTTTTTATTAATTAAACAAAAAAAATATTTTGATTAAGAGGTTAAGCATGCAAACGAATTAATTTTAAATTTGTTTTGAATAACATTTGTTAATTCAATTTTTAACAATTTTTCAGGTCAACCCATCCAGATTGCCAGTTGTAGTTGGAGGGCTCCTCGACGTGGATTGCGCTGAAGATATTATCAAGAATCTTATACTTGTGGTCCGGGGACAGTTCTCTACCGACGAACTAGTCGCCGAAGTCGAGAAAAGAAATAGGTATGTATTTACTTTTCATAGTAACGTTTTCAATATTATTCTATCGTAAAGTAAAAAGTGACTTAAAATGAAAATCGATATTAACTCTTTCTATTTTTAGCATGCCAATGTTACATTAAAAAAGTTTACCATCAACATTATTTTATTTTAGGTTGAAGCTTCTGCTTCCGTGGTTGGAAACTCGCGTACACGAAGGCTGCACAGAGCCAGCCACGCACAATGCTCTCGCTAAGATTTATATCGACTCCAACAACAATCCTGAGCGATTCCTCAAGGAAAATCAATGGTTCGTTTATTAAACTGTTACATTAAAAATTTCTATAAAATTATTTTCAAATGTGGCACGAAAGGCCGGGACCATCCGCCGGACGACCTCACAGGAGACGGGCGTGAAGTGAGTTTTATACTTCTGCGTTTCATCTGGTGAGTGAGGTAGCCGAGCCTACTTATTTTAAGGATATGCTTAATACAACATAGTCTAGCATTAAAGTTCTAGTATCATGCCTACTACTAGTGTCTATACATAAACTACAGTACATGTTTCTTAAAGATTTTGTTAAAATAAAAATCTTGAAGTATAATAAAGATCCTGGGCACATTATATTTTACTGTTATAACATTGTTTGGTATATGTTATGATTAATATAATCGTCGTATATATTATACATTATACTCAATTTTGATATGCTTACACTATTCAAGTTGTAAGCACGTCACAAATGTTCTGAATAAATAAAGCCTGACGTCACCGTGGTAGGGCCATAAATTCTACCGTTGCACGAATGGGCAGGCTCGACCGGGGAAGTCCCACGGTCTCACAGAAGACCGCCGCGCAGTGGAAGTATAATACTTTAGCGTTGCCTCTTGTCAGCGAAGTAACCGGGGCCTACTTGTTTTAAAGGTTGTCAACGCATCTGCGTACACTCAGGTGTTGTAGATGCCTTTGTTGCGGTAAACACTTAGCATCATGCTTGAATTTTTTGATTAAAAAAAATGCTTACAGGTACGATTCGCGCGTGGTCGGCCGCTACTGCGAGAAGCGCGACCCGCACCTGGCTTGCGTCGCGTACGAGCGCGGACAGTGCGACAGAGAGCTAATCGCCGTTTGCAACGACAACTCGCTGTTCAAGACGCAGGCGCGCTATTTGGTGCGCCGCCGCGACCAGGACCTCTGGCTCGAGGTGCTCGCCGAGTCCAACCCCTACAAGCGGCAGCTCATTGACCAGGTCGGTTGAACGGTCCTGAATTCCGAGACGTTCAGGCTTTTATTTGTTAGTATTAGGTTGTAAAAATAAGTGCTTTGGAGTTACTAATACATAATTTTACTTTAAAAATGGAACAATAAATTTGCACACCATGACCTTGATATTTAGTATAAACATTGATCTGTACCATACCATACCAATTTAAGGTATTTAACAAAGAAATAATGATATTAAATGGTATAAATAGGCATCTGCGATACCCAATTATTCTAAATAATAGCCAGCATTTTTAACACTGGCTGTATTTGTTACTACTTAAATACTGGCTAGGAATGACAAGAAATAATTATATGGTAAACAAGATATACCTTTAAAGTAATCAAATTCAAAATCGTTTATTATTTGACTAATAATCCTTCCTCCTATTTCAAGGTTGTACAAACAGCACTGTCAGAGACCCAAGATCCTGAAGATATCTCCGTAACCGTAAAAGCCTTTATGACAGCTGACCTACCAAATGAATTAATTGAGTTGCTTGAGAAGATTGTACTTGACAATTCCGTATTCTCTGATCATAGGAACCTGCAAAACTTGCTCATACTCACAGGTTTGTGCCATTACTAATGTTACTAACTCTTAACATAGTTTCTTCACTACTACACTACAATTCACTCCACTACTACATTCAAATTCTCAACTACACTTTATCTCTATATAGAATAATCTATTAATTGCATATTTACAATATACATAAATCAATGGATTATTATTCTGCCATGAGATTTCATAGAATAGACAAATGTTACACTGATTAACAAATAATGAGATTACTAAATTAAATATTTTAATTAAGCTAAGTTACAAAAGTTTGAAATTTCATGTTATGATATTTTTTTATGTGTATGAAGATAATTCTTGCTTTCACACGTCTGTTTAATTTATAGCTGAAATTCGCAATTATGCTTTCGAAATACCGACTTACTCTCCTGATGTGGCATGATCCAACATACTTACTCTCCTGATACGAAACCTTTAGACTCATCTGTTTCAAACCTGTCACCCTAAGGGCCAAAAATGTTCATTAAATGAAGAGGTCAAAACTGCTGTAAATCACGTCTTAGAAGATGTTGAAGAATTATTTTATAACACCAATATAAAATACTACTTAATAGTAGAAGCATTGAAAAGTTGACTGAAGAAATGTTTAGAGCAATTACCACCAGTATTTCGAAAAATAATTATATTTTGGTTTGGTTTATTTAATTTTCTTGACTAGGCAGGGGAACCTTTCTACTCAGCCTTGTATCAGTCAGTAATTTCTGATATCATCTATATCACACACAAACTAACAATTTTTGAACCTGAACATTAATACTATAGAGAAAACCATTTACTTTTAATAAAAGACAAATATGACAATTATATTTGTATCTCTGTAGCAATCAAAGCGGATCGCAGTCGCGTTATGGAATACATCAACCGTCTTGATAATTACGACGCTCCCGATATTGCCAATATTGCAATTAATAACGAACTTTACGAAGAAGCTTTTGCTATCTTCAAGAAATTCGATGTCAACACATCTGCTATACAGGTGAGCTGTAATTCAGTTTACCACTACATTGTTATTTCTTCTGTTATTGAAGTCTTCTTTTGATGGGTGACTTAAAAATTACAGGAGACTGTCACCTTTTCTTAGCTATGTGCTACAGCGGCGTGGGTCGGGGTTTTAATTCTCGCTAGTTACAAGATTTTGTCTGACTCCCAAATAATTGTACCTTATTAATCTACATAAGTTTTAATTAATATAAATAAATAAATAAAATTATTTTAAGGAATAACCAACTGTATGTTTCAATCTTTGTATTATTCTACATTTCTACTCTTATTGAAACATTCGCAAAATATCTTGTTTTCAGGTTTTGATAGAGCAGGTGAAAGACTTAAAACGCGCCTATGAGTTCGCTGAGCGTTGCAATGAACCTGGCGTGTGGTCCCAGCTTGCCAAAGCGCAGCTTCAACAAGGCTTAGTAAAAGAGGCAATAGACTCATACATCAAGGCAGATGACCCCTCTGCATATATGGATGTCGTGGACACTGCTACCCAACAACAGTCCTGGGAAGATCTTGTGCGCTACTTGCAGGCGAGTGACGATTTTATTGGATATTATTGAATGATATTTTACTCAAGCCCTCTTCAAATAGCATTTCATATGGATTAAAAGTTATTCAGCTTATAGGACATTACAAATTCCATCAAAATTTGTTCCATTCATACATCATTAATAATAGACCAACAAGCTTTATCAGACTTATGTGTGCCTTTTAGACTGGATGCCAGAACATCCTTAAAAAGTAGATATGCATAATTTTATCTGTACTTGTTGCCTTTTTTGATTCATTCCTGCCATCAGGCAAGAAATGGAGACAAATACAAAAGATATTTTTTAGCCCAAGAAAATAAAAGATATCGTGTACAACCAAATTGCCTTCTACTATAATGGGCAGTTTGTATATCACCCTTTTTCCTCTTATTCTATATTTTCAAGGTTTTTCAATCTTCTAATAATTGGTACAGTGAGATTAAACATTTTGTATGTTTACAGATGGCCCGTAAGAAGGCTCGCGAGTCATATATCGAATCCGAACTTATCTACGCTTACGCGCGCACTGGACGTTTGGCGGACTTGGAAGAGTTTATCTCCGGGCCCAACCACGCCGACATACAGAAAATCGGTGATAGATGTTTCGAAGATAAAATGTACAATGCCGCCAAACTTCTATACAATAATGTCAGTAACTTTGCTCGTTTGGCCATCACTTTGGTGTATCTGAAGGAATTCCAAGGTATGAGGTTGTTGTAATTTTTTTTTTATGTGAATAAGCGATCTGGCGGTTCACCAGATGTGATAACTGCCGCCCAGTGATGATTTGCAGATACGTTTCCACCTCACTCACCAGACAAAACACAAAAGTAAAACAATTCCACTTCACGCCGGTCTTTTGTGAGGTCATGGTACTTACGCAGACGGACCTACCCATTTGTGCAACAGCGTAGCCCTACCAAAATTATTGAAAATTACTTAAAAGGACCTCTTAAATTCAGCAATATATGTATGAATTTAAAAAATGTTGAAACTTATGTAATAATCAATTAAAACCCATATGTTAAGTGTGGGTAACCTTTAGTCAAATTACTTTTAAAATTGAATTGCTTAAAAATTCATGTTGTCTAGTTAAGAAACATTGATTGATTGTAGTACTGATGTGTTAATTTTTAGTTATAGCTTAAATCTCATTATCAGGTGCCGTGGACAGTGCTCGCAAAGCGAACTCTACTCGCACTTGGAAGGAGGTTTGCTTTGCCTGTGTGGATGCTGGAGAGTTTAGACTTGCTCAGATGTGTGGTCTGCATATTGTTGTTCATGCTGATGAGTTGGAGGACCTCATCAATTATTATCAAGTGAGCACTTTGCTTTCAATAAGATTAAGCTTTTAGATTAACATTAAGAGACATGCATGTCTCATAAAATGTTTTTATCTATAATGTTCAACAAAAATTAAATTATAATTTTTTTTTTTACAAGTTATGGACTGATTTTCATGTTTTGGCTATCATTGACTAACATAGTCATAAAGTATCCAAAGAAGTCAATAATGAAATTTATCTGTATAAACATTCAGATCTTGTTATTCGCTTCTGCAAAATCGCCGATATTTTTAATTAAGGGTCTCTCACGAGGGAGTATTGAAACCTAGCATCGAAGTTTTGAAGTTATTATTAAAAGTCACATTTTCACTTTTCCTTTGAATTTTCTTCTTTTACATTGAATTTTTTCAAAGGGAACAAGAAATTAAAACTTTAACATCATGTTTATGAAAACTTTGCCAGGACCGAGGGCATTTCGATGAGCTTATCAGTTTGCTGGAGGCGGCTTTGGGATTGGAACGTGCTCACATGGGCATGTTTACGGAGCTGGCCATCCTCTACTCCAAGTACAAGCCTGCCAAAATGCGCGAGCACTTGGAGCTCTTCTGGTCGCGAGTGAATATTCCCAAGGTAAGGTTCTTTCCCCTTTATGTAATCTAGCTTTGTGATTGTTACATTAGGTGGTACCTACCCTGCTTTTACCGATTTGTACTGCATTAGATTTGGAATATATTTATTGAAGGTTTAGACTGAAACAATGATGTTTAATAATATTGATGACACATGTCAATACTGCGCGGCGTTAAAAATTGTTCCGCCTATCATTTTACATACATATGTAAGTGCAAGTGTAAGTTAATCTATAGTTATCTGGAGAAATATGTATGCATTAGACTAAAGTGTTCAAATTGTTTTTTTTTTAATTACACTTCTTTATATATGACAGGTGCTGCGTGCGGCGGAACACGCTCATTTGTGGTCGGAGCTCGTGTTCCTGTATGATAAGTACGAAGAATACGACAACGCCGCCCTCACTATGATGCAGCATCCTACCGAGGCCTGGCGTGAAGGACACTTCAAAGACATCATTACCAAGGTACATCAAATACACAACTGATACTATCTGGAAAAAAGAATGCTTCAATAGATTTTTTCTGAAATGAAATAAATAACAGATTCTTAATTTGAAAACTCATTGTTTACTTATATAGTTACTTTTTTATTGTTTGTAAGACAATGGAAGAGTGGTTTAAAATTACACAAAGCACAAAAGAATTAATCTTGTTAATCCTCTCCCATGCGTGGAGCATATTTTAAAATAATGGCCAATGGATGAATGTTCATGTAACAAACATATTTTTTAATGCAGGTTGCTAACATGGAGCTGTACTACAAAGCAATTCAGTTCTACCTTGACTACAAGCCCCTGCTACTTAACGACCTGCTGTTAGTACTGGCACCACGGATGGACCACACCCGCGCCGTCAATTTCTTCACCAAGGCCGGCCACCTACAGCTTGTGAAGGCTTACCTTCGGTCCGTTCAGAGCTTAAACAACAAAGCGGTCAATGAAGCACTCAACTCATTGCTCATTGATGAAGAAGACTACCAGGTGCGCATTTAATATGTGTTAAGGCCTAACCATGGCCAGTTAGTAGCTGATATATCATTAATTTTATAGTTGCTTGTATAAATTCATATGGCATGCTTTGTCTCATGAAATAAAGTTTTTTTTTAATTGGTTACATTGGATACCATATATAACACATAACTATCTCTATCCATCCACTTAGTGTTTATACAAGCAAAAATTATTAAATGAAACAAAAAAAACTGGACTGCATTGAATACTGAGTAATGCTTTATAAATAATATACACTATATACCTCCCACAACAGCAAATCTTATGAAACCTCATATGTTGCATTCCGTCAAAAGGAAGTACATTTAATGCTTTGTGTATCAAAGCTTGTGCACGCAAAACATTACCCTCTTTCGGCAGTCGGAACACAATATTCCACATTCGTATTCAGTTTATGATGACGAGATTCATTACCTCATTTGAACTATCAATAAAAATCTAACTTAATGCTATGTAGGTTCGGTGAGAGTTTCTGTGTGTGCTCAAGATTTAAACAATTCTACAAGGGTGTCCTTACAAATTAAATTCATGTTTACCAGAAATTCATTAAGTTATTATTTTGTTGTACCCAGTTCTGTATTTTTAAATTGACAAATATTTATTATGTACGTTTTCAGGGCTTGCGAACATCGATAGACGCATTCGACAACTTCGACACTATTGCGCTGGCGCAACAACTTGAAAAGCACGAACTAACTGAATTCAGAAGGATCGCCGCTTATCTATACAAAGGTAATAGATATATAATTTCCTTTTTCGTCAAATATTTAATGTCCAATATTAAATAATTAAAACGCATTTATACAAAAACAGGGAAGCTAATCAACAGGGAAAATCAACAGTGTTGTAGATATTGATAAAATTTTGTATGATGAACTGATGACAATATGATACTGATGATGAATATAAATTTGATTTGCGATTATATGCCACTACTATGCTCGATTTTCTCATCTTTATTAAGGCAAGGTATTTTTCTAATAAACTATCATAAGTGTGAGGTATATTACGAGTAAGACACGATGGCTGTAGATAGAGCGATAAGACTTCAGCGCTCTTTCATGGATATATAACTATTGTCAAACAGGCAACAACAGATGGAAGCAGAGTGTGGAACTTTGCAAGAAAGACGCGCTGTACGCCGACGCAATGGAGTACGCGTCGGAATCGCGCCAACCCGAAGTGGCGGAGGAACTCCTCAACTGGTTCCTTGAAAGAGACAACTTTGAATGTTTCTCGGCCTGTTTGTACCAGGTATTAAAATTGATATTCATTGTAAGATAATACCACTTAAGTAAACTCGGAATCTAGCCGAGTTAAATAGTTATTTGGTGTAAAGAACTTATTTGTAAATTTTTTTTCAGTGCTATGATTTGTTGAAACCAGACGTCGTCATTGAACTGGCGTGGAGGCATAACATTATGGACTTTGCTATGCCTTTCCTCATCCAGGTGGGAAGCATTATTATTTTCCTTGTGTAAATTCATGATGCAATAAAAATTATAAACAACTATGATTTGCTTCCCTCATGATATCTATTTATATTTAAATTTTATATTATGTATTAGAGGTAATTATTAGATATTTAAATTTTATAGACTGTTCGTGAACTGACTACTAAAGTCGAGAAATTAGAAGAGGCGGACGCGAAACGCAGCACTGAAAGTGCTGAACATGAAGCCAAGCCTGCTATGATGATGGAGCCCCAGCTTATGTTAACTGCCGGTATGTAATATTTGTTATATTGATATTGCATTACCCACAATAATTGTAGAGGCTCTAGGATTTCTATGTGGATTGGTCATACTTAATATATTTCTGGTGAAAAGTTGACAGTAAGCATGCGGTTCTCGTGATGATGAGTGAGTACCGCAGCGCATGGATGGGCGCTCGCTTATAATTCAATGTACTCTGGCATCCTGAGTTCCATCCCATGAAACTTTAATTAACTGTAATAACTATCACGTGTTCAGTAGTGAAGGAAGACATTGCAAGGAAACCTGCATAATATCGAAGTAACGACAAAAAAAAATATTTCGAAAATAAGACAAGTGCACCAATCCTCAGTGGGATTGCATGGTGGTCTCCTTTGTACAGAAGAGGCCTTTGCTCGGCAGTGACATACATAACTTGTTACTTAACTTTAATATTGGAAAACAAAATCGAGGTCGCCTATGCAAAAGTTTGGAGTACAAACTCAAGTTAACAGTGGGTTGTTACTGGAGAAGAGTTGCAGAGGATTGGAAACAGTGGAACTTGGGGACATTATTATTAGGACATTATGTTTGGACATAATTATATAGGCTATATTATTGTTATTATTTTAACATTAAGAAAATTACCTAGTGTCCGTTCCTTCCAGGTCCCTCGATGGCGTACCCCGGCGTGGCCGCTCAGGCGTCGCCGTACGCGTACGCCGCGCAGGCCCCCTCGCCCGCGCCCTACCACGGCTACGGCATGTAGGGAACCGCCTCCCCACACGCATGGGGGAACTACGCTCACTTCTGAGCCCACGGATCACCTACTCCGGGGGCCATAAGTCTCCATGCACTTTCCACTCAACAAACCTATCTCTATGCTCAATGTGAGCAGGTCTATGTATGACATTGTTTCAGTCAACCTACCCATTCCATATTCACCTTCCCGTGGCCTAATTTTTCTTTTAATATCGCTCGATGAAAGTGCATAGAGATTAAGCTTGATAGAGTAAGTGTTAGGTTCACTTCAGATTACAGTTATGGCAGCATAATGAAAATTGTTGAGATATTCGCTCTCGCAACCGCCCTTCTAATGTAGTAGATGTTGATGTTACAATCAACTTTGCATACAAATTAATGTTTGATACATAATAATGATATGATTAACCAATTCTTAAATCATATTGAGTAGTTTGAAATTAATGGTATTATTTATTAGACAATTTTCACTGCAACTATGATGTATTGCAAAGTAAAATTGTTATCTTTAGAATTTGAGCAATGTATCTGAATATATAATATTTAATAAGATTAAAAAAATATTTCCGATATTGAACTCACATCGCCCAGTTGTATTCAAATTATAGTGCTGTTACTATTAATTACATAGCAATTTATATAATGGCGTTCATGTTGTTGGAAAGTAGTGCAAGTGTATATATTTTGTCAATATACGCGGCTCTATATGTTACTTGATGTCGTATCTATATAATATTCTAGCAGCTGTGACCAAATTACAGATTTGCTGTCAATGCTTAGATCTGCCACTAGGTGCATAGATAAATAATTTCACATTTTTATGTATATAGTGGTTACAACATTGTCGTTCCAAACTAAAAGTATTTTTTTAACTGTTAGTTAAAAAAATTAATTTAAAAGTTATTGATCTTTGCGATTTTTATTACAAGAAGTCTTCTCGAAATCATAAGCATATAAGGCTAATAAATATGAATGTGATGGGCTGTCATATTTTTCTTACTGCCTGCTGATTTGTCCTAATTCGTATTACAAAATTTAGTATGGTCCAACAACTACTTAATTATGTACAAAATGTTTCAGCAGTTTTTCAAAAGGTGACCATTGTTATATGTATATAATGCTTACAATTTAGTACACAATGTCGAAAATGGAAAACAATTGAAATTGATCACATGAGATCCTTGTTTTTTTTTAACTAGTAAATATTAACTCTTAATTCATAACAGTTCGATTTAGCTAAGGCAAAATTAGTGTAACTATGTTATATTTTGAGCAATTATGTTTGCGTAAAAGTACGAGAGTTGTAATTGTCACGCGTGTTGCTTCAGTTACGATTATTAACACACCTTGATATGCCTTCATTAAATAATTTTAAGAAGAAATTTAGTAACTTGTGCATTAGGGGACAATTTCACAGTTGGTATTTAAAATGATTAGTATTCTAAACAATTGTCCCTGTAGTGTTCTTAGAATATAGTATTTAGGCTCCATATACTGTTATGATAAAGTAATAGTATTTTGAGAGACGCTATTCCTGAAATGTTATCATTGATGTTAAAATAATCATTCAATCATTCCTTTCATTGACACTATAACGATAAAACTTAATTGTTTGGCGTTTTTTTCACTCCGTAAGAAAAAAATTAAATGATTGTGGAGAAATTAATTGTTTAATGATTACATTATTAGTATTGTATTTATTCATGTATAATACTGTTTCTCTGAATTTTATTGTAATAAGATTATATTATATGAATAAATAGTGATCCTTTTATTTCTTAATAAGAATTCTTCAATGATCATACCATTTTTGCACACCACATGCCGACCCTAAAAAGTTTTGAAACTGTCTCTTCTTTAAATTTAACTGATTAACCTAATTTACATACTTATGCTGCAATAAAGGAGGTCTTATTGCTTTTCGTAGAACAAGAAACACAAATAGTGTTATTAAAAACAAACTCAAATTCCAAAGGCAAAAATTGTATCTATGAACTTTATCTTCTTAGCATATCTTGATGAATGATTGTGCTCTGATGCCGTCTCAAACTCCAACGGTAAATGTATCATTCTCCTGAAAATATGATGCCGCTGCCGCCGGCGGCCTAGTACCTAGTGTTCCCGTGTTCACCGTGCTATTAAGCCCTTCAAGCCACAGCTACTAAGCCCCTCAACCACAGATGAAAATCCAGCCGCACCACTTTATGGAGGACGGGGACAAAATTATTCTGGACCCATCGGGGGTCCCCCCGACAACACTATACACAGACAGTGCTAACATACGAAACCAACACAACTCGTGAACGAGGTACACCCGCATCCAAATGCGGTTCTTACTGGCCCTCAGCGCAACAGTACGCGCCGCACTCCTATGGCCCGTAGGTGGCAATTCTTCCGCCAGTAGATAACGCAAATATAAGCACATTAAGCATCGTGTTATCTGAAACACTGTTCGATGACTTCTGTGTTCTATGTAGTAGTGTACGGACCAAAAGTAAAAAACATCAGTTAAGTAAAGATAACTCTTAACATAACTGAGAACTGAGTTTGTTTGTTGTTTATATTTTAGCTTTATTTATTGTTTTTTTTTTGTGAAAAGTTGTCAAGCGAGCAGGCGGTTCACCTTATGTTAAGTGAACATCGTTGCCCATGGACTGCTACACCCGGTGTTTGCAGATGCATTGACAACCTTGAAAATTGGGCTCCGGCTACCCCACTTACCAGACGAAACGCGAAAGTATTATACTTCCACTTTACGCCGGTCTTCTGTGAGGTCCTGGTACTTACCCGGACGAGCCTGTCCATTCGTACAACAGCCGAGGCTGTTGCGTGGCTCTGCCACAGTTCGTTTGTTAACCACAATTTGTTAACGTTGTCTAAAAATATGGCCAGGCAAAGAATATAACCAGGGGGTATCCCTGTCCTGAAATAACACACACACATATATATCCTCTTACACCTGTCGCCCAGACGGGAAAGAAGAGATTACCTACAGATTACCACTTGATATTGGATTACATTCTGAAGACGCGATCTGTTCTACATTACTTACAATACCAATGCTTGTTGGTTATGTGTACTATTTATGCTGTTCTTACTGCCTATATCGTATATCGTTTAGATGTACGATTTAAATTTTGATTGTATGATCAATATGTTTTATACACCGCAAGCTTCGAGTCGATAGATGGGAGGCCAGCACAGGTCTAGATTAGAGCAATAGCTCTAGCGGACTAGATTATTTGAAACACCTGGAATTAACTAAACCCGCTGACGAGCGTGCACCCGGCCTAGTATTAGACCGGATTGTCTCCAGCATGGACATCTTACCGACGTTTAAGGCTTAAAAAAATCACAAAAATTATTTTCAAGAATTAATTGTTATTAATAATTTGTTGGGATTCGAACCTCCATCCGAGAGGCCCTTGGATCGTATCGTGCAGCCCCCCCCCCCCCCCCTCCTGTTAGTCGATTGTCCATGATTGTCATGAAAAGAGAATTTGTTGTTTTCAAATCGCTAATTACTTTCTACTTTAATAATAGGCCTATGAAATTGCAGTTCTGTCCATTTCAAATAAAAAAAAATCATTGGTTGTGATTTCTAAATTCAAATTAAATTTGTTTTAATAACATTTTTTTTTATGCGAAAAGTTTTCAAACGAGCAGACGGTTCACCTGATGTTAAGTGAATACCGCCGCCCATGGACATCTGCCACACCCGAGGGTTACAGATGCGTTGACAACCTTTTGAAAATTGGGCTCCGGCTACCTCACTCACCAGACGAAACGCGAAAGTATTTGTCGTACGTCCACTTCACGCTGGTCTTCTGTGAAGTCGTGGTACTTACCCGGACGGACCTGCCCCTTCGTGCAACAGCCGAGGCTGCTGCGTGGCCCTACCACCGTAATGAAAATATTACTTTTATGAAATTATTTTTACAAATTCAATCTTTTGTTTATTGATTAGATTTTTATTTTCATTACATTTTTCGTCATAATGGATACCTACTTTAAAAATTCGTGTAATTATGGAATATGAGATCCGTTGTGGCACTAACGCGGCACAAACGGCACGTACATCAAAAACGTGTAGGGAGAAAACTTTACAAACGAACGCAACACCCGTTAGAGCCTAGACACGCGTGATGTGTGAGGGGGTGGGGTTCGGTGAGTAGGGAGTGCAAGCTTAGAAGTCGCAACGGCTGAAATGATCGTCGCGGTCGCGGTCTCAGCCTGCTACTCCCCTTTCCCACGCTTTTCACGCATCTCCGAGATGATGCCGTCCGGGACAGCATCATGCGCTTGTCACTCTGTCAAAACAGAGATTGGCACTATGATCACTGGATGCGGTCTTGATGGTTGTTACATCATCCGGAGATGACGTTGTTCGGAACGTGGTGCTCAGGTCTAAACCTGGGAATTGACGAATATATTTTGTGGAATGCCATTATACCCAGGTGTATGATTAATCCGGTACTTAGATATTAGGCCAGAGGCAGAGGTGTTGCCGAAAGCCTCGGAGCATAGGTTACGGTCGTCGGACCTTTTCGCTTACCTTTCGAAGCGAAGTACAAACAAGTCGGAAGAAAAAAATTTAAACTAATATTAAGATTTTAAGCTTGCTCCTCGGCAAATCGGATGATTATTTGACGCGGAGAACTGAGTTGGACTAATCGGTTTGAAAGTCTCCAACACCTAATTAGATGTCGGATATATACTCGAAAATTGGCGCAGTCACTCTTGGTTCAAAAGAGTTGTACGAGAGATGACCCACGGACTTGGGAGAACAACAACTCCGCAACCCTTGCTAATGAGGGATGAATCATCGACTAGCCCGGAGGTACAGCAAGATCCTAGGGCTCCTCAGATGGAAGTTCAAATCTCGGCTTGGATGGCGATCGATGGTCACATGATATTTATAATGATAATTATTAATCACACATACATATATACACTTAAATGTATTCATACAGAAAAAATAAAATAATAATTATTCATAATATTATACTCAACATTTTTGCGCAGTGTTGTTGTTATTACATCTGTCAGTGTCACTGCGTGTCAAAATTTAATACTCTTGCCCATGCCTCATGCCCATGTGTCAGTGTTTGGATTGTAAGTATTATGCCATATAAAAGGAAGAAGTATCATCAGGGTGACACTCACCTTAAAAGACGATGGAGAGTAAGAAATAGAAAGAAAGATCTTGATGAAATCGATAATGATTTAAAAGAAGGTAAGATTCCGCTTCTATTTTATTCTGTTTGCCATAAACAGGCTGTTTTTTTATTTTGTAGGTTATTTATGAGTATTGTCAAAATTTTGCTTACAGAAAATGCTGAAAAATTATTAAAACAAAACGTGGATTTGGATTTACCTGGCGCTGCCCAGCATTACTGTCTACATTGTGGCCGCTACTTTATTGATGACAGGGCGCTAAAAGAACACTTCAAGACAAAAGTTCACAAGAGAAGGTTAAAAGCTCTAGAATTAGAACCTTATAGTATAGAAGAATCCGAGCGTGCCGCTGGACAAGGCAGTTTTAAACTTCCGAATAAACGGAAAATCATAACACAAAACAGTAAAGAAAATTCAATAGACAAAGATGGTGACATTATATTAGATGAGGTTACTCCACATAAAAAACAGAAAATTGATGAAAATGATGCATAGGACTGTTTTGAACAACATATTTCAGTTAAGAGATTGCTATTTACTACCTTTTAGACATTCTGCACTATTTATAAATGGTCATAAAGCTACTGATACTTATGTTCATGTAACTCCCCACATAAACTTCCCTCAGTGGATAAAAAATAAAGATGCTATTGTGACTAATCTCTCAAATAGGAATTCACATGTAAATTTGGATAAGTTGGAAAATCTGTGGTTACTTTATGAAGAACTCAAAAAGCAAAAGGACGAGCTGGAAAAAAAGAAAACCATTGTTGGTAATGAATTAGCTAATTTATTAAAAAATAACCCAACTGATAAAGATGTGGAGAAACTGAAAATACAAAGCAGCTTATTAAAGGAAAATATTAAAAAAATTAAGATTCCTTTTTGGTCAGCAGAAGAAGCTGCAATTGTTGAATCATTAAAACTTCCCAATATGTTGCATTCACAAACCCCAATTTCTAAAAACAATGTGGTTTACCATTATAAAACTTGTCCAAATAACAACAAAAGTCATTTGAAAATTGGAATGTGTAAGGATTTGATACAATACACAAATAAAGAGAATTATTACTTAAAGGGTGATGCAGCAGTGTTTGAGTTGGGTTCTAAGTTTTATTTTAGCAGATTTTTAAAAGAGAACAATTTTACACAATTCTCAAACCCAGATTTTGTGAAAAGTTTAATTGTGGAAGGATGTGGCCATGATCACACAGATCCTAACCATACATTTATTATACATCATAATGAAGAGACTAAAGCTAGTGTGGACAATCGATTACACTTAACAGGTGGCAGTTCTCTATTTTCCTTTATAGCATATTACACTAAAAACATGTTATACAATAAAGTCCTCCCTTTAAAATATTTTTCAATAGGAAGGCAATATATTCCTGCAGAATCAATGGACTATGGATTGTTTAATGTCAGCCAATCATCAACAGTTTCCATATTTATTGCAACAAGAAATACCGAGGAATGTGATGGTATACTCCAAGATATGGTAGAATTGACTAAAACTGCATACAGTAAACTTGGCTTCCACTTCCGATTGAGCATCATCTCTGCTGATAGATTAAAAATGTGGGAATCCTTAAGAATTGCTATAGAAATGTATTCATGCTCCTTAAAACAATATGTTGAAATAGGAAATATATCTGTGAGTGGGGATTTCATAAGCAAGAGGGTAATGTTTACATATACAGATGAAAAACAACACAAATATCCGTACATAATATCAGGTACAATATTAAATGTACCTAAGTTTTTAGGTTGTATTTTAGAGCAAGATTGCGAATTCTCCCTACCATTAGAATTTGAAACAAATAATTGGGGCTATTAAGTAATAGCAATACATATAAAATAAACTTTATTAAGTAACAACAATGATTGTTATGCAATTTTACTGTGAATAAAGAAAATATTTAATAAATCTGCTTTTTATGTCAAATTCCACCTATATATCAAATTCAAATTCAGTTCTTTCCCAAAAAGGATTGAAAGGATCTATTGGTGTTTTCATACTTATCTCAATAAGGTCCACTTTTCCTGTTTTTGTCACCAACAGTATGGTATGTGCCCTGTAAAAGGAACCCTTATTTAAAATTAACTGAATTATTTATATCTCTTAATACATTATTTCTTAATTATCTATATATAGATTGACTAATGTACTTTGTGTTAAAATTTAAAAATCAGTTTGGAATTAATTACATGCATTATGTTCAAACATAATGCCAATGAAGAATTAGTCTTATACATATTGGTACTTAAGTTATTTACCTTGTACCATATCCCCCTTTAGGTATTTTAACGAAAATGGAGCTAAGTTCTTTATAGTTAAGAGGTTTCCGTTCTTCCAACTGCTGATCTGGTAGGTTTCTAAAAATTTTACCTTTACTTACACAATGTAATCTTTTAATATATACTGCTTATTTCTATTAATTTAATTATTAATTAAAGGGTTAAATGGTTAATTGCAATATGAATTGATTTATTAAATATAATACCTTTCTTCTGATTTTAACATGGCAACTAGCTCATCAATTAGCTTTTCTTTATCAATAATTTTGTTAAATTTGCTGCAGATTTCTTGTAGCTTACATTTGCCAACTTTTACTTTAGTCAAGGGATTTTCTGGGAGACTGTTACTAAAACCTAAATATTCAGCCTGCCACTGTTTTAATTCATTGATTGCATTATTATATGTCTGCACTACAGGTATTGAATCCCTAAAAATGTCAATAAATGAATGAATATTCTACATATGAAAGAAATCTTGAACAGATATTAACATACCCAAACTCAACAGCAACTAGAACAAACTCATTACATTTCTGGAAATATTCTTTCATAGATTCAATAAACTCATTGGTTTGCAAATGACTATTAATAAAGTTTTCAACAACTTTTCCTCTGCCTGCAAAGGTTTTGAATATTTGCACAATAAAACAAATAATATAATTATTTATAGAAAAAGAAATATGTACTTTTAGAATCGTTTTTAGGAGTACTGGGTAGATTAAGCAGCAGGCCTACTTTCTTCATAGAAATCGATACAGCTAGCCAAGTCCCACCTTCACATCCTGATTGCAAATCACGGCCTAAAAAATTGCAAAATACTTATGAAAGTTATGTTAATAGCTGATCCTTATTTCTAGTTCAATGTATTATATTTTAAGGTCACAATAGGTTGCATCTATAATTAGGCTCCACAAGGAAACTGACAACATCAAGTGTTCTTCTGAATAAGACAAACACAAATAAAAGCTATAATACTGTTGTTTATTCTAGAAACTTAAGTTGGCGACGGATATGTAAGCGTTAATAGCCAGTGGGTCAGTACTCAGTCAGTCATGATCATACACCATTAAGTGTACATTCTCCTGGTTAGCATGTCCCCTTTACAAAGCTAAAACTTATTTATACCTCCATAAACATGACAATTCTCTATCCAAGATCTCATTTGTTGGGCTGGTCTAACATAAAATTCATCTCTATTGGATATTAGTATTAACTTATATTCACTATCGGGGATGGTGCAGCCCAAATGTATAAAAACAATACACATTTTTCTGAAGAATTTTCTTTTCTGGCTAAGAAACATGCAGCGACATAATCGAGTCAATATAAAAAGATAAGATTAAAATATCAAAGAATAGTCAGTCTCAGTACGGTAGTACATTATGAAGTTTAATAATCAATCAGATAGTTTGTAGTACTTATACCTATATAAATATTAATGCATAGTTTAAAATAATCTATGATTTTTCAATGGAGTATCATTTATTCGCTAGAAAGTTTTGAGAATTATCGTAAAGTATAAAAGTAACACTAAATAAGACTGATAATCATGAAATATAATATTAAATATAACATAAACATAGCTATTATCTAGGCGAGTGAGGCTGAGGCGTATAATTATAGTAACATGTAACTATATTACTATAACAGTAACAGGTATCTTGAGATAACAGACTGCAGTTGTACCTGTTCTTTTACGAACAGGCTTAAATAACAGTTTCTGTTCCACACACATTGTTCCTTAACAAGTTGGCACAAGCTTTTCTTTATTCACGCTTACGACTGTTACCTAAGTTAGAAAGAGATAAAAACTGTTACACCCTGTCACAGTTCTTACTGAACCCTGTCACTGTCACAAGCTCTTTTAATTTCTTTCACCGCTCGGTCATAAGATAGCTTAGCTTTTTTAGAAAGAGAAGTACGGATATTACCATAGAATAACATACTGTAACAGCTGTTACAACAGAGTACTTTATAATATACTGAAACTGAACTCAACCGTGCGGATCGTAGTAGAGCAGCGAATGATCGTCGCTTCAAACTGCCATTGGGCTTCCTACGGCTGTTGCTGGAAAAGAACGCAGATACCCGAGCATACAATCGTTAGTGGACTGATCTGATGCAAATCGCACCAGGATGAGCAGCCGTAATCTTTATTTGTAAACAATTGAAGTAATCTATAGGACAGAGAAGTAATAAATTAATAATTATCATGAAAGGAACTTATGTTATGCAAATTAACAATGTAGCAATTATGCATACCAAAAGAACATATTCCCTTCATCAATACAGAAATATTGTCAAACCGTTCCTAATAGTATGTTTTGTTGGCTATATAATTATACTGGGCCCATATACAGCTACAAAATCAGATGCTGAGATTTTAAAAAATGAATATGTAATATTTCAAAACCTCTCTTAATAGAACCATGTGAACTTCAATTTAGGCTCACAGAGAATGCAAACAAATACTGCAGCGATCGTTTGTCGTGGGTAGTAGATGTGTCAATGGACGTTTTAAGTGGGAGTTCAAGCTTGCTGCGCCAGGAGCATTTTAATCAAGCTTCTAAGCAATTGATGCAAGATTTTAGGGTGGCAGTAGCTTTAATAAACAAGTTTCATCCAGTTATAAGGACAGAGATGATGCTAATCTCTGATATTAATCTCTGTTATCCAGGAAAGTGTTTACAAAATAATCTTTTGGCTGATTTGGTACAACAAAATAATTTAAATAGGAGACGGGCCTAGTTTGTAAGTATTACTGTAAATAATGAATATTTCGAGTTTTTCCACAAATGGCATATGAGATGATTTTAATACTATTGGGAGTTTACCAACTTAAACAAGCCCGCTCATACTACGGTGAATATGTGGGACAAAATGGCATGTACACTATTGAGGTGTGCAGGGAGGTTGATCTTGATCAATAAAAATACATTTAGTAAATTCTGAAAACATATGGTTATTAAAAGGCAAAATTCACAGGCGACATATTAGTAATAAAACTCGAACACTTACATAAGAATTTATTGCAATTTATAATTTTACAATTATTTAAGACGATCATGTCCGTTCTTCTTTCTCTAAACAGTTGCCAGTGTTGTCATAGACAAAAATTATACAATATTTATTGACGCGTTTATTAAGAACGCTGCTTATGTGCAAAGTATTATTATTAGTACTATTGAACAGGTATTTGGAATGTTCTATGTCTAAATTCTACATACTGACACTATTTTTTCATGTTATAAGGTGTCAAACGAACTGGGGGTTCACCTGATGTTAAGTTATTGACAGGTCAAGAGATTGAGACGAGATGTTGTCCTTCTTTGTATTTTATACTTGGGGCAAGGTTTTCTTCTTACTGGATGGAACTTTTTAGGTATACCATTCGCTGCGGCTGCCGTTGGAGGCACATCCAAGCCAGCTCTTGCAAAGCGGCATCTCGCCGTAAGCAGGAGAGTTATCTGGACCGTTGCGGTTGTATCTAAGGATGTAAATGCCAGTATCTTTAAAAAGGAGTACAACTTTTCATCTACGTCATTCAAAAGAGCCATCGCATCAGAGAGGCGCATATTGGCAAAGAGAGAGATTAGTTTGCCTTCCTTCAGCAACTCATGCATTCAGGTCTCTCGCCAAAGCTGTTCAAGGGAACTTCTGTACGGCATCTTTTCATAGGGGAGATGACTCTTTGGCCCACACCGCTGAACTGAAAGCCGATCTTTTGGGCACCATATACATATTGATACCTGCTGCCGAATTTCACTATCATAGAACTCGTCAAACCACCAAATACAACCGACACTACCTTGATGGTTGGTGAAACAGCCCTGTGCGCTATTTATGAAATTTTCTGCCCCTTAGGATACGACTTAGGAACCTTCAAGAGAGCCTGCTTCTACCTTATAGGACGGCAACGTGACTCCTGTCATGTTTCAAGCGTACACAGGCGGCGGACATCGCTTGCTCATTTGCTTCCATTTTACATGAAAAACCTTTAAATTACACATAGAACATGAAGAGATAATGTGGCTGTGTGAAACAATCGGTTCCAGAAAGTACGAGTAGCACTTAGTGGAGAGGGGAGAAATGGAAGTGATTATTTGACGTAGGTATTTCATGTACGAATTACTTTTTTTTCTCAAAATCCACTGACACCCAGATCCGTTGAACAAATTTTATACATATATTTTCACACAGAATAAGTTACTGTTATTACTAAACTAGTGACCCGTCCCGGCTTCGCACGGGTGCAATGTAGTATACATATAAATCTTCTTCTTTAATCACTCTATTTAGTAAAAAAAACCGCATCAAGATCCGTTGCGTAGTTTTAAAGATCTAAGCATACATAGGGACAGACAGACAGCGGGGCGACTTTGTTTTATACTATGTAGTGATGCACAGCAAAGAGACGTTTACATTTCAAGTGACATTTTACCACAGTCACTTGCTTTGCCTTCCCGGAACCCCTCCACTAACACTTAAACTTTATGGTATGGTATTAAAGTTCAAATTGACTTTTAAGTATTATTACGAATCTTTTGTAAGGGAATATAGAAAAGAGTTGTTTTTACACTTTTTTAGGTAATTTTTAAAATTTTTCTCTCCGTAAGAACCATCTTCCTACTTCAAGGAATATTATAAAAAAAGAATTAGCGAAATTGGTCCAGCCGTTCACGCGTGATGGCGTAACTAAGGGAAATGGGATTCATTTTTATATATATAAAATACAGATTTGCCGCCGAAGTCAGGTACAGTTGTTGGCAATGATGTTATAAAGATGACTCATGTCCATACCATACCGCGCAGCGTTTAAAAGTTGTTCCGCTTTACGTTATTTATGTCACATATGTACCTAAGTGATAAACAGATAATACGGAAAGAGATACCTACCAGTCTAAAGAATTACAACTATTGGCGTAATTTGAGTGCCTCAATTTCAAACTCAATAAAATAAGTTTTAAGCAGCTCGTCACTGATTCTCTCAAAGTTTTTCAAGACGGACACGACCTTCAGTAATGAAGACCACGAAAAAGAGGAAGAAGATTATTATGTTTTGCAATTATATATCGAGGTTTTAAATAGGTCTACGGATATATTAATGAAGCTATCTTTGCCTGTTTGTTTACTTCAAATGCATAAAGCAATCGCTAACACTTAATCCAATCCAATCCGCAGTAGGGAGTTTTGGACTATGCCCTGATACCCTCTGTACAGAGCAGGCCTTTGCCCAGCAGTGAGAAATGTATAGGTTGTGTTACTTTCCTGTTTTACTTTTTGTAAGCATAGTGAAATAAGAAATGACATTAGAATTTGATTTAAAAGTTATTAAAAATGATTCTGTCTATAGAGTTTTTAAACGCAGGTTCCATAGGGACGCATCATGACGAGTTTCTCAGCGCAATTTCAAAACTAACAATAAGTGTTATCGGAAGCTGGGATTCTTCATATTGATCTCGGGACGATCGCCGCCGCCGCTGTTATCCACGTGACTCAAGAAACGAAAATCAAGGTGCGTTATTTTTTAAATTGGGTGTTGGGTACCTGTGTGTACATGGCTTGGCTCGGAAGGTTCAATCTATAAGTCCTAAGGTATACAGTGTTCCGTTACCATTAGTTTGTTTGAAAAATATTTTTTTTTAATTATGGATTTTGTTTAACGTTAATATTTTTTATGATTTTTGGCACGTAGCGTTAGACGTGTGTTCATTTATTGTCGCGATGGTAACACCACGCTGTATATTCCACTACAAAAACAGAATCGAACATAATTGCTGGTATATCTTGGCTATCAATGAAACCTGGTTAAAAGTCAGGGAGGAGGAACGTGCACCATCTCCGTCTGGAAACCAGTTACTCCATATAGCGCGATCGCCTCGAATACGCAATCGCGCATGTAGGCGTATAGTTGCAAAAAAAAAGGAATCAATATTCGCATGAAAATCGTAATCGTAATGGTAAAACAAATGTGGCTAGGGTTTAGCGTAAATGGTGCCAAGGTGGTGATTGGTACAGCGTATCGACACCCTTGGCTCAGTGTTGATATTTTTATTGATGCGCTACCGTTTCTTCACTTGGTAAATACGAAAATACCCGGTTCGGTAATACCCTAATGCTTGGCGATTACAATATAGACTATTTACATTCACAAAACCAAATTATATGAATCTCGTTCAGTTTGTAAACATCAGTAGACATAATTTGCTCTAATATGACTGTTCGTTGTTTCCGTGAATCACATTCCTGGCCTGAAGACTTATAAAAATATGGTGAATATTTTCCTAAGTTCCGATTGTTTGTAACACCCTTAGGGTTGCTGATGCCCTGGCTACTTCACTTACCAGACGAAATACAGAAGTGTGCACTTCCACTTCACGCCGGTTTACTGTGTGTTGTGATACTTACCCTGACGGACATGTTCATTTGTGCAACAGCGAAGACAATTGCGTGTCAACAGTTGAATACAATAGTTAATTATATTAAAATTAGGAAACGGCTATTGAAATCAATTTTGTATAAAAATTATCTAAATTATAACATTTTTTTCTTCCCTTCACTAAAATAGCTATATATATAAGCTGCAACATATATTAGGTACCGTATATTATATTTATACAGCGTGTCGTTACAAAGGCGACAAGAAATGAACACACGTCTAATGCTACTTGCCAATAATCATAAAAAAATATTAACGTTAAAAAAATACATAATTAACATAAAATATTTTTCTAACAAACTAATTAAGTAAAAAAGAAACAAAATTTGTAACATCCCATACAACTACAACTGACTGATTCATACATTCAGAGACTTTTTCATTCGTTGCCACAGCGTTGCATTCCAAGCCTCTCCTTCTAACAGTATGTTTTGACCCTTTCGATTTCGTTCAACCCATTCATATGCTTTGTTACCTTTACAAATGAACTTTACGTTACAGTTTTATACGTAAGGGTGTTCTAAAATTCTTTGTTTTGGAAAATTTGATAACACGGTAAATGTTGATGTTTAAAGTATGTAAATCTTTAATACAATTTTATAAAGCTATCCTCTATAAGTGTGTTCATTTATTGTCGCGATGGTAAAGACACGCTGTATAAGAGTAGAAATCTGAATAATAATCGAGTCTGGTAATACCAGTGTCAACATGTACGGGGATTTCTCCAAATTGTACGCTAAACATGTACTTTGGGGACAATTCTCAGTACATGAGCAAAGTATACGTAATGTCCCCAATCTACTCCTTCATAAATATAGTGTTCATTTTGGTGCTGCAATATATATATATATATTGCAGCAGAATAGTTTATTGTGTATAGCATTTATGTTTCTGTAAAGTATATTTATGTAAAATGTACCCCTTCTTTTTTATTTTTAAAATAAATAACCCTTATTTTGTTGTACGCCTGCGTCAAATTTTCACTACTCCTCAAGTCAAGGTTTGAGTGGAAGAGTGCTTATTAGCACTATATAAATAAATAAACATTCATTAAGTATATTTATTTATTTATTCTTTATGCAGACACACGAGTATGTACAAAGGCGGACTTAATGCCGTTAGCATTATCTCTCTTGACTTTTGTTTAGCCTTATGTTGGGGTGTAATATAAAAAAAAAAAAATATAAACAGAAAGAGGAAAAAAGACAACAAATATTTATGCATTTATGTTTTAAGCTTGCACTTAAACTACTGGTACAATAATTAAGTTGGTACAATAATAATGTTGGATTAAAAAGTTCTCCTAAAGCTACGTTCGATTGTGTCCAGTGGAGGACGATGTTCGATGTGTTGGTAGAGATGGGTGTTCCTGAACATCTTACCTACCTTATACAGAATCTGTACCTTGATAGCTCAAGCTTCGTGAAATTGGAAAACCAGAAATCTAAGAGCTTCCACCCAGAACGAGGCGTACGCCAGGGCTGCATTCTGTCACCAAAAATATTTAATTTGTACGGGGAATATATCATGAGGAAAGCACTGGAAGGCTGGGACGGCGGTGTTGCAGTCGGTGGTCGAAGGATCTGTAACTTAAGGTATGCAGATGATACGACAGTTGTTGCATCGAGTGAAGTGGAAATGGCGGCACTTCTAAAGAGAATTGAAGTCGAGAGTGCAAAAGTGGGTCTTAAGATCAACCATTCTAAAACTAAAATAATGGTGGTAGACCGAGCACAAACACTGCCAGTCTCCGATGCACTCAATGGATATGAAAAAGTCAGCCAATTTGTATACCTTGGGTCGCTGGTATCCAATGATGGCAGCTGCACTGATGAAATTCGTCGTAGAGCCGGTATGGCCAAAAGTGCTATGACTAGACTCGAAAAGATTTGGAAGAACCGTGGTATTCGACGTGCAACTAAAGTGCGCTTGGTACGAGCATTGGTCATCCCTATTTTTATGTACGGTGCCGAAACATGGAGTATAAGAAGCCGTGATAGCAGTAAAATCGATGCTTTCGAAATGTGGTGTTGGCGTAGGATGCTCCGTATTCCTTGGACTGCCAGGAGAACCAACGATTCAATACTAAAAGACCTAAACATCACAAAGCGGCTTTCTTCAATTTGCCGTGAACGGGCCCTCTGCTTTTTTGGACACATTATGCGATCTTCAAGGCACAGTCTAGAACAGCAGATAATTACTGGCCAGATGAACGGGAGACGTGCTCAAGGCAGGGCACCGACAAGATGGGCCGACGTAGTGAAGAACGCGGTGGGCGGCAGCATGCAACGCGCGATTCACACCGCCTACGACCGCACGCAGTGGAGGAGAACATCATGTGGTCACGATCCTCAGCATTGAGGGACGGAGCAAGAAGAAGAAGAAGAAGATCATTATTATCCGTTAAACTGTATTTTTTTTTTAAATCTTTTTTATTTACCACCAACGCACTAGTCGTGGTGGGGGTTTTCCCAGTGAACGCTAAAAAAACATGGTAGCCGCACGTTCATACAAGTGATTGTCTTGTATTTTGTATTAACTGATGTTTGTGCTTTCAGTCCCGAGACTATTAAAGCTTCATCTGACGCAGAAACGGTGGGCTAGCCAGAACCCACGAGTTTGGGCCCTCCGCTGTGGGTAGGGCCACGCATGAGCTCATGCGTGCGTTTAAGTATGGTGTGTCATCTAAGGGCCATCGAGGTCGCGGTTCGGACCGAAACCCCGATGGCCGTCGACTATGGAATTAGCTAATCGATGGCTGGGAGCGGTGAGAACCGCCCCGGAACGCGGGTGTACCTTGTGTACGCGTTGTGTTGGTTTCGCCGTGCTCGGAGGCGAGCGCGAACTAGTATGTTTGTTGTTGCACTAATTGAGGGTGTAGTGTTATCCGGCGGGACCCCAGGCGGTGGGTCCGAGTAACAAGTGATTGTTGATGAATAGCACCGTAACTCTCACTGACAGCCATCACGCACCGTCAAGCAAAAATAAATTTATTAGTTAGTTCAACTAAGTCTACATCATATGCTTGAACCGTCGAGCTAGTAGCATAAATGTAGGAACAGATAGGTGCAACAAACGAAAACTATTATCTATAACTAACCTAAAACTTGTTGACTTAAAAATTAATATTAAAAAAGCGCAAACAAAGCTACAAGAAACGTCAAGTGTTTAGAAATTGCTTAGAAAAACGTTTTCATCAAGGACAATAATCTTACAAGAAAACGACCATCGATGAACTTAGTTCCCTACAGCCCAATTTGTAGCTTATCTGTAGACTGTATACTGGCCAAACTTGAAACGCTGCTAATAAATGAGCTTTAGGCGCTCCTTATAATAGATGCCACAACAGTACCTGGGAGATCTCGAAAGGAGCGACCAATTAGCTTCTTTTCTTGTATAAACTTGACATTCTGCAATGAATCGGCTGCAAGCACCAATTAAAGCGCTGAAAGAATGAATTAATTATTAATAATAAACTTCAGATTCTCTTTGTGTGATTCTTATTCTAAACATAGGTTGACAAATTAATTTTTAGTTCATGTGAGCAGTTTGCATGAGCTACATAGCTAATGCATATAGAAAATGCATAATGAATGGTATACAACAGTTCAGTACAATATCAATCAGATTTCATTCAGTCATTACATCCTGTATGAATGAAATTCAAATTCAAATATCTTTATATAATATCGCATTACACTCACTTATTGATAGTCAATATACTACCAACCGGTTCGGAAAACAAAGCCACTGACCTGAGAAGAACCGGCGAAAGAAACTCAGTGGGCTACTTTTTTTTCTATTTTTTGACATACATTGTGTGACATGAATATATTAAATACAATATAAAAGTCCGATTCAAAGAGCTTGGAGCGATCAATTCATTAATAGTGTGTTACCTTTTAAATAATCATTAATATTATAAGCCTTTAACACAAACGTTCTTTTACAACTTTTTTAAATATAGCTATTGATACATTTTTGACGTTTTCCGGGATTTATATTTGTTTTTTTTTTATGTGAGAAAATAGCAAACGAGTTGGCGGTTCACCTGATGTTAAATGATAACCACCGCCCATGGACATTTGTAAGACCCGTAGGGTTGCAAAAGCGTTGCCACCTTTAAATAAAATGGGCCCCGGCTACCTCACTCACCGGGCGAAACGCAGAAGTGTAACACTTCTACTTTATATCTGTGGAAATAACTAAAAAATATCAAGCGAGCCGTCAGTCAACTCTCTTATTTTTTCAACCGCGAAACCGAAATCTGCTGAGCTAAGTGTACTCGCCAGCTTATTAGGTAATATGGGGTATAAATCCATATTGCAGTTTGGCATCATTTGTTATGCCAAAGAATACAGTCGAGTCAATAGGGTCCAGCGCTTCCCCATATAAAAGTACATCAGTTTTTACATGTTTCATATTGCAAGTTGTAAATGAACTTACATGTGAAAGTAGCATACATGTATTTATTTCTTTACTAACATTTCTGTTGGCTGTGTGACTGTTAAAAACAACTTAGCTTGTCCTCACAGACTTTAGAGTTGGTTAAATGAATATATAAAGACCGTTACTGACAGGTTCAAACATGTCAGAGTGGGAGAGCTCCGGCTTGAAGTCCAACGAATCGGCCAGGATCGTGACGCCCACGTTGGGCTCGTCAGAGCTGATGAACAGCTGCGTGATCTCCTCGGACACTTTGCGCACGTAGTTGTTGCGCCCTGCCGTTGACATGTGCGCTTAACGCAGCGTCGACTGACCGCCGCGGCCGTACTTCTTCGGCAGGTCCACGTTGTACTTGTCCCCTACTTGCGATAGAGATGAAATAATTTTCCAATTGTATTACAAGTTAATCAGGTACTCTACTTTAGAATTGAATAGAATGTACTGTATAGCAGACAAAGAAATACATCGAAAGAAAATACAGGAATATAGGAATAGCAATTTCTTCCAGGCAACCATAATATATATATATATATATGTAATATACAGCGTGTCTTTACAATCGCGACAAAGAATTTTAGAACACCTTACGTATCACTGTAACTGTCATTTGTAAAGGTCACAAAGCATATGAATGGATTGAATGTATTTAAAAGAGACAAAACATACTGTTAGAAGGAGAGGCTTGTAATGCGACGCTGTGGCGCGAGTTGTATAGGATGTTACAAATTTTGTTTCTTTTTTACTCCATTAGTTTGTTTGAAAAATAATAAATCACCAAACCATTCGGCGGAACTACAAATGAGAAGCAGTATATATAATGTGATAAAGTAATTATTTTTCCATTATTCATCACCACCATAATCATCTGGATCCGTCCATCTCTTTAATCTTATATCCCTTTAGTTGAATTTGATCTTGTCCATTTTACCATTATTTTCTGCGAGTGTTTTTCATTTAAAAAAAATCATTATTTAAAATGGTTTTTCAAGACAACTTACCATAGAGGAACCTTATTAACCTCAAATTTCATGTACAACAATTATGGGAAATGGCAGTGACTTTTTGATATCTTAAGCGTTACATGCTAAAAAAATATCGACCATGGGTGACCAATAGACAAGTGAGAGGAGTAACCTTTAGTGTAGAGTTTGAGCCGATGATGTACTGATGCGATTGCTCCGAGTACAGACAATCTTAATAGATTGTCTGTACTTGGAGCAACCACATCAGTTGACTTGATGTTGGACGTCGTACCAAACTCACCCGCCAGCATTTTGGATATCCGCGAGATCTGATCCTTGGGCGGTATGATCAGGGATATCATTGAAGTTCCATTGCTACAAATTGTAGATATTAATGTTTAGATAGTGTAGGAAAGCACTAGAATAGAATCAATAAACAATGCCTATCACATCCCCAGGACAGGGACAGAGGGATATGGCTAATATTCCGAATAGTACGTCTCGTTTTTCAAGCTAGAAAAAATTTTTGTCTTAATTAATTATTAATTAGCTGCCATAAAACAGAATAGATTTTCATATACATATATTTTAGACAAGGAGTTTTGAAGGAAAGTTTCTCAAGTTAGTATAGTTTAAATAATGAAATACAGGAGTCTGTGCTTTTCTTTGTTTAAACACATGTTTATGAGTTATGGTAATGGATTGGATTATGCCCTAATACCCTCTGTACAGAGAAAACCATAATAAATGGTAAAACCCGTAATAAGTATATGTATAACTAGCACTTTACCTGCGACTTCGTCCGCGAAAATTGTGATAACTCGGCTATTTTGCATTATGTAAATATTTTTCATCCGCATATTTTCAGTTCCCGTGAGTATTCTCACGAGTATAAAATGTAACTTACTAGCGACCCGAAACGACTTCGCACGGGTGCAATATATTACACATATAAACCTTCCTCTTAAATCACTCGTTTTTTTCACCTAGTTTTAAATATCCAAGAATACATAAGGACAGACAGTTAGCGGGACGACTTTGTTTTATACTATGTGGTGATATATGAGTAAACATGAGTACTATTAATTAGAACACTATTTTATTTATAGTAAATATTTTTCGCAGCGCACGCAAAATAATGTCTTTTATAGGCAACATTTTGATACCATAGGTTAAATGGTTACATTTTGGGCAGGGCTTTATAAGTTTTTGAAAATATAGCTTATGTTATTTGGTAAAGATGTAGCTTTCTAATGATGAAAAAAAATTAAAGTCCGTCGAGTAGTTTTCGAGTTCAATCGTAACGAACAAACAAAAAATCAAATATTTCCTCTTTATAATATTACAAACCAGCTGCCGCCCGCTACGTCTGCATAGAATAGCCTGAAAGCGTAGGCCTAGTAAACCTAACATTCAGACAGAAAGACAAATATACATAAAAATATGTATATAAATTACAGCCTATATTTTATTCTGATGTATAAGCTATATTATTATAGTTTCATTAAAATCCATTCAGTAGTATTTGCGTGAAAGAGTAACAAACATCCATCCATACATACAAACTTTCGCCTTAATAATATGACTAGGTGTTAACCGCGGCTTCGCCCGCGTAGTCAAAGGGAATTGACAATGAGTTTTTTATTATACACTAGAATATCTCTTAGATGGCTGAATTTTTTCCTACTTCGTTGACATTCATTATTACCTATATTTTTGACAATTCACACAATATCTTTATAATTTGTGGAAAACCAGGGAAAGTTTAAGCGATAAGTAATTATGGAAAAATCGCATTGAAAATCGAAATAGCAACTATTTTACTTTCTTGTCGTTTGCCGGGTCAGCTAGACTATGTATAAATAATTTGTTTTATTATAAAGGCCTTCGATATTATTCGCTATTATTTTCGTAAAGCAAACAAAATAATCAGCGGGTTTGCGACCTGCGTCGATTTTATATTTCGGTCAACACCGATCTAGAGACGAGATTGAATGGCGCGAACAGAGCGACTCGTTCTTTATGCTCTTGTATCTTGTATTAACTGATGTTAACCATTTCAGTTCCAAGACTATTAAAGCTTCATAGAACGCAGAACCGGTGGGCTAGCCAGAACCCACGGGTTTGAGGCCCTCCACAGTTGGTAGGGCCATGTATGTGCTCATGCGTGCGATAGCTAAGGATTCTTTAAGAATCTCGCTAGCTCGCTCGACGCGGAGTCGACTTCGAATTGCCGCGACGTCGACATGAGGTCGTAGCCGAGCCCGATCAGCCCGATCTCGAGGCAACTCGAACTCGAACCGACTTAGGTCGACTTTTAAGAAAGATCGAGAGAGTCAGACAAAGCCGTGATAGCTCAGTGTCCGGGCGCTCGCCTCTTATTCAAAATACTCGAGCAACTCGATCGATCCCCGGTGCCGGCACTATCGTGAGGAAACCTGTATATTTTCGAAATAATAAGAAAAAAATATTATGAAGATATTTGAAGTCCGCTAATCCGCAGTGGGATCACGAGGTGCACTATTAGTAGTGTAGTAATCACAGTATAGGCTGATATTTACTGATAGATCAATTCGACAAACGTCAGGTCGATTTAATGTTGCGCAATTTTTTTTTTGCCGGGATGAGCCACTGTTGGCCAGGGGCCCTTACAAATCCGACGGGCATGAGGTAGCCGGGCGCTCGGGGCGCCTAGCCTGAACCTCGGTATCCTACGCAAGTCTACAGAGTACTTTATATAGTTATGCGCAAGTCGACACGCCCATCGCTAGGAATTTATATTGAATTTTGGTTTGAGTAATGAAATTATAGTATTTTTTATACTATCCTTAGATATGGATAGAATATAGAACGAAGCCTGAAATTATACTACAAATACTATATAGTAAATAATTTTTAACAAAAAGAAACCGACTTCAAGCAGGAAACTAAGAACATTGTCAACACCTATAACATTTGAGGATTGCCCTCGAGTTGTCTGGGATACCATCATCAGATCCGGGTTTCTTTACCACCCTTGGGATATCCTTTCCAACAAAAAAAAGAATCATCAAAATCGGTTCATAAATGACGAAGTTATCCGCAAACACACATAAAAAACAATGTATACGGTCGAATTGAGAAACCTCATTCTTTTTTGAAGTCGGTTAAAAATCCAACCCTTTTATATTTAAAATGTTGACGGCAACAAAATGGCGGATTTCCTTAGTGAACAAGATTTTTTCTTAAATTGCTGATCTTTTAACTTGCATAAGTAGCATCAATCTATACTATGCCAATATTTCATTCACAACTTACCCTCTTACCATTTCTAAACTCTTGATGAGCTTCTTTATCTTCCATATTTTGACATTGCTATCTGCTGACGTTTCTTCGGACATCATACACGGCAACATTCTGAATAAAGAATAAATAAACGTAAAATATTGTTACTTTATGAAGAAAACACTTAACTGTAACTTAGTTCGAGAGGAAGGGACTCTTAACTCGCGGTTCTAACTGCTCAAATGCAAATCGAGTGATAATCAGACGAGAGGGCTGCCACCCGTGCTATAATATATAGTTTAAGCCAATAGTACTAGTACTATTGGCTTTAACATAGTGCGTTATATAGATAATATAGTACGAAATATAGAAAATTTGCATGTACTATATTCTCATCGCTAATTCAATAGTCGCACTTTTTTTACATTAACTGTAAACTGGAACATATCTACTGCGTGGCCTGGGGAATTTCAGAATAAAAAATAACATCCTTGGTCTGTTGTTTTGATTGACATAAATATTATATTATAAATGTATTGACATAAAGCATGAAATTATAGTACAAATACTAGAATTATAGTACAAAATCCTTTTATACTTAACATTTTGATGGCAACAAAATGGTGGATTTCCTTAGTGAAAAAGTTTTTTAAATTGCTGATCTTTTAACCTCCATAAGTAGCATCTATCTATACTATGAGCCAATATTTCAGCCACTACTTACCCTCTTGCCATCTTCCCTAATTTGTGCGTTCTGCTGACGTTTCTTCGGACATCTTCATACACGACAAAACTCTGAATAACGAATACATAAACGTAAAAGTTTGTTAATTTGTGAAGAAAACACTTAACTGTAACTTAGTTCGAGAGAAAGGGACTCTTAACTCGCGGTTCTAACTGTTCAAATGCAGATCGATCGATAATCAGACTAGAGGGTTGCCACTCGTACTATAATGTATAGTATAAGCCAATAGTACTATATAATATAGAAAAATAATATAGTATGAAATATAGAAAAATATCACATACTATATATACGAATTTTTGAAGGTGAAAACTTAAAACATATGAGTCATTGTCATACAGTACCGACCTGGCCTGGCACCTTGTGATTTTTTTCTGTTCCCAAAAATTAAGAAACGATTACGCGGTCAACGATTTTCATCACCAGAAGAAGCTGTCGAAGAGTAGGAAAAACCAGAGTCGCCATAGAGGTGTGGTGCAAATGTTTTCGAAATTCATGTGTCTGAAAAGTACATTTATGCAAAGGGCATGCATTTTGAGAAACAATTAATTCATTTTTTACCTTTAATAATGTTTTTTTCTTATTAATTTCTGGAATTTTAGTGCGCCCCACGTTATACGCGCCGAACGGCAGGCCTCTAATATTTTATTTGTGAAGAAAAGTTGAATTTATATTTTCGAAAGAACGTCGACCGTTGACTAGTGATATATTCACTAAAAAAATGGTTGACAATTTGATATGACTTATGACAGTTTTGACACTTGTTTTATTTATGTTACGTTTTGATCAGATTATTTGTATATTTTCTATTTCTACAAAATCATTAATTTTTTTTCATGTATTTAATAAAGAAATAATTAAATAATTACAATGGAGAATCTTAAAAACATATGGAAACCTGAACGTTAGTTCATAACTAAGAAACAATTCTTTTTTTATGTGTTAACAGTTATTTCTTTAAATGTCTTATTATTTCGTAGTATATCGTATACAATTGGAAGCGCCGGTACCTAAACGTGTTACATGTGAAAATTTTCTGGAGAGACCTGAATTTTATGGAAAAGAATACCATGGAATTATGGGGCATAAGGAAGCTTCACTTTTACTTGAAAATGAGCCAAATGGGGCTTTCTTAATAAGAAAAGGAAATGAACACAATGATTTTTATACGTTAACGTGGAGGTTTGATTAATTTATGTTTTTTCTATAATTTTAAATGCAAAACTAAAATTTTATTTGCTGTTTCATTTTTATGTTAATTGTATAACCAGACTAATACCAAAAGTTTGAGATACAACATTTGTATTAAAAGGAATTTTATGTTTTTTATTGTCACATTTGTTGTATTATTTCACTCTGCAGATAAATTATATTTTTATAAGTAGTAGTTAGTTTTATTATTAATTATTAAATTTTATTAGTTAAAGTACTTTGTTTATAATTTTACTTGCATATCTTTTAAACTATTTTTGTTATTCAGATTTAATGATAAAATACATCATTACAAGCTTTATTATGATGGCACTCACTATATAAAGGATAAGAGATATGAGACAATCTTTGATTTGGTGGCCGATGGCCTGATAACTTGTCACATGGAGATCAAAGCGCATCACATCCTAGAGATGATAAACTCAAGGACCAGTTATACAGATAGTCCATATGTGACATTGAACAGACGTAAAATGAACACATTGTCTCAGATACATCAGTAAGTATGTAAAAATGTATATTGATGGAAAACAAAACAGGTTGCCGTTTTTAATTTAAAATGTGGGAGTTTAGCAATGTTTGATTAGTCTTTAAAAACCAAAATGATGTAATTTTATCATTTTGGGTTTTTTAAGAATTTGCATGTCATTCATTAATACCATGAAATAAAATTAAAAGTAAATATAATTATTAATACAATGTGCTGATTACTTTCATGTATCTAGTTTAATAAAACTAATTTACAACACAAACAACAATCAGTGGTTTGGCCAGTGACTATGAAAGCTGTACAATTTTATACTGTACAGCTATATAACTGTAAATTGGTTTTGTTAAAATATTCAATACTCATGTAAATAAGAAAGTTTTTACATATATTTTCATTGTTTTAGGGCATCAAACAGATCTAGTCCTGTTATTAACCTAGAGAACAAAACAAAACCAGACCCAACATTAAAAAAGACAAACTTTGACCTAACACCCACAATAGAAGATAATCCACTGTTGTGCAAGTACTCAAAATCCCATACTTTTAAAGTCCACACATTTAAGGGTCTTAATTGGTGTGAGCTGTGTGCTAACTTTCTCTGGGGCTTTACTGCACAGGGTGTCAAATGTGAAGGTAATTTTATGTAGTAAGAAATTTGTTAGCTGTCTTCTAATTTAATCCTAAAGGTTATGATTAATTACATGACTTTATATCGATTTTTTTATAACTAATGTGATTTTTTTTAAATGTCCAAAAACATTTAAATAAAATTTTAATTGACATTGCTGCTTTACTTCGTCATTAACCGCTTATTAGGATCTATAATTCTATAAAATCTAATATGTCTTCACTGGCTGCTAATACTTGAAACATAATGTAGTTACAGAACAGAAAAAAGCAGACATTTTATTTCAGACTGTGGCTTCATAGCCCATTCCAAATGCTCTGAACGTGTCCCAAACCACTGCTTACCGGATTTGAAGAAATTACGCGGCGTTTTCGGAATCGATCTCACAACGTTACTAAATGCGCACTCCAGCACACTGCCCTTTGTTGTGAGGAAGTGCGTAAATGAAATAGAGGCCAGGGGCATGGACTCTGAGGGCATCTATCGTGTGTCCGGATTCGCTGACGAGATTGAAGCGTTGAAAATGGCTTTCGATAAAGGTGCGATTTTTTCATCAAAGTTTTATCATGTCTTTGGGTTGATACAGTTTTATTTCAGCATATTCATTTTGAAAGTTTACGACGTAGACGTGACTCTATTTTTAAGTATTTGCTTGTCTGTGCTAAAAATGTGATTAGCTTTTTCATCTCTAAATCATAACGGAGTTACAGATACAGGGTGGCTTTTCTAAAGATGCCCAATTTCACACAGGAGGTTCAGACTCGGTAGTATAATTGTTTATTGAAATAAAAACAAGCTTTTTTTTTTTCAAAATTGCCATTCCATTCCCTAAAAAACAGAACTTGTTGACAATACGGTAGTCATTCATAAATACGTCGTATACTTTTGAAACGAACTTGTGTACGTGTTAGTAATGAATGATCGCGCGTAAAATTAATGAGTTGCCCATAAATCATGCACTTTTTGAGATAAGTTCAAATGAATGTCTTTAATTAATTACGAGTGATTTTAAATATTTATCATTTTTATATAACATTATTTATGTCTAGGATTTAATAAAAAAATGGATACACTTAGAAACGCCTGTATAATGTTGTCTGTGAGAATCACATACAGCAACATACAACTCAGTTATTGTATTTGAACTTAGGTTGAGACCATCCCTATCTATGTATAAGTAAGAGATATATTCATGTTGCGCCGTGTTTTAGGGACATTAGCGAGAATTTACTCGCTATTCTCTAAGTAGTATTACTTAGAGTTCTGGTTGCTCAGGTGCCGGGCGCTCGCTTATAATTCAATATACTAGCAACCTGAGTTCAAATGCCGGCATCAATGAAATTGTGTATTATACTTTTAAGTGCTGATTCATTACTGCTCACATAAAAACATAGTGAGGAAACCTATATACTTAAGATTTACTCATTTTATTCTTTTTCCTTTACCTAATGTATACTTGTGTGCGTTTGCAAGTATTCATTATAGTTGCCGCGGCTTAGTGCACAGATGTTGGAGTATAACGAATCTGTATTATATAAAAAAAACATTTTTGGAGAAAGTTAATTATTGTTCCCGTTGTAGACGGCGAAGCTACTGATCTCAGTGTATTCAGCAATATAAACGTGGTCGCTGGGACGCTGAAGTTGTATTTGCGGCTTCTGCCCGTGCCGCTAATCACGTACGAGGTTCATCCGAAACTCGTAAGTGCAATACGTAAGTATAATGTTCGGTAAAGTAAGATTGGTAATAGCGTTAAGCAGAGAAGAGTGTGTGAAGATAACGTGTGTGAAAGGTGTCAAAAGTATTGAGACAAAGGCAGATAGAGGTCTATGGAAGGAAAGGATATGCTGTGCCGACCCCACTTGGTGTTGGAGAATGCCAGGAGGAAAAAAGAAGAATTTCCGGTGAAGTAATGCCTTATCATAAGATGCCTGTGGTAGCCGATAGGTTGAAAGGGATTAATGGTGCCCCCGTCGCCGTACAGGTTACGAATTGGAGATTTCTATTGCAAGAAAATAGAAAAGCGAACTTATTACTACATCTCATGTTAAATCATGTCCGACCCTGTATAGGGCGGAATTTCGCACAATTTTTATTTAATAATATTAATTTATCACAATTTTTTTCTTTTCTATTGCAAAAGTAGCACATTGAATTCAGATATTGTTCTTTTTTTTTGTGAAAAGTTGGCCAGCGACCAGGCAGTTCGTATGATGTTAATGACTATACCTTTAAAAGTGGGCTCACTCACCAGACGAATGAGAAAGTGTTTTCCACTTTCCGCTGTTTTCTTTGAGGCGCTGATACTTGCTGTTGAGCCTGCCCATTCGTGCAACAGTAGAAGTTGCTGGGTGGCCCCAAATCAAATCTTTTTTAAATATATAAGCATTAAACTTACTTATTGATTGTCAAAAAACACTACTAACGGTTCGGAAAAAAGCCACTGAGAAGAATCTGTGAAAGGAACTGAAAGAAGAAATGAGTTCATCGGGACAATTTTTTTAACATAATTTGAAAAAACGAAATAACAAACATGTATACAATTATGTATTAAATTCCACTTGAAAGACCGTGGAGCGATCAATTAATTTCAATTGTGTTATCATTTCAGTAATAAACTAGGTTCAATACTTTGACGAGATGCAGTCGGAGCCCGCTGATGCGTTATTCAGGCTATATTGCTTGTCAGTTATAAGAATCTGGAGTTCCTCAGGGGTCCGTCCTTTCCGCAACTCTTTTCTTGCTGCATATCAACGATCTGCTCATGCCCGGTGTCTATGGGTACGCAGACGACAGCACAGTTGTGGAGAGATACCAACCGAGTCCTCGGGTCAGTAGAGATCACATCCAGTCCGAAAGAGAGGCCATGGTAGAGCGTTTGAATCTTACATTACAGGCGGTCTCTGAATGGGGCGATGACAATCTTGTGAGATTCAACGCCTCCAAAATGCAGGCGTGTCTTTTTTCCGCAAAAAGAAGCCCTTTCAACTTGGCTCCTACTTTCCAGAATGTGTCCTTGGAGTTTACCGACCGCCTTCAGTTGTTGGGGGTCGAAATATCCTCAAACCTCAACTTTGGGCGGTTCATTGAGTCTAAAGCCAGGGTAGCTGCAAGGAAGTTAGGCGTCCTTGCAAAGGTGCGACGGTACTTCACGCCGGGACAGCTTCTTGTTCTATACAAGGCTCAAGTTCGATCGTGTGTGGAGTACTGTTGCCATATCTGGGCTGGGGCTGCAAAATGCCATCTGGCTGCCTAGGACACAATGGAGAGGCGTGCGGAAAGGCTCATTGGTGACCATAACTTGGTTAAAACCAATCTCACTAGCCTTGAGCACAGGCGCAGAATCGCCAGCCTCTCGGTTTTCTACAGGATACATTTTGGAGAGTGTGCGTTGGAGTTACATGATCTTATTCCTCCCGCCCCTTTCCATCATCGGACAACAAGGCGTTAGGCTCCATCCTTATGCTGTCGACGTCCCACGTTACAAGAACAAAGCGATTCGCTTCTTCATTTATCATCCGTACAGTTAAGGAATGGAATAGCCAGCCGGCGTCCGTCTTTCCGTCCAAATACAACGTTGGCGTCTTGAAGGCAAGAGTGAATAGGTTTCTACTGAGCTAGCGCGCTTACCATCAACGGCTGCATCGCCACTTACCATCAGGTGGGATGACAGTCAAGTACTAGCCAGTTTTTTAATTAAAAAAAAATCGTTATAACAATATTGCCGCGAGATAATGTTTGCGAACTTCTTGGACGATCGACGAAACGGAGATATCGGATATTGTACACAATGATTGTGTCCTTATTTTAACAGAGCTAAAAACGACGGCCGTGCAAGTGACAATCCTCCGCGAATGCTTGGACTCACTGCCCCCGGCCCACTTCAACTGCCTTCAATACATGGTGCAGCATTTACACCGGTACGTATATTATTAGTCCGAATTAATACTTGAAATAAAATATTTAATCTAATCAAGTAGTTTATTAAAAAAATTGCCGTTACTGTAGGATAACATTATCCTGTGTTGTAAGGACATTTAACAAACAAATTTCACGTGGACAGATTCGAAACAATTATCTGTTGTTTAAGCGAATTTCATCCCGTGGGGTGGTAGGATCGAACCGACGACCCGTGGTGCAACTCCGACAGGCGCGGGTCTAGTTTATTTAATTATGGTCAGTTCACTCTAGACCTGATCTAGAGTGAACTGACCATAATTAAATAATAGAATAAAACGTTATAGTTTCTATGCGTTTTTATTTTGTAGTCGGCAATCCAGATTGAAATTAAATGTGGCCGGTTTCTAATTTCTATCTACAGATAATTTCAATATTCTATCTACAGATAGGTTTGGTTACTGGAGATAGAATTTTGACGTAAGTATTATGGAGCTGATGTCAAATACCTATCGCTAGTAATTAAACTATCTGTAGATAGAATCAATATTCGGTTTCAATAAACCAACCGCAATGGGTATTAACAATCATAAAATTAACTAGAAAGAGTTCATCACATTCAGTACATCCCGTTTAAATATTTAAAATAGGAAACTAAATAGAACTTTATCATGAATTATATTATTTATTTATTTATTCCAGAGTATCTCTGCTGGCGGAGGTGAACAAGATGAGTGCACACAATCTGAGCACGGTGTTCGCCCCCACGCTGGTGGCGACGCCCCCTGCCATCACCGACCTGGCCTTCGAGATCCGGGCATTGCAGGCACTTATAGAACATTGCCCGCAGATATACTATGGGAACAAGTGAAATTGCCCACACCCACAATAGTCTACATACTGCAGATGCTATTATATTGTGAGATATATGATATATCAATAACTTTTCGGTGCAGAACTATTTTTAGCGTGCCTGAGGTTATTTAGAGGTCTTTGTCTCTCCCCAAAGAGCCTATAGTAAGACATATATTTGATTTTTTGTTATATTGAAAGTAACAGACTTTTAATGTACAATAATAAGTAAAACAAAAGCAAATTAGCCAAAAATGTCCCAGCAGTGTAAGACAATATGATATTAAAAATCTCATTATGTTCTAAATTGGTAATAAAAATTGAAGTACCCAAGGCATTACAGGAGGTGGAGTAGAATTATGTGTATATTGTTGGGTAAGGTAACCAAGTCCATTATTTTAAGGTTGACAATGCATCCAAGTGTATTATGGATATCCAAGACTTTAAGTACTTACATCAGATGAACCATCTAATACTTGCATAAATATGCTAAAGGAATTGAGGGAAAAGAATTACAGACCCCATTTCTGTGCGGCTAAACTAACAAATTTATTGCCATGTAGTTACTATTTATTACTAATCTCATAACCTTTTATTGTATGTACGTAAACTATGTTATGCAATGTGTGTGTTTATTGTATGTAGGACAGAACTGTTTTTTTTTATGTGCAATATTTCATTTATATGGTAATTTTGTGATACTTATCTATTGGTTCTTTAAATATTGAAACAATTCCAGGTTGTATTTATTTTACAGTCAATATAATCACATCATGTAGTCAAATTTAAGAATCTGATTTCATATATTTTATACTTTTATATTTGAACAGTTTTGAATATTTAATGATTACATACATCTACTTTTATTTGTGTCTTCTTTTTTTCCTTGGTTTATCATTTTGAACTCCATCAGAGTTTTCTGTATTCTGAAACTTTTTTAAGTCTGCACAGAATAATACCTATAAAAAAGACAACATGATTATATGGAAGTAATTATCGAAACATTATTATTAGAAACAAGCATGAGCATTGTGTTTATACTTATTGCATTATGTTATAGAAGTTAATATTAGTTTCCTTGAATGCAGACATAATACTGCCTATTTTCTTATATTGATATAAAGTTTTAGAAAGAGTGATGTAAAATGTCTGAACATTAAATTTTTACTTAAATGGAGCTCTCAGAAAAGGTGTTTAATATGAAACAGAGACTCTCTTTGTATAGAAGTGAGAAGTGGATACCTAAATAAGGTGAAATGGATTGTCTATCCCTATGTTGCAACATTTACATTGTAATTAATTATACAAGAAAGCCTTGATTGTTTCATGACAACCACATTAAATAATTGAAAATGAGTCTACCGTATGTGCCCAACCAGCCAGTTCCCCATACAGATTTCTAAAATGGTCTCCAATCTCCGCATAGATTTTGTCTGTGACATTCTTTTTGCCTTTAAGATGTGGTAAGTAATTTTGTGCTGCAATTTGATAGACATGAGTGTCTACAGGCAGTGCTTCTAGATGATTCAGCGACATTAAACATATGCAATCAGCAACCTAAAAATTTAAGATTTACATCTTTACAATCTACATCATTGACACCACATTGTGGTAAACAATTTTCATTTTAGTACAAATTCATGCAATGCTACAAGTGGTGTCATATTAATCTGCAGATAAAAGATTTTTACATTGTTACATTGTTTCTGTGAATAATTTTTTTTCATAGGATTTCCATCCTTTCATAATGGTCACTAGTTAAATATAAAAATTATGAATGCCTAAAATGATTAAGTACAAAATACTACACCTTAGGGCCTATTCCACAAAGTTTCATAAGTTCTTGCCTGGCATCTTTATATTTCATTTCCTGCAAGCTATCAAACCATGTTATTCCACCCCATTCAACAATTTGAGCAGCTGACTTTTGTATAAATTTTGCTCTGTATCCAAAACCAAGATCCCGAAGTTTTGATTCCACCTAAAAATTTTAGTCACTATTAACTGGTAAAATATATGTGCAATTGGGTTGAAATTATAATTATTAACAAAAACTTTTTAACCACAGTAAAGTTTCATTACATATTAACAGTATTGTTTTATCAGATCTACTTTGAATCGAATCTTTCTAGATTAACATAAGAGTATATACTATACGAATTGGTTTAATCAATTAATCCAGAAATATTCTGTCTAAGTGTTTATTGGCTCAAGTACTTTAACAGCAAATGAAGTAGGTATATGAGATTGGAATACGCAAAACAATCTACTTGATCCTACCTGTGGTATTGCCAACATCTCTACTTCTGGAAATGAATAGTATTTAACACCATCATGTTCACAAATCTTCTCTCCATAGAATGTGCACAACTTCTCAACCATACTAGATATCCTAGAATACATTTGGGATATTTTAAACTTATAGTTTACACTATCTAATTCATTCAATTGGTTACTAATGGTTATGCTTACCTTGAAATATGATTGTTTTGACTGCAAATAAAGGAAAATAGATTTTCAATTGGTTCCTGAGCTAGCATTCTGATACCATAAAATTGTTTACATGACAGCTCAAACAATTTATCTTTTTCTGACCATTCTTTATAATACTTCGAGAGGCTCATGTCAAGACGAAAATATTTTCTTAGTAAAGCTTCGTATGTTTCTATTGTAGAAGTCTTTTGCATTTTTTTATCTAACTTACTTTCCAAAGTGCCAAGAACTTGATAATGTAAGATATCTTCAGTCTGTCTTAACTTCCATACGGTTTTATTAAATATGCCAGTCCAAACATCACTTTCCTTATCGTACGTCCATCTAAATCCCAATTTAGTTATATGAAAGAAAGCCAGAATAATAAAGTTATTATTAAATTAAAAATGTGTTTACCTAAAACTTTGTCCACCATTTAGAGTGCCGAGCAACTGGAGCTCATTTCTATTACAGGTTAACTTATTCCAAATCATAATTTTAAGAAACCAAATATGCTTCTTGCTGTGGCATAATTTGTAATTAAAAACCGCGCGAAAAATTTACATCTTGCAGCTTAATTCACAGCCTGTCAAAGATGACACTGACAGTTAGGGATGCCGAAAAAACATCGATATATCGATATGTTTTTTAAATATATCGATATTTTTGGCATATATATATTTTGATCCGATATTTTTGTTCAAACTGATTCAAAGCCGTAAAAGATAAAAATTAACGGAAACAACTTTTGTATAAATACCAGTATCATCGCGGATGCATAGTTGCATTTTGTACTATAGTTATGGTATTTAAATTACAATTTAATACTTCGTGCTTTATACTTGAAATAAGAGAAAACCTTTGAATATAAGAGTTTAACAAGCTAAAATTAACAGAAAAATTAGTTTTGGTTACACAATACATCGACAAAGACACTAACAAAACAGATTGACAATGACATCAGCTTATGGCTGCTAGTTTCAAGTAAGAAGTTTACATCATTCTCCCGCATTATTTTAAAACATAATCTTTTAAAAATTCTGGTGTTTTACGGACGCGGCCAGATCTACTAAGTATTGGCTCCGACGGTGGTGATGATGGTAACTCGGTCTCTAGCTCTCTGCTATTATCACGTATAACAGGTCCCGTCTCATTAGATGAAGGAAGTGGTTCTGCGACGTTATGATAATCAGTAGTGTGTTCATTATCTATTCGCAGATCTACCCCTACTGAACCCAATGGTGCTAGATGACGACGCGACACCGTTGTTTCTCGGCCATCTGGGAACCGAATGTGTGAAAATTCAGGATTGCTGTGTATCAATTCAACCTCTTCTACTAATGGCTGATATTTATTTGTACGATTAAATTTCTTCATCAATACTTGTCTAGAATTTACTTGACTTGTTCCATTGTAAGCCACGATGGAACAGAAAATTGAAAATTCGTCAATCACGGTAAGTATGAATTTGTTATTATTGTTTGATGGAACTGGTCCTTTAAAATCTATGCTAAGGCGTTCAAAAGCAGCCGTCTTTTTAACAAATTTCCTCTGGTCATCAAAGGTATTATGGAAGAATCTAGGTTTTACTTCAGAACAGGTTCGACATGATTTTGTCCTTGTTCTGACTTCTTCAATGGAATAGGGAAGGTTTTTAGAGCGAACCCAGTGAAACATTCTCGTTACCCCTGGTTGACAAAGAGCCTCATGCAGCGAGAAAAGTTTAGCAGTACGTGTTTCTACAGTGGCACAAACTCGGGATAGTGCATCAGCAGCATAGTTCTCTTTCCCCGGTCTGTATATAATATCGTACTTGAAAGCAGCAAGTTCCAGTCGCCATCATCAGCATTTCTTTGAATCTTTTCATTCTTTACTCATGATTCTTACTTGAAAGTTTCATATTAAACATAAAAGAAACCGAGCGTTGGTCAGTTACCAACTTAAAGTGTTTACCAATAAGGTCTCCATTTCTTCGATCATTGAACAATGGCTTACGCTTCTTTTTCAATGGCGGAATGGTTTTGTTCGCTTGAATTCAAAGTTCTTGAGAAAAACGCCAATGGTCTAGAATTTTGCGTAAGTACTGCTGCAATGGAATGATCGGAAGCGTCAGTTTCGACTGTAAAAGGTATATTAACATCAATTGCATGTATAGAAAACTTTGCGTTATCATTTTTCAGGCCTTCGAAATATTTAATTTGCTCGCTTGTGAGCGGAGAAGTTGTTGTATTCGCAAGTGAGTGGATCCGTTCAGAAAAGTTTGGAATCCACTTAGAATAATGTGCGAACATGCCGAATGTCCTTCTTAAGGTCGGTAAATCGCTTGGTCGAGGTAAATTAATCAGTGGCTTGAGTAGCTCACTGTTAGGTTTAATTATGTGGTTTTAAATATTATAGCCTAGAATATTAATTAACTCTTGAGAAAATTTGTACACTCAGTGTTAAACTGTATTTCTTTGCGGCATTCGTAAAACTTTCTAGGTTATGATCGTGTTCTTCAAGTGTACGGCCAGAAATAGTTATATCATCAAGATACGCATAGTGTTTTGAAGCTTCTCTTTTCTTATAATCCAATCGATTGTTCATTGGAAGCTCGAAACACCATTTGTTACTCTAAAAAGAATACGCTTGAACTGGTACAAATTTCCCAGCGCTTCAAAAGCGGTAAATTTCCTTTCTTCGGGTAGAATAGGTACTTGATGGTACGCGCTTTTCAGGTCTATTAGGCTGAAAAATGTATTCTTTGCCACTTTCGAAACTAAGTCCTCAATGTTTGGTAAAGGGTACGCGTCGAGTTCTGTGTAACCATTAATTGTCTGAGAGTAATCTTAATCACAAGGTGTTTTCTATGAATTTCGCTTTTTGTTATTAGTACTTAGGCCCTCCGGTATGGTGATTTACTTTCTTCAATCACGCCATCTGCAATAAGGTTTCTGATCTCCTCTTTAAAAAATTCACTATCCTCCTTGCTGTGCCTTCGAGACTTAATAGCAATAGGTTTGCAGTTGGGAGATACATTCGCAAAAAGCGGTACAGCTGGTACTGATGCTTAAGCTACATTACATACTTGAAGTGGATGTTTTGGCCCACTGAAAGAGAACTCTAGCGATGAATATTCTTTGAGGACGTCATGGCCAATAATTATGTCAACACATAGATTTTTCACGGTAAGAAGATTCGACATACCATATCTATGATTTCCGATTTCCAGGGTTTGCAAAGTTTGACCTTCTACTTGTGAAGTATGATTAAGAGAGGCCATAGAAATAATCGATTGCAGGATTTTCTTTTTAACCCGCAAAGTCTTGCAAAGCTGTCATTTATAAAACTGACAGAGCTGACAAGTCTTTTCAAATGCATGGCAGTCCTTACGAGGATGTATTTGTTCCCCACAAAAGAAACATTTTCGTCGTCGAGGATTATTAACAGAAGAGCAGGTCTCGTCGTGCACAGTTTGTGGTTTCGGAGAGTCTAATGTTGGTTCTTTTGGGGCAACAGCATTTCGGCAAAATACACAGTATTGAAGCTTTGAGAGTTGATCTCTGCAATTTCTAGAGAGAGTGCTTGATTGTAAGCTTGATCAAGTGTTAGAGTTAAGTTTTCTAAAAGCCTTTGTCTGATTTTATGCGATAATATACCGGATATGAAAGCATCACGCACGCTATCGTTTTTGTTTGTTTCTGCATCTAAAGCCGCAAAGTCACAATCTTTAGAAAGTAGTTTCAAAGCTTGTAAATATGTGTGGATACTTTCTTCTGGTCGTTGTTTCCTTGTTGCTAACATGTGTCTAGAAAAAAATCACATTTTTTGGTTTTACATACAGTTTTTGCAGTATTGTGATCGCTTCTTCATAGTTCGTGGCTTCGCTTATATATATGTAGATATTTGGTGATATTTGATTTACCAAAAGTTGAAACTTCATGTCGTCCCATTTTTCTGGCGGAAGAACCGACTGTGCATCTGTTTCTGGAGCGGTCGGTTTCTGCTAGGTTTCTGTAGAGACCGAGTTACCATCATCACCACCGCCGGAGCCAATACTTAGTAGATCTGGCCGCGTCCGTAAAACACCAGAATTTTTAAAAGTTTATGTTTTAAAATAGTGCGGGACAATGATGTAAACTTCTTACTTGAAACTAGCAGCCATAAGCTGATGTCATTGTCAATCTGTTTTGTTAGTGTCTTTGTCAATGTATCTAATGTAAACAAAACTAATTTGACTGTTAATTTTAGTTTATTAAATTGAAATAAGCGAAAACCTTTAATGAATATAAGGTTGGATGGAAACTCTTTCGTAATGTGTTAATTGGTAAATTGTTATTTGTTTTTTTGGTAAATTGGCAGCAATTTTAGTCTTGACACTGACCTCAAAATAAATTTAACGTGAGAAAATTTTTGCTCCATGATTCATTATGATTCGTGGTCGTAATAAACGACAAAACTATGATAGACTTCAATTGGCATTTAATAATAAAGCGTGGGGATTTGTGCCACTAACACTATTTACAATTGGATAAATGAGTTTAAGGGTCGCCATAGTAATGTGCGTGAGGGACGTTCTTACAGCGATATCTGAAGATAGCCATAGTCTTGTACAACCCATGATAGAGGAATATAAGACAGTGACCTACCAGCAGTTTCGGGTCTAGTTTAGGCAATGGTATGAATCAAGTTAAAAAAATATAACATAACCATTTAGACCGTACCAGAAAGTTTTGTACGAGATGGATTCTCCATACTTGCGAAGACTAGAAATGTCTAGTCATGGATTGGTGACGTGAACTATTAGAGTACAACGGAGGTGACTGTATTTTGTTTATTTCACTTCGTCACATGTGATTAAAGCTGGGTATATTGTTACGAGCCCAAAACCCCTTGTTCCGTTTGTTGATTGGTAATCTCAGATTATACATACTCTTTTGATGTCAACTCTGACCTGTTTGGCTTATGTATTAATGTTTGAATTACTTTAAATTAAATTTGGAATGTTAGTTTTATTTGTTCAGACTGAATTGTGTCATGTTTGATTAATTCCGTAAAAATCATTTGTAGAAGTAACATGTCTAGCTGTCTGACATAACTCTTGTATTTTATATAAATTTCATAATCATTACGTTTGGTCTAAAATAAGTTCAAAATGTTTAAGTTGAAATAAACAGTTTTCTTATCACTCCTTAAGTGTCTTTTTGGTTTGAGAGCGATCCCATTAGCCACATCCACCATTCAAGACCGTTTTGAGGTTCGGCTAACTAAAGAAAAGAAAGAGTCAATGAAAAAATTATTGCCTCGTTCATTGGTCGGAAAGGTAAATTCGTTGTGCTAGATAATTGATGGACAGTTACTACAAACTGGTATGTTAACTGTTGTTTGCTGTCTTGCAAAATGTTCAACATCAGCGTCATCGAAGCAGGAGCCTTCTTTCCACGACAACGCTTCAGCGCACTCCGCGAAAGGAACGGTTGAACATTTGACTATGGCAGGTGTCGAGATAATCCGCCATATAGGTAGTCCGTGGTAGCGTAATGGGTAAACTTACTTTGAATTACCTGAAGTTTATGAAAGTTTGTAGGGGTTGACCAGAATTTAATTTTACTATCCAATAACCGCCGTTACTGTTATTCCACCACTACTGACTAGTACTCATCTCCTTTTTACGGATGTTTTTTATACAGAGATTGTTCTCCTTACCTCTATTCTCCCCATGGAGAATAGAAGAACAATAAAAAAACATCAACACAACATACAAATCCAAACATCGAGAGAATGCCCATCTCATATCTTTAGCCAACCTTTGAATAACAATCGACGCCGCTGATACCACCCGTATGCTGGAGTTTCACAGCGCGTAGCGGACAATAGCCTTATTTTCGTTATGCCTGCATGTCTACAAGCCTGACTCAGCTCTGCTTTGATAAATTCTGTCTAGAAAGTCCACGAATATTGTGTCCGATAAAGCTTTGTATATATATATCTTCTAAACACTGAACACGCAAACATCTCCAGAGAATACTTACGTCTTGTGTACGGGATGTTTCAAAAATGGGATCGACTGATCGACATAGGAAGTGATTAGGGATTTGGTTTGAGAATTGCCACCACATGTGTATTTCAAATATTAAATTATATTTTTAAAAAATAAACTTACTTTTTTTTCTAAAGCTTAAAGCTAACAATTATCAGTTTTGTATACTATATTATATTTTTAAACAGTGATTAGAGTTGATTGCGGAATAATGTAAAAATGGTTTGTTACCAATACATAGATTTTAAAAAATAAATAAAAAGTATAAAAGTCACGGTTCTTTAACAGATAGTCTTAATATTAAAATTGCATATATTTATGAATCCACCGCGTGTATTTGGCGGCATCCGTGAACACGACATACTCGTCGAGATTGCACCTCTTTTCGGCCGATTTCGATGACAACGCGAGGGAGACTATACCCCTGAGCTTCCAACGGCCGTCGTCTATGACGTATAGACCACCACCTGAATCCCCAGAGCAAGGCCCCGTGCCATCGCGATTACCTAAGAAATAATAAGATATAAAAGTAGACGATATATTTTTTACTGGTAGAAAATGTTATAAAGTCGGTAAAACGGTATTCACTCGTTACAAAGCACCTTTTTAGTTGACGTAGAGTCTATAGCATCCGCCTGTATATAAGTCCCATTTTTGGACAAAGACCTCCTGCTTAATCGGTAGAACGGCAAAGTCCACCACATGACCTCAAGGTGGATAGACAGATTTCACGAATAATTTTTTTTCATTATTTTTAAAATTGTAAAACTCATTTTCCATGGATGGCGTCTAATCCAAATGGACTTGGACCGTTTTCTACTTTTCAAAGCTATGGATGGATGTTAACTAAACGTACTGCCGGGTCAGTTGTCAAACTTATCGCATCTAAAAGTTTTTGGGTATTTATTGCTTGAAAAATAGAGGAAACTTAACAGGTTCACGCAACAACTTCACCACGACCTCACAGAAAACCGGCGTGAAGTGGAAGTATCATACTCGCAGTTCGTCTGGTGAGTGAGGTAACCGGGGCACCAAATTTTATAAAGATTCTGCAATCCTTCTCGGGTCCATGGACGGCAATATTCACTTAACATCAGGTGAACCATCATCTCGCTTGACAACTTTTTATACAAAGATTTTTATTAATGAAAAAACAAAACCGACCTCAAATATCTCGCTCTGTATTATTGTTATAATTGATTTTTAGGAGTTCCCTAAGTATCTCCGAAGCCCAAGAGAGACAAAACATCGTGAGGGACCTGCATATATTGTCGAAATAATTACATAAAAAATACTTCGAAGGTATGTGTAGTCCGCCAATCCACAGTGGGGTCGCGAGGTTGCCTTGGCCCAGCTGTGAGACATATATGTATAGGCCGTAACTTTACTTTACTTTTTTAAATGAACAATGGAGCTACCTGCGCACAGCGTTCTGTCTGATGTGAGTTTGTAGAGGTCCGGTGTGCTAGCCCGGCAGTCGTCGGTGCTGACTATTGGCATTCGGATCATACGCGGATCACCGTGCCCCCCTCTCCCGAACTCGTTATCACCCCAACCAGTAACCTGTACAAGTTGCCAAGGAATTAAGTGTATAATGATAAATAATGACTCGTTATGAAGGTCATTTAAAAATGACTAAGTAGTTAAGTTTAAAATAGCATCAAATTTTACGAGAGCTTAGCAATAGTTTAGTAATGAATTCAGTGATATTATATAGTACCCGGAGGACCGAGCTTTGCTCGGTTTGTTTTTTTTTTTTTGGTAAATCGTGTATTTTGGAAATTACATTTAGATACAAATTACTGCGTAATGAAATATGCATAATATTTTTCGATCTTACCGACGTAATAATAAGAAAATATGAACTGATGTTTTTCACAAAAGAAAGAACTTTAAAAAAAAGGGAAAAAAGTAAGAAAATAACAAATCGACAAAAATTTAAAATAAAGAAAGCAATGATCTGGAATCGAAAAAAAAGGAAAAAAAAATGTGTAATTGATCGTGACGCGAACCACGGCCGTCTGTTTTGGGGCCGCCCGATTACCGACCGAGCTATTATGACATTTTCTCTTGCGGCGAAATTTACCGTCATATTCGAATTATATTTTTCATTCCCTGAAAACAGGGATAAAAGGACATTTTTTAAAAATGAAACCTAGCTAGATTGATATTTCGCCCCCGAATCTATGCACATACTAAATTTCATGAAAATCGCTGGAGCCGTTTCCGAGATTCCGATTATATATACAAGAATTGCTCGTTTAAAGGATAAGATTGACTGCATGATATTATTGTAATGGGGACTGAACGTGGTGACACTATACATCACATATTATTCACAAATACAGTTCTGTTGATAAGAAACTATTTTTCGGTTAAGACCGTCCTCAAGGGCACCCCCCCCCCTTTTGTTCTTTCAACCCTAATTTATTAAACATTTGTTTTTTTTTACTTTATATTTTATAAATTTTAAAGTTTTTTTATAGTGCTAATCTCTGCACTTAAGATTGAACATTAAAACATGTAGAAAAAGTACGAAAAGATTGTCGCCGCTGTGGGAATCGAACCCACGTCTTCGGCATTCGCGGCCTGACGCTCTAGCCACTGAGCTAAACGGCTGATAGCCACAGCGACGAAAATCTTAACGCCTTCTTTCTACATTGTTATTTAGCATTTGAAGCAATGCTTGGCGCATCTATTGTTATATCCTTTCCAGCATACAAACAATTTCGAATATCGTTTTACAACGATAATTCGAACGAGAGATGTCGCCATTGCTTTTTATAAATTTTAAAGTTTTTTATAGTGCTAATCTCTGCACTTAAGATTGAACATTAAAACATGTAGAAAAAGTACGAAAAGATTGTCGCCGCTGTGGGAATCGTGTGGAATTAATAATCTATGAGAGGACTTCGGATTGTAATTTAAAACTATCTAACTAATTTCTTTGTGTTATCAATACGAGTAAAAAGAGGAAAATTAATTTTCTTTGCGAGCCGTACTTGACAGATCGTTGTCATTGTGGCCATTGACTTTCCTTTTGTTTTTAGAAACGCATTATGCTATAGTTGTGGAACTGGAAATCTTTAGAGGAGGCCTTTGTCGACAGTTTTTAGAATGTAGATATTTATTAATTGTACGGAAAGAAACAGCAATAAAGGCTATTTTATTTTATTTTATTTATTTTTATTATACTTTAGTCGAAATAAGTTCGTCGACAATATCGCCTCTAGTCTTCTACTAATTTCTCCATATAAAACAAAAGAAACTGAACTCTAACAATTTAATCGTTGTTTATACGAAAAAAATAACTATTAGATAAATTAGATAAGATTATTTTTAGTAATTTGTAATGTTCGCAAATACAAAAAACATAACATAAATAAATTATTACATTAACTTCTGGATAAAAGTTTAAATAACTTACCACTCCAGTGTGACCAACGATTCTATTTAAATCGGTGTTTGTCCCCCAGAGGCATATCGGCTTTATGTTGGTATTGAACTGCACTGATTGCTCCAGTGTGAATAGAGAAATGTCATCTGTTTGATAGACAGAAAATGTTTTGATCCTAGAGAATTGAAAATATCGTGTACTTTTTCTTCGAAATTTCCGAACTTCAACCATTTTGTTCTTGAACAGCCTCATTAAAATATTACATAAATTAATCATATTTACTTAGACATATTTACGGTGGGTGGAAAAGCGAAATGGGTCTGTAAAGGTAGAGTCTAAGACATTTCCCAGGATATTATTTATTTCTAAAACTGAGCAATCGGTGTTTGATGATAGGAGGACCACTGCCCGCTGTAAGCATATTCGATGTCTTTTGTAAGATTTAATTTAGTTTACTGATAATTTATCTTTAGTGAACATTTCCTATTTTTTTTATTTTAGTTTATAAGTGTGATTAACTCTTTTTACCAATGTTGTGTATACCTGTAATAGGTATATACAGCGAGTCGTTACAACCGCGACAATAAGTGAACACACGTCTAACGCTACATTTCAATAATCATAAAAAAATATTAACGTTAAACAAAATCCATAATAAAAAAAAAAAATAAGGAACTTCGTTCCAATATTTTTCAAACAAACTAATTAAGTAAAAAAGAAACAAAATTTGTAACATCCTATACAACTACAACTGACTGATTCATACATTCCGAGACTTTTTCATTCGTTGCGTCGCATTACAAGCCTCTCCTTCTAACAGTATGTTTTGTCTTTTTTAAATTGATTCAACCCATTCATATGCTTTGTGACCTTTACAAATGAACTTTATGTTACATAAAACTGTAAGGGTTCTAAAATTGTTTGTTTTAGAAAATTTAATAACTCTGTTAATATTGATGTTTGAAGAATGTAAATGTTTAATACAATTTTAAAAAGTTAACCTCTATATGTGTGTTCATTTACTGTCGCGATTGTAAAGACACGCTGTATATATAAGAACACATAAATTTTATACTATATTTTGTGCTGTTGTTGTACCTAACAAAAAATAAATAAATCATAAATGAGATTTTTAATTTAAAGTCCTCGGAAGTTTTTCGTTAAATTAATCCCTATGAGGCCGTAATCATAGTCGGAGACGGATTTTTTTTTGAACATTGCCTTTACTTTAGTATATCATTATCCTGTGTTGTAAGAACGTTTTACAAACATTAATTTCACGCGAACAAACACATGCGATGCGAAACATCTATTTGTGGGTCACACAAATAGTTGTCCCGTGTGAATCCTTGATAACTGCGCCAGGGAGTCATCATTATGGCCTAGTACTGTATGAAAAGACGATATAAAGCCTTAGACGATAAGTTGACCTTACTTGCTAAATTCGTTTTGTTGAATTGCTCATGCACCACCGCCGACTGCAGTTTCTTCACCACTACATCGCCACCCCATTCCTCCAGGTTAAAAACTCCTAGTTTCACAACAATGTCGGAGGCTTCCTTATTTTGCATGCAATGGGCGGCTGTGAAACAATATATTACTATACCTGAATAATTTAAATACAAAAAAATAACTATGTTCTACTGTTGCACGAAGGGAGAAGGACTCTTCCAGGGTGCCTCCATGACTTTATGGCAGACCAGTATGAAGTGGATGTATTAAACCAGGGCTCACTTACTCACCCGTCTGTCACCAGGCTGTATCTCATAAGCCGTAATATTTGGACATTTGAAATTTTCACAGATGATATATTTCTGTTGCCGCTATAACAACAAATACTAAAAAACAGAATAAAAAACATAATTGAGTCTTCCATACAACGGACATGATTTTTTGCTGTTTTTATAGATAATGGTACGGAACACTTCGTGCGCGAGTCTGATTCGCACTTATCGGTTTTATTTTATTAAGGTATAAAAATGTTCAAAAATTGATATAACATATAAAATATAAATAAAATCCGTGTCCCCTTTTAATCGCCTTTTACGACAGGCAGAGGACACCTTAGCTCTATTCTATGAGCCCGAGACTACAAGGGCTGCTTTGCTCCACCCCTGGGCCGACGATGTGTATAGAGGAGGCCTTTGCCCAGCAGTGGGACATATATAACGTGTTTATTACTTAGACTACTTTGTTACCTGTTATTACGTGTCGGTCCGAGACGAGGGTGCCTGAGCATACGAAATTGAGCTGGCGCGCTCCAGTCTGGTAAATCGCCACCAGCCAGGGCCACTCGCCGGGCGAGTAGCTGTGGCCGTGCCAGATGAGGGCTACTTCCTTCCTGGCTTTGCCGCATCCCTCATTTGACGAGAATTGGGAATCGCCTGCAACAACCGGTGCAGGTGTGCGCGCCCTGTGAAGATATAAAGTGGGATATTCTTTATTCAGATAGACGCTTTCGCGTTCTTATGAAACGTCCAATTTTACATAAAAATTAATACATTAGTTCGTTAGGAAGTTACCACCGGTTCGGGAAACAGTTTCCGTTGTAAAGAAACGTAAAGAAACTCGGAAGAAACAGTTGCTCTATTTCACACACTCGCATTTCGCTCTATATCACACTATTATTAGTTTCATCTGTATGTATGTATGTAACGGAATCTTTAAGCGTGATTTTGCCCCACTTTGAACAACAAACACGCTTTTATACTTAGCAGAACTAAAAAATATAAAATAAATTATAATTTAAAAAAACAAACTAAGAAACACACTTTTTTAGATAACCGTTATAATTTTTAATAAATTTAAATTATGAATAGTGTGATTAATAAAAAAATAATATTGCAGAAAAGCATGGGATGCTTTTTATGATATTTCCATTATGACTTCTTTTACCGGTATACTGTATATATACAGTCATTACAATATAATTGCCTCCAAGCACGCGCTTTGATAAAATATTTTTTTTAATAATTTTTATATTATAATTTAAATTTATTGTTACCAAATGTTGTAAAATGTTCTTTTAAATTATTAAAAATATAGTTATAATTTAAAAGAAGTTTCGAATTCCAGAACTTATTTGAATATATAATAGTGAGTGGACAGTATAGTAGTTGGTGCGGGAAGTTGTGAAGCGTTGCACCAGTGGAAACGTACGTGGAGATTGGTGCGAGACGGGGCGCACCGGCAGTCGTGTCACTGTAAGATTGATCCGGAACGAGAGTCGTTGCACCGGTGGTAGTTGTAGGGACTAGAGCGGTATTGTGAGGGCCGCTGAGTACGTCTTTGTTGGCGACAATAAAGATAACATTTAAACGACTGGCTTTCACTCCAATCCCGAACCTCGTAACATTATTATAGTATTATTAATTTACATTTTCTACTTTTTAGTTTGGTTATCTACAAAGCTGTGTTTTTTTACTATTATTTATTTAATAAGATCAGTTTACAATATAACATGGTACAGGTATAATAGTCTTATTTTCGACTACATGAGTATCAAATCCAAACGTCGTCAAGATATTCCGCAATGGTATAACAAGCTTTAATCATAAGTTTACTTTTAATTTTGCGTTTAAATTGATCAAGTAGCGGAGTTATTATCGACTTTGGGATTTGATTATACATGCGCACACTATTCCCCATTTCATTTCGTGATAGCTCAGTGTCCGGGCACTCGCTTTTAATCCAACATAATTGAGTAACCTGAGTTCAATCTCCGGGGCCGGGGAAAGGACTCATCTGTACAGAGGATTTGGGCGTGACCCCACTTTGCATTGGTGGTGATCATAAAAAAGTGAAATTTGCAGGTTTCCCCAAAACGTTTTCCTTTTCCTGAGCACGTGAGAAGTCAGCACTTAAAATCAACGATTTCAGTGGCACCGGCACCGGAATTTGATCTCAGGTTGATCAAGTATATTCAACTAGCTGCTGCCCCCGACTACGACTGCGTAGAATAGGCTGAAGGCGTAACATTCAGACAGAAATACATTTATACTAAAAATATATATATAAATTATAGCCTATGTTTTACTCTTATGTATAAGCTATATTATTGTAAAGTTTCATTAAAATCCATTCAGTAGTATTTGCGTGAAAGAGTAACAAACATCCATCCATACATACAAATTTTCGCCTTTATAATATTAGTAAAAAAGTAAGGATTAAAAGCGTGCGCCCGGTCACTTAGTTATGGTTTGTGTAATTTCAGAAATCGAATGCCGCGATTTTTTCTTAACTCCCTCTATACTTACGGCGTTGGAGGCGGCCTGTATTGCTGCTCCTCCGGTTCCGGTTCAGGCCTTGGCGGTGGCCAGCGCCTGTTGGGCACCACCGCCGGCATTGGTCTCGTCACCTTGTCTGAGGGAGATCCAAATCGGTGGTAAAATATTGGTTCCTGTTGCAAGAGGAGGGACACTGCAAATCTGTCTTAAAGTAATCTGGAACGGTCGCGTGAATGCGTGAGATTTCACGTACATATTCTCATCTACAGAAATAATCACCGCGGAATATGCCCAGTTCGTCAATTGCGCAGTTATTATTTCTGTTAGGGACTATCGTTATGTTAGTTTTATCGTGGTACTTTTGTTTGCTTTAGCACAGTACCAATGGAAGGGCTTATTAAGATAAATTCATGTGCAAATGCATCATATTCTAACGACTAATCATCGTAGTAGTCAACTAATCACAAATGGCTTTTCAAATATTATTTGAGTTGCGCCCTGAGCCCTACGGCACGGCTCTTAGTGAGCCGTGATAGCTCAGTGTCCGGGCGCTCGCCTTTAATTCAATATACTCGAGCAACCTGAGTTCGATCCCCAAGGCCGGCACCAATGAAGTTTTTAACTTTAAGTGCTGACTTATCACGTGCTCTGCGGTGAAGGAAAACATCGTGAGGAAACCTGCATATTTTCGAAATAATAACAAAAATAAAATTATATATTTCGAAGATATGTGAAGTCCGCCAATCCGCAGTGGGGCCGAGTGGTGGACTATGCCCTGATACCCTCTGTATAGAGGAGGCCTTTGCCCAGCAGTGACAATCTATTAACTTTAAAAAGAAGAAATACGATTGTATTACAATTAAATTAATTGCTAAGAAAGTAATTCCTGATAATGCATGTATATCTGTTGTTAATAGGAGTTTTTAAATACGTCATTTACTCACAAATAGCTTTGTCAGTTGTGTCTTCAGTATTGGACTCTATGAGGACGGGCCTTGATGGACGCTTGAATGTAGTCGGTACTACCTTCGATCCCGTCTGCATAAACAACGAGTGCTGGAGTGTTATTGTCGTGATGTAATCGCTGGTTTCTAGTGTATCTGTTAGCAAAGAAAATCGTTATTTAGAAGAGTTTTTAATGATTAATCTTTAATGTTATCGGAGACGTCTCTTAGGGCATAGCTAGTTAATAAGACGTGTTAAAATTTAAATAATGAGATTTTTTAAAGATGTCTCAAATAAATTAAAAAAAATTTCTTACACAGAAATTTTTAAATTAGGCGTTAAGTGAAATGAAACTGAATGGCGGCTATTTAATTTATTTCCTATATTCACATAACCAACATTCTTTTCTGTTATCAATTAATTGTTCCTCTTAGAGTAAAGGTTGCATTAAATTTTCCAATCTTTATGGGATGGAATCAATATATTTATGTAGTTTTAAATTAATTAATGAGCATTCATTTGCATGAAACAATAAAATTTTAATGGATCACATAGATAATCGAATGAAAGTTTACTGGCTTTTAAATGGATCAATTGTTTTACCTGGATCATCAGAGCATACGAGATCGTCGTTAACATAAATTCCCGTAATCTTGGGTAGCGGTGAACTTATTGGAAAATTCACCCTATACATTATAGGTTTCCCGTGATTATATTCCAAAATGGCCTTGGTTCCTCCGTAGGGTTTAATATTTCCCACATAGTCCTAAAAACAAAACGTCTTACAAAATACACTTATATAAGATGTACATGCTTAGTTTTGTTATAATTTTTTTCAATTATGTTGCGTTTTTCTAATTAATACTTGATTGACACTGTATCTCCCAAGTGTCCATTTATTATCTAAACAAATGGATTTGTACTTTGCGTATACTGCAAATAGTTAGTGTTTAGTCATTATCGCCAGGAACGGCTTGTGATTATGATTTTCCTTAATAATACAAGTACATTGAATCATAATAGAAACTTTGATGGGTTTCCCAATAGCCGAAAAGTTATTCCGACTTAGGTTTATTGAAGTGATTTCATTTAAAAGTTGTTCGTTGTAATGTTCATAAATAACTAAGTTCGTTTGTTATGTACAAAAAGTACTGGCCAAGTGCGGGTCGGACTCACGCACGAAGAGTTCCGGCAAAAAAAATCATGTCTATTGTGTGGGAGCCCCACTTAACTATTTTTTATTTTGTTTTTTAGTATTTGTTGTTATAGCGGCAACAGAAATTGAAGACCTGTGAAAATTTCAACTGTCTAACTATTACGGTTCATAAGATACAGCCTGGTGACAGGCGGACAGACAGACAGACAGCGGAGTCTTAGTAATAGGGTCCCGTTTTACCCTTTGTGTACGTTCCTTCCTAAAAATCAATGTGATACGATCGCTTGAAATGTATTAATCATAAATTTCAATAGCAAAGGCGACATCTCTCGTTCAAATAGTAATGTTAAAATGTTATTTGAAAGAGGCATGCTGTAAAGTACACACACGCCAGAATTGCCAGAATACTATAAAGAAGCAAATGATTCTTCTTAGCTCAGAGCTTTAGAACCTCTGGGCGCGTTACTCGGAAGATGTACGTTCGAATCCGAAAACTGTTCTGTATAAATATACAATCTACAAAAAAAAATAGTAACGAAAAATAAAACCGACTACCTACAAATGTCTAGAAGCCTCCGAAGTCCAAGGTCCAATGCCAATCGAATTAATATGGAACCTCCTCCCATAGAAATAAATCAAATATTGGGTTCGATTTAGCAAAAATAAATTTTACGATTCAGAGATAGCAAACATTAAAAAAAAGGTCATTAAAATTTCATTAAAAAAGGGGTCATAGGAATAACATATTCCTCAGCCGTGGGCTTTCGGATACTTTGTTAATCTTTAAGAGTGCTGGCGTCGCTTACCCAAAGGCACCGGAAGAAATGAAAAAGTATTTTTTTATGTGAAAAGTTGACAAGCGAGCAGGCGGTTAACCTGATCTTAAGTGAATACCGCCGACCATGGACATCTGCTACTCCCGAGGTTTACAGATGCGTTGACAACCTTTTTTACATTGGGCTCCTGCTACCTCACTCACGAGACAAAACGCGCAAGTATTTGTCATACGTCCACTTTACGCCGGTCTTCTGTGAGGTCGCGGTACTTAACCGGACGAGCCTGCCCATTCGTGCAACAGCCGAGTCTGCTGCGTCGCCCTACCATAGTTAAGTAAAGTATACCTTGAGTTAAGTAAAAAATACACAATAATCCTGCTTTACGCCAAAAAAGTTATTTGCTTAACTTTCCATTTTATATTTTGTTTAAATATTAAATATTATTATAATAATAATCGCTGTATCTTCCAATTATTAAACCTTGCATCGACGTCGAAAGTCGGCATGATAGCCACCAAAATATAGATACGTCATTGCAGTCAAAATCTTTATGTATATAATATATAATTCTTCTGTACGTGTGTATGTCACTGAAACTCCTAAACGGCTGGACCGATTTTACTAAAATTTTGTCCGTGTCTTCAGATTGATTCGAGAATGACTTACATCCATATTCTAACTGCTCTCCTCGAAAATTCCTCCACTCGACTCAACCTCAAGTAATCGAATCGGTATTTTAAGACGTTTAAGCTTCCTCGAGACGAAGTGTTTCCTCACTTGAGTGGAGTAATCAGTTCAAACTCGAAGTACGTCCCGATCTACCTTAGAACTTTATCGAGATTGTTTTATACGTAAAATGTGCGATAACCGTGAAGATTTTGAAGCATTTATTTTTTATGATGAACCATACAATTTTCAAGCGAGGCAGTATTTGAGAGATGCAGAGAATCCTTTAGAATTTTATGACGCCGACGGGTTTCAGAAAAGGTTTCTTTTTAAAAAAGATACATTTATAAATTATAGGTATTCTGCCTTTAATAACCATAACATCAATAACAAATAACTGAGGACTTCCTATTCCACCAATATTAAATATAGCATGCGACATTGTTCCAGTAGTAAACGGAATGAATTAAGAAAAGATACTCAAACAATGAAATTCCAATTACCAAGCTAAGCCAAGTGGCCCAACTTTCAAAACTTGTCATTTTGTTATAAGAAAAATAAGTGTAAGTTTTTAATAATTTCAATTGCTGCATAAATTTATTTATTGCCCAAAATAAGTTAATATTAATTTAATATTATTGGAAATCTATTTATAATTACAAAACAATTGCATCAAAACGTAAAACTAGACTTCAAAATTAAAATTTATTCATACCATCTCAGCGTCATAACCCACAATAAAAAATTTCTTCCTCGAATCGATGACGTATCTATGACGTAGCACCTCGAGATTTTCTTATTTGAGGAACCTCGAAGTTTCGAGGAATGTCGAGTCAGGACGAGTCTAGGGAGCTCTGAGGAAAGGACTAAGAATATGTGGGTTAGATTCACAATTGGGTCCACTACAATTTTTATTTACATAATTATATAAACCTAGTTTTGTTTTGGCTATATATTCTCCGCTTTATACACGGTAACATATAAATACGTGTTACTTGGGAAACGGACGATAAAAAATAACCGGTTTTGATCGTTTTCCAAAACGAAAACCTGCTTAGAAGCGTTTAGTATTAGATGTTATAGATACGTAGCGTCGCATCATGCAAGCAGCGTCGTTTATACAACTAAGCTATTAAAAGTTTTCATCACGTCTTTTATTTACAATATTTTAGGTGTAACGTGATAGTAGAGTAATGGTAGAATTAATTTTATCATTTTTTCGATATTTTTTTATATGAGAACGGGGCAAGCGAGGTGGCGGTTCACCTGATGGTAAGAGATAACTGTCGCGCATAGACATCTGCAACGCCAGTAGGGTTGGGTCTATTTCCGTTCTCACCGTCAAGTGGGCCCCGGTTACCTCACTTACTAGACGAAGCGCAAACTGTAACCCGTCCACTTCACGCCGAACTTTTGTAAGATCCTGGTACTTCCCCGGACGAGTATGGCCATTCATGTAGTTGCCCCAACACGGTGTCTGGTGTTAATTTTGATCATTGAAATGGTAAATCTTAAATAATATAAGCCTCGTTCAGATTGGACAAAGTAACAAAAAATAATGAGCAGGATAAAAGAGAACATTTACTCAAAAGTTGTCCTTATATGAGAGCTAACTAAAAATTGCTTCAATCGATTCATAAAAAAAGCAACAAGCATCGCGCAACAAAATATCTACATTTACGTAAACGTTCTCGTTGACTAGGATAGTCGTAAGTCAAGCCTAGGCCGATGCAGAATATACACCATACGTATATCTCATGACGCCATTTAACTTCCTGTTTGACCTGTAAATCGCCATAATCGAAATCGGATTACACATCTATACTTTACGTCAACGCAGTTTGGGCAGCATTAAGGAAAAACGCGAATGGCCGTAACATTCTTAAAGAGAAACGTCATTCGCATATTGTTAAACGTATGTAACAAAAAAGTTTAGGTACTTTTTTTTTAGACACGTTATCAGATACGAACAAGAGACGAATCTGGCTTTAGAACTAAAACTGTAATAAATAAAAATGTATCAAACGATAATAATGTGCTAATTTTAATTTAAATATATTATCATTTATAACGTTATTCGTTTTGGTTGTGTAAAATTTATAGTCAAATTACCTGCGTCAGTGCCGTGCCTTTTTTTAAATATTTATTCTTTTTGTTCCATTGATTAGACCGTTTTTTTAAGAAATAGATAATTTTTTTAAGAAAATAAAAGAAGTGATCCGTAAGGTAGTGTGTAAACAAAACTCATTGTGTTAAAAAAACCGTTTTAAAGTACAAGTTGATTGAACTTTGCGTACGGGATAAATAATATCGACAACGGAGTCCTAATGTTCTCTTACAAAGCCATCGAAGATAAGCAATAAATTGACTATACAATCCCGAAAATATTCGAAAAAAATAAAATTTATATGCCAACGTAAATGGTTTTCAATAAAGTACTGACTAACAAGTAACTTGCCATAAATACCAGGTTATTCTTTTTTTTATGCAAAAATTTGTCA